ATCTTTTTTCCATAGTCATATATACAAACATCTGCTGTTGGCAGATGATTTGGATCAGCTAATACCACAGAAGACAGGTGGGCACAGGATTTACCTGTACACCAAAAGCCTGGCAGCCAGTTTCATCCCAAGCACAAAACAAGCTGGTTCCTCTCTCCCCTTTCCTTCTGCGCAGTCTTCCCAGTCATCTGCTCTGGATGTGTTAACAGAAAAAGATGAAAATGAATCACTCCACAGACTCATGACCCCCCAAATAAGAAGGGCCAGAGTTAAGAAGAGCTCTGCTCAGAGCAGCTCCACAGGGTCATTCAGGGGAAAGCACAACCAGCAACATTTGAACCATTGCCCATAATAACGATGTTCTTTCCTGTTACGAGGCATAGAGAAAAGACCAGCAATCAGGAGTGGGAATACTGAAAAACTACAGTCAGTCTCAGGGGCATCAGGAGCAGGAACAGAGTGAGAGTCACCACTGCCTTGGAAATCAAAAGGCCACAGGAGCACCACAGCCATTAAGGGGCTGGAGGCATTTCCATGGGTAAGAACCAAGCAGGGGTGCAAGAGAAGACAGCTGCTCCTATCTCCCCACCAGGCACTAAAAAAGCAAGGCAATTCACTTCACACAAAACCAGTAAAGGGAAGCACTTCTTGCACCTCAGGAACCTGCTTCACTGCAGTGGGACCCGACTCTGAGGAGGATACCGAGCACTGAGCAGGACTGCAGGTTGTGAGACCAGTCCCTGGGGTCCAGAGAGATTAAAAGCCTGAAGGAAGGAGCATGCAGCACAAGCAGGGAGGTATCGGGCAGAAAACACCAGAGCTGAGCAAGTGGCTCTGGATCACCCTCTTGCACATAATCAACTGTGCTCAGGGGCAGGACGGTGCCCACAGTGTATGGGCAGAGAGATGGCAGTTTCCACAGGGCAGGACCAGTGTCCCAGGTACAGGGTGCCTGCCCGCTGGCCTCAGAGGGGTCAGACACCAGGCAGGCAGTACCTGGTGCTCCACAGAGCAAAGCCAGGCTCGACCAGGCTGGCACTGACCAACTGATCTCTTCATTTTCTCTCTTTTCTTTCTGTCCCCATGTACAATTTAACCCTTTCCAGTGCCAGAGCTCTCCCATGAGCCTTAGCCAGCCTCCTGCCCTGGGACCCACAGCTCCCAGCCTTCAACTCCTGGCTGCCCTCTTCCAAAGTCCCATGAGGTTGAAAGGACAACACTCAGTTTTCCTCAGGGAGCAACTCGACAACAGAGGCGAGGGCTGCAGGGTGAGTATGGGGCCGGGGTCACTGCATGCAAAGAAGGGGAAGGGGCAGCTCTCCCTGCTGTGGCACCCACTGCATCTTCCCTGATTCAGCCATCCCACTGCAATGGTACTTGACGCAGAGGGTGGTACCATCAGAGGTGCATCCTCACTCCTCATTCCAGCACCATTTGCTCCCCAAACCCAGCCACAAGCCCAGGGTAGGCGCACAGGGCTGTGGAGGTGTGGGCTCACACAGCCGCCCTGTGATGCTCCAGTAGATGCCTGCGTCCTGCCTGTCCCCCCACACGCTGCAGAGGCAGCTGTGTTCAGACCATGGATTTCCAGCACACTTCATTTTCATGCAAGCCTACATCGGCTCCACATAAATCGCAGCAGCTTTCATGGGGATGCTGGCAGAGCTCCCATGGTGAGGGGCTGATGCTGCTGCTGCTCTCTCCCAGCGGTGCTGGGCTGGAGGACATGGCTGCTATGGATGGAGATGCCTCTCAGCTCCAGAGAGCCACTTAGTGCAACTCTTCTCAGGGAAGAGCCAGGCAAGGTCACCCTGACCTCCATATTCTCTCCCTCCAGTGTTGCATGCTGATAACCTGGGCTCTCCTGTGTTGACTGTGCCTTGGAGGGAGAAAATACAGCCACTCACATGCTGGAAGCTAGGTACACTTGTCCTTGCTGCACACTGAGCACTTCCGACCTTATCCAAGGTCATGGTGATGGTGAGAGCTGGTGCTGCCTGCCTGCACGTGTAGATGGGGCTGCAGCAGGAGAGCACAGGGTCCCCTGCCCTGGGACACAGCATCAGCCCGCACGTCTCAGAGGTTCTCCCCATGAATCAACCTGGAAATGTCACCGCCCATCAATAGGAGAATCGGTGGCTTAGAAAGCAAGGAGCAGGGCAATGAGATCCCCAGGGCCCCATTAGGCCCTGCTGGGCTGCAAGTCCCACAGTGCCACATACCAAGGCACAAGCATCACTCAGCAGTGCAGTGGCTGCTCCCCAGGGTGGCATCAAGAGGGAGCAGTGTGAAACCACGAGCCTGGAGGGCACAACAGCTCATAGAGAACCTGCCAGGCGGCAGACACGGTGCTCACCCCCCCAGCAGCGTATACACAAGGCAGAGTCATCTCTATTTGCTGTCATTTCCCAACAGCAGGGGCGGAGGGGATGCCAATTCCAGCTCTTCTGCTTCATGCTTTCCCTCTCTGTGCCGCACATATGTTCCGAAACACATTTAGTTTCTGCGAGGCAAAGGCAAAATACCAGCCATCCCTGAGAGGCTGCTAATCTAATCAGCAGAGTAAAGCAAAGGCGGTCTGGGGGAGAGGTTTGCAGGAGATCTGAGGTCCCGGTGTGACCACAGATTTCCTCCCTGCACCACGGGGGTGGGGACAGGAAATGTCACCTTGCACAGGGCACCAGCCTGAAAAAGTCCCCAACCCATCTACAGGGGCAGGGAAAGGGCCGTGAGGAAAGGAGCACCCAGGAGCACAGCACCACCAACCCCAGGACATTTACTTTTGCCAAGCTATTTGCAGAGGAAAAAAACCCACCACTGCTGGGTGGCCCAAGCAGATGACAAAGAAAGCCACAAAGCAAAGCGATGTCACTCAGAGGGATGCCATTCAGTGGGTCCTGGAGCCTGCTGAGCATTGCCCACATGTCAGCACTCAGCATATAACTGTGCTCCGAGAACATCCTCACAGCATCGCACCACAGTCCCTCCCAGGCACAGAGTTCTTAATGCAGCATCCCTTACGGTGGGGAGCAGGAAAGAGGAGAGCAGGGAGAAGGACACCTGCATCCTGCACAGCTATTGAATCCCCTCTCTGTTCCCTTGCAGGATCCCTGCTCTGGCAAACAACATTTGCCCTGTCCCCAAACACTGCTGAGGAGCCTTCACCTGCCCAAGGGGTTGTGTTTGAAGAGCCCTTGGAGGAGCTGCAGAAGAGCTTCTCTCCTGCCCCACTGAGGCCGTGACACCTCCAGTGTCAAGCCCCATGCCAGCAGGCAGTGGTGCCCAAGGAGCTGGGTCAGCAGCCAACACATATCCCCAGCAGGGCTGAGCTAGGAGTGCCCTCCACAGACCCCCAGGGCACAGGAGTGCGAAAGGGGATGTGGTCTGTGATCAAGGTCTTGGTGTCAGAGACACCAACCTAGGACGGAGAAGGGAAGCACAGACACTAGCTTCCCTGGTACCTTGTCCAAGGGACATACCCATCCCTCAGAAGGGCCAGAGGTCCTGGCAGAAGTGAGGATGATGTAGCAGGAGGGCTAGGCATGGTGAATGTCAGCAGCTGTGAGCGCTGGATGTCCTGCAGCACCTGTACTTGGGTAAGACTGCCTCCCACACTGGGGAGGTTTTGACATGATTGGTGCTATCCCTGCTCTCTATGACTACTTTACATGCGCTGTTCCAGCCCCACTTCAAGAAGAGTGTCCCTGGAGCCTCCTGGGAAACACTGAGCATCCAGGGTTTGTCCCTGGGCTCTAGCTTCCCCAGCAGGATCCAAACCAGGATGTTTCTGCACCGAGCCTGTGCAGAAGTAAGTAATGTTATAAAAATCTATTTAACACAGCAAGAAAATGAGAAAATTGATTTCTTTGGGCATGTTTTGACCTGGGAAGATCTTGTCCACCTATACCCTGCTGTGCCACATCCATCCCTCTGCTGGGATAGAGCCTGGACACGCACAGCACAAACTCCCAGGACACGGGTTGCAGCTGCTCCGGGAAGGGCTGGCACACACACACAGCACCTTGTCCTGTGGGACCAGTGAGAGCACCCACACACACACAAACCCCAGTCCCTGAGCTTGTAAGAAAGAGGCAGCCAGCAGCGAGGACTGGGTAGGACATGAACGAACAACGACGCATTGCTGTGCTGTAAGGAGCTTTTCTCCTGGACCGGATCCCCATCACCCCCAGAGCGCAGCGTGCTCGCTCCGCATCACACGGCATCCCCAGAGCGCAGCGGGGACAGGCAGAGCCGTGTTTGCAGGACGCCCCCGGGAAGGGAGGATGCTGAGCCGGGGGGGTGCAGGAGGGGCTCCCTGCACGGCGCTAGGCAGGAACGGTCCCTGCTCCCCGAGTGACCTGACCCGAAGCCCCCCCGCACCTCCCGGAGCGGCGCAGCCAGGGCCCGGCCGCAACCCCCGAGGAGCGGGGCTCTGCGCGGCGGCAGCGCAGGCTCGGAGCTCCCCCTGCTTGCTGCCGGGGACAAGCCTGCCCGCCCGGCCCGGACACGGCGGAGCGGAGCCCCGAAGCACCCCCGGCTGGGGCAGGGCTCCTCCCGAGCGCCACTGCGGTCCCGCTCTGCTCCCCGAGCCCCAGCAGCAACCACAGCGTTTGGTTTCAGCCTGAGCAGGGATGCCCGGCAGCAAGGGGATGCCGTGGCAGGACACATCCCCTCCCCAGTACCCCCCCCCATATGACCTCAGGACAGGTTGCTACGAGACCCCTGGGGAGAGGACCCCACCGCGGAAAGAGAAATCACCTCATCAGCACTTTCCATTGCAAAGAGGCAGGAAACAAGTCACTGCAGCAGAGCAGGCAGAGGACTCCTCTTCCCCAACCCAGCCAGACAGGAGCAGGCCTTGCATCGCCTGTAGCATCCACGTTTCACTCCAGCTCAGGGAGGAAGAACTGGCAAACACACTCCCAAACCCCTGCCACCTATGATAACAATTAGAGACTTACCTAATTGCAAAAATAATTGCAATTGAAGTGTTTAATTACCATACTAAGCAGGAAGAGCCGTTTCTGACTGTTCCAGTAGCATTCCTTATCCATCAAACAAGGTTTGGGGCTTGTTTGGGTGTTGGGGTTGGTTTTTTTTTTGATTATTAGATTGCAGCCGTGGGGGATAAAGAGATTTGCTAATTAGGGTCTTGGAGAACAGCTACCAATTCACAAACACTTGCTTTTAATTTCAATACTAATGAGGCTGGAAAGGGGAGAAATCCAAAATGCAGAACATCTGTGGAAGTTGCTGTCTGCTGTCAGTGTCCCCGAGCCCCTCATGGGGCTGGCAGAGGCCTGACACTACTCAGTGCATGCACCAGTCTGGAGGCCATGGGGCTGGGTTGGCTCAGTGCTAGCACAGGCAGGGTGAAGCTGCTGCTCCAGGTCGATGCTGTCACTGCAGCCACCGTACAAGCTAATCCCAGCATTGATCATCTGTCTGATCCCCCCAGGGACCATCAGCCACGGTGGCTTTCTCAGTGATGTGCTAATCCCCATCCTGGGGCAGCAGTTCCAGCCCCTGGGGGTGCAGCAGCAGGAACTTCTCCAGGTGACATTTGGTTTTGCTCTCCCTTAAACCAACAACAAAAGAGAATTAATTTTTCTCTCCAAGCAGCAGTTCTGGGAGGGAAGAGAAACTGCTTAGGAAGCTCCTACCCAACATCTGCTTTCTCAGATAGGAAATATCCCCCTGCTAGCAGTGGGAGCACATACAGGGACAGTTGCCAAGAGGATGGGAACATCCCATCCCCCTGTCCCTGCAGGGCACAACAGGAGCTCACACTGTCCTGATATACAAGATCCCATCCTCACCCTGCTCCACCAACGGCCCCAGGGACCCGCAGTGCCTGGCTGGCCTTCTCTCACCAAACCAGCTTTCCCGTCCTTGCTGCAACTGTGGGTAGGGTCCAAAAACATGCAGAGAGGAGACACAAGGAAGGGGAGAGGCACATTTAAGACAGGAGCAGCCGCAGGGCATCCAGGCATCCCTTCCCAGAGGAGCGCAGCTGAGGAGCGGTGGCTGCTGTGGGCTGGAGGCGAAAGAGGGTTTTATTTCTTTTAGACAAAAGGGAAACATCAGTAGAATGGGAAAAGTGTGTTGGTTTTTTTTTTTCAGACTGTCGTGTGTTTAAACACAGAGCAGAGAGAAAGGCAGCTGACAGCCCTGAGCAGTCAAAATATGAGAAACTTTGTGTTAGAAAACTCAAGGTTTCATTTTCTGGGATAAAATTAGTTTTGGGGCCACTCACCCAACAGTTTTAGAGGAGGATCCAAGCCTCTGGAAAAGGTTTTGGGTCCCATTGCCTCCCCCCAGGTATAAATCTTTCCATGCCAAACCACCTTGAAATCAAGGAGAAGCACTCCCTTCCAGCCTGAAGAAGATGACCATGAAGACAGCAACACATGGTGCCAAGGTGCCCTCCTGGCCTGGTCCAAGCCCTTCATTGTCACCACCCATGAATGTCAAGGCTGACCCTGGCCACTGTCAGATGGTGGCCATGGGACCAAGAGCATGGTCATGGCACTGGGATAGTGGCCACGAGACGGGAGAGGGGACAAAGCCACTAGAGGGCACAAGTATGATAGAAACATCTCCCACATCAAGGGACGTCCTGCTCCCCCAGGGCAGCAGTTCCAGAGGTCCCCAGAATCCCCCATCACCCCCATCTCCAAAAACGCCCACCCTTAGCTGAGGTCCTGCTGGCCCCAGGGCTCAGTGTCTCAACTGGGGCTGCACCTGGACACAGAGACGTGTCCAGAGAGCATCATCCCAGACAGCCGAAGCCCCACAGCCCTGGGTGGTGGCAGCCCACGCTGCATGGAGGCCATGCCTCCAGCATGGGACACCCACCCAGCACCAGCCTGACCCTGCACATCAGCCATCACCTTCTTACACCCAGAAAACAGACCCTCTCCCCACCAGCACCTCACCTTCTCCTGGTGGCCCAAGGCACATTGCACAGGGCTGGCTGCAGAGAGTAAGGTGCCCCTGACCAGGCAGTGAGATGCAGGTCCTGCAAAGGAGCACCTGGCCACCATCAAGAGCCATGTCCAACATCCTTCTGTCCTTCTCCTTTCTCCCCCAGAGCATCCTTCAGACAGGCGCTCCCATCCCTGTGCCTGCAGCCGTCACCACTTACATTATGCTCCACCACCAAACCAAACACCATTTGTCAGACACATGCCAGAGCCAGCTCTGCTGAAACAGATGCCCCTGTGTGTCCCACATCAAACATTGCAACATCCACCTTCCCGGTGTGCCACCATACGTATGTGCACACATTCATGCTGCCCCGTGGGGGTTTGCTGTCCACAGTGCAGATGCACTTGATCACAGGCCACCATCTCCCAGCCTATAGTCCTGCTCCCAGCCAAATGGGCACCCTGGGACTCCCTTGTGGGTGTCTGAGCTGCTGTCAGCACCGGGGCTGCCCTGTCACGTCCCAGCCACCATCCCCGGGCAGGGCTAGCAAGGTGCTGCCACCCCAGTAGTGTTTGCACAGCTTGGCTTCCGGCCTGATCTGCTCTCCCTGCTTCCAGCTCCCATTCCAACAACAGCAACAGATCTCCCTGTCAGCAGGAGCCCAGAGCCGCTGGAGGCAGAGGCAGCAATGCCCTCCAACCCCAGGCACACAGGGGCTGATGCTCATTATATGCAATACCAGCACTGATAATTAATTTCTCAGAGGATGAATTGCTCAGGAAAGCTCCAGAGCGAATGCTGTTCTTCCTACCACACACTCGTCTGGTCTACTTGGGTTTTAACAAACTCCGAGGAGAGGGAGAGGAAAGAGCATCTCCCAATGAACACCCTACCTGGGCTTAGGGTGTCTGCGGGGGGTCAGGATCTCTCCTGGGGCTGTTCCCTGGGGCCGTGCAGATGTAGGCAGAGCAAGAGGATGCACTGGCACTGCCTGTGTCCCAGCAGTCAGGAGACACCCAGCACCAGCTATAGTCATTGACCAACCCCCTTCCTGCAGCTCCGTATACCTGTGACTCAGCCCACATCATGGGGATCCCAATCTCCCTGTGGGACCTGCCCATCAGACCATTGGGATCTGCTCACCCGCCCACTCCCCAGGCACTGCCCACCATCCATGGGGTGAGTGAGGGATGCGGCTGTGGGGCCAGAAGCTCGTCCCCTCCAGCCCCATCTCCTACAGCAGCACACGGCACGTCTCCTCTGGGTGCTGGCAAAAGGCTGTGCTGGATGCAAATTCAGAGCGAGAAACCCCTGCAGACAGCACTATTATGCAGGGCTCTCCATCCCTTTTGCTTAATGGGAGGTATTTTTCTGTTTCATTTCCCTTACCCTCGGAGCTGAAACAGCCTTTCTGCAGCAAAATGCGCCAAGCCAAAGAAACCCTTCTCTCTTTCTAGCTCAGAAACTCTCCTCCCTTCCTCCTCCACCAGCAGAAATGCCCAGCCCACAGGCCACCCCCTCCTTGGTGTATGTCACATTGCCAGAGGGATGAATGGTCCCCATCCTGTGTCCTTGTGTTGGCACCACATCCTCGGGCTGCATTTGAGTCATTCATCCTCATTCCCCAGGCTGAGATGTGCATCCATCCTGTTCTGCAGGAGAGCCAGACCCCCAGAACCCCACAAGCACAGCAGCGGGGCCAGAGTCCCTTTCCCCAGGCAAGGACCCATGAGCAGGATGATGGGACTGATGTCTAGTGAGGATGCAGGGGAACACCTCGGGGACAACAGGACAGAGGTACCAAGGGGGCTGCGGGGTTTTGTTCTCTCCATGCAGGTATTTGCATACACCACAGAATACAAAGCATGCCCTCAGCTCACCTCCCCAGTCCCTCCCCAGCACGCTTCACTTGCTTGGCCTGCTTCAAGGCTGAGTTAAGTCCACCATTCTTTACTGGGTAATTAAGCTCTTAATTAACAGGCCGGTTTCCCCTCAGAGCCCTGCCAGCATCCCTTGGTCCCTCTGGCAGTCGCTCCCTGACAGGGCAGATGCTGTGGGGCTGGGGATGGCTCCCAGGCTTTTTTCCCACCCCCTCTGCACTCTTTCCCTGACATCCTGGCCCTTGGACACCATGACCCAGCCTGGAGGCAGAAGCCTGCTCTGAAAGTGGCAACGGGGCACAAGCGAAGCTGACACATGTCTGGGCTCAATGTGATACCCTGGAAGAGAGGGGCAAACAGGGGTGAGACGTTACAAACCTTTCCAACCTTGACCACTCTGTGATTTCCACCATGAGTGATGCTAAAGCCTGAAAACTCCAAGACCAGAAAACTTCCCAGTTCATAAAGGTTCTTTTTAAAAATCAGTATTCAAGATGTTTCTGCCTAAAGGAAAATATCTCTCAGTAACCTTTGCTACCAGCTGGTCCCCTCAGCCCTATTCCCCCTGCTCCGGGACTGAGCAGGGAAGGGAGGCAGCACTGCTGTGCCCCAAACCCAAGCTGGTCAAACCATAGGGGACAACACAGGGACCCTGCCCCAGGCTCCCCAGCACAGAGAACCACAGCAAACCAGCAGCGATGAGCCCCTGTCCTCAGTGATGTGGCAGGGGTTGCCTTGCAGCACTCCATCTCCTGCGTGTTCATTACGCGTCTCCTTAACCATGAAGAGAGGGTGATCCTCCTGCCGGGGCAGAGCTGCTGTCCCATCCATCCCAGTGTGGCTGGGGATGTAGGAGGTTGGCACCAAGCAGTCCCCATCCTGCCGCCAGGCCAGGGTGGCTGGGTGGATAGGGAGAGGCAAGTTTGGCTTAATCCAAGTAGAAGCTAATTGTGTTTCATTGAGGTTTTATCTCTGCAACTGGCAACACGCTCCTCCAGGAGATTTAGTGGGAAGTTGTCTGGTCCCTGCCAAGAAGGCTGATTTTTATTTTTTTTTTTCCCCAGAAAGCATATTATGCATCAAAGTTGAAATTCAGATCCCTTTTCCTCCATTCCCAGAGCGTATTTATGAGGCTCCAGGTATTCCTTGGTGCGTTGTGGTTTGCAGGAAGCCCCCAGCCGCTGCAGAGCCCGGAACCAGCTCAAAGAGCTGCTCAACTTTTGTTGCTTTATGATTTTCCCATTTTTGCTAAAATTGTTGCTGGGTGAGTAGCTGGGGACCAGGGGTTGGCAGAGAAGCAGCTGCTGCCTGTGCATGGCTCCCAGGCTGGTGAACACCCCCAACAGCCCTCCCAGGGTTTTCCCACCTGGAGCTGCTTCTCTCCATCCCAGCTGCACTTTACACATCCCCCAGACCCCTAAGTCCCCCCATCCCCTAAACCAGCTGCAGCCTGGTGTCTGCTGTCACATCCTGGATGAGGTTGGCAGCAAATCCAGTGCTTTTCCCTACAGATGCTCTGGTTCTGCTCCCTCTGGGTGGTTCAGCAGGTTTCAAGCGCAGCCACGTCAGAAGGTGAATCAGGCCAGCCTGGAACCTGCACCCCTGGGCAGGGATGGGCAAGGGGGGGGGGGGGGGGCACCTGCAGGAGTGAAGAGGGGGCAAGGCAGGACTGGAGCCTTCTTGCAGCCAAACCCCTTGGGTTATGCACCCACCTGGTTTGCTGCAGGCAGATCAGGAGGGGGGGATATGGGGGGCTCCTTCTTCCCCCCTCTGAGATCCCATCTCAGTTCATCAGGACAGGCCCAGCATCTGCAGTGGCTGGAAAATCACACTCGGTTTCCAAAAGGGAATGTAAAGTGTAAATCTCTGTCTCTCAGACACCCATTTGTTCCTCTGCAGTGAGAAAAGTGGCAAAAGCTTTAATTTCCAAGCTGGGAGGGAGAGAGACAATGATCCATCAGCAGCAGAGGAGGAAAACAGCAATTCTGGGATTACACCAGCGGCCACCGAGATCTCTCCCTCCCTGGCAGAAACGCCGCAGGTTTCCCTGCCGGCCCCGCAGCTCTTACCTCCGCGCTGTGTTTGTGGGCAATTCGGAAGCCTTCATGGTGATGAGGATGGTTGTCGCAGGAGTGTTTGCCCGGAAGTGCTGGGCTGGAGGGGAGGCAGTGATCCCCCCCCTCCAGCTGGATTTCGCATGCAGAGCGGGCCGGCTGCAGCGCTCGGCTCTCCCCAGAGGTTCCCTTCATAAGAGGGAGTAAATTCCACTTATCTATCCAGGGGAGATTTGCATTTTAAATATCCCAACTCCAAATGTCACCCAGTTTGATCCCCTAAGCTGAACAAATGCAATGGAGCAGGGAGGGGGCCGGAGGCGGCTCGCTGCCATGGGCTGCCGGGAAGAAAGGAAAAACCCAAGGTTAAAAGCATGCACGGATGTTTAATTTGGGCTGAGGCTGAGGATGGGAGCAAACATAGCAGTGACCCTCCCTCCCTCTCTCTTCCAGCCTCTGTTGGGCAGGACACATGGGAACAGGTATCGGAGGTTTCAACCACTGAGGATTAGGGATTTCGTGTTTGAGATTTTGTTTACACAATAAGACTTCAGACTGCATGGAGTGTAGGTGGATTCTCCCTGATGCCTGCAGAGGGATTAGTGCCTATAAGGCAGCCAGAATGAGCTAAAAATTGGAGAGATCAAAGTGCAGAAAGAGGAATCCCACATTCTCGGTGATGGGAGCAAAGAGGCCAGTGGTCGAGCCGGAGACAATTGTGAAGCTGGCCTCGGGGAGCGTAGGGAAAGGCACGGAGCGTCCCTCACCCTGCAGCCACAGGGATACCAGGAGGCACCTCAGGGAGCAGACGAATCCCGGGTGTTTTCAGTCCTCTCCTTGGGGCTTCAAAACCTCTCCTAGCCCACAAGAGAGGTTTGACCGCAGCCCTTCCCGAGGTCCCCACTGCCATGGGACCATCTTGGCACAGCAGAAGAGGGGTGTCCAGCCTGGACCCATCACTGCAGCGCTGGGGCACAGAAGGAACCTCAGCGCCATGCCCTGCAGGGAGGGGGCCACCTACCACGTCCCCCATAGCCCTCATGACACACAAGGAGGGGACATGCTTGCCTGGACCCGGGAGGCTCTGCCAAAGCCCTGGACCCACAGCGCCCAGCCAGTTCTCCTGCCTGCCTCCACTGCCCAGCCTAGTAAATGAGCCTTCTCTTCTTATTAAAGCCATGAGCTGATCCAATTAAAGCAGAGCACCAACCCTCATCCCCAGAAGGCAAATGCTAGGAATGTTTAAGGCATGAAGTTTTCTTGTCCCCAGTGCCTCATTAGCCATTCCAGCACCCTGCACACAGGGCATTGCCCCCTGCCAGCTCCCTGCCATAAGCAGTAGCTGCCTGCAGGTGGGGACAGGTAAATTCACCCAGGGTTCGAGGAAGATGTATCAGCCAGCCCTGCACAACTGCATCTTCACTCCAGGGACCAGGAGCTTCGGGGGGTCTTTGGCCACAGCAGCCCACAGCAGCAGAGCTCACGTATCTGCAGGGAGCTCCTTTTTCTCCTCGGCATCTACAGTGACCAAGTTTGCTCCATCACCGTTCTCTGAGAGGCAGAAGGTGCGTGCACTCACCCCACATCCCTGAGCTTCTCCTGCACTCAGGCACAGGACACAAGTTTTATCCTCACCCCCATCTCAAAACCCACAGGCAGGCAGATGCTTCTTCGCAGCAAATGAGTCTGAAACGGTTCAGAGAAGGACTAATTCCCTCCCTCCTTAATGCACGGAAGCTTCTTACGCTAAATCTATACAGACACAATTAGCATTATTCATATTCCATATGCTCCGGTCCCTTGTGATGAATATTAATCTGTTCCCGCTCCCAGGCATTAGAGATAACGGCGTTGCACCATGCTGCGCTGCGGTGCAGAGGTGGTCTGAAAGAGCGATGCTGCAGGTGAAGACAGTTTCATTTCCATGTTGGGAAGGGGAGGCTTTGCCTTTTTAGGGGTGGCTGGTTTATGGGGCTGAGGCAGGGCATCCTTTCTGCTCCCAGTCTGGGCTGAACTGGTCCCCACTGGGGCTGCCCCAGTCCTCCCTGGGCACATGGTGGGGCCAGACAACATGAAACCCTAACCCTCATTGCACCTTCCAGCTCTCAGCAGGTTTTGAAGGTGGGATAGGACTCAAGCCAGACTCTTCTGCCTCTGCCAGATCACATTCTGCAGACTTTCTGTGGCCGAGAAGTGGTCACAGGTGTTGCAGGATCTAAACCACTCTTCTTGGTGTTCCCCAGAGCACAAGCAGCTCCCCCAGCAGCCCAGAGCATCCCTGCTGCAGCACCCGGGTCCCTGCCCCAGCCCTGCTCCCACCTCTCTGCACAACATCTCCCTTAGAAAAGGGCCACAGGGCAACAACACTCACCAATGCTGCAAAAGGAGCACAAGAAGAGGGGCAGAGGATGTGATGCAGCGAATGCAGCTCCCCCATGCAGCCACTGCTATCTTGCAGGGACACATGGAGGGGGTAGAATTCACAGAGCTTTTTCAAACCAGGGGCCAACCTGCGTGCAGGCAGGGCTGCATGGACCATTCCCAGCCTCGTGTCCATCCGTCCGTCCTTGCCCTTCACACGTGGCTCCAGGCCAGGCCGGGGGATGCTGTGGATTGAAATGCCATACGTGTGGTGGGGGTGGAAAGGATACAGGCCAAGAGGCACTGCGTCTCTATACATCTATTTGCATGCTTAATCCGCTGCTGGGGAGTATAGCGTCAGGTCCCCCATCTGCTCCGCAGCTCGCATCATTAGCTGGCTGGTTTCCGAGGCGGCTCTGAGCAGAGGTGGGAGTGGAGCAGAGAGGGGAGAAGAGAGGCTGGTCCCAGTCCCACGCACCATCACATGTTGGCAGCCTGGGGAGCCTGGGGGGAACCCACCCCTTGTTGAAGCTGGTGGGCAGGGAGGGGTGTAAGTGGAGGGGGGTTGATTCCTATGGCTCCCGGGGTGTGGCTGAGCTCTGAGCTCCCCTGCGGGCAGTGTGAAGGGGACAAAGCTTCTCCTCACCTCTCATGGATGCTGCCCACACTCTAGCTTTGCCCAGAGGGGTGCCCAGGGCAGCAACAGTCCCCATAGCTGGTCCCTATCCAAAAGCAAGCCAGGCAGCACGCACAGCCACCAGCCCACACACAAAGGAGATCTCAGCTCCACCGCACGGATCCATTCACATCAACCATTCCCACCAACCTGGGACGATGACACTGGGACACAGCCCCTTTAAATCCCTGTACTCACAGACCAGGCAGGACACTGTAAAGGGAAAAATAAGGGAAAAAATGATTTTCTTCTCCCCGGCAAGCCTGGATTGCTGCCCGTTCCCGGCAGCGCGCTGCCAGCACTCCCACACACCGCGTGGCACAGGACTGCAGAGGCCAGCGTGGGATGGGGGATGCCAGGGGGGCCGGGGTGCAGTGAGGGCTCCCCATGCCGGACATCCCTGCTGGGATACCACGGATGTGGCAGGGCCCACGGGGCCCCTCTCACCCTGGGGTGCACGGCACAGCCCTCTGCTCCATTACCTACCCCATCTGCCCCATTCTGCAGGGCAATTCCCATCTCCGAGCTCTAAAAAGGCTCAAACTCAGCCAAAAATCCCTGCTCGGCTCCCCAGGCTGGTGCTGCAAGGAGCAAGCTGTGCTGAGCAGATTGGGATTTCTCAGCAAGCAGCAACAAAGAGGGGGTCAGAGGGATGGAGGGGCTGGGGGTGGAAAGCCTTGCACCCTCCCAAAGTCACTCTCTGCCTCCGCTTTCACGCCTGGCTGGGTTCCTTCATTACTTACCCGAGCTGTAAATTGTCTCATTTGGAGCACACCATTTATCCCTGATGTGCACTTGAGCAGCCAGATTTTGTTTTCAGGTGTGTAATTAATTTTTTTAACGTGATTTCTCTCCTAGGAAACTGCAAACAAACAGTTCCGGCTTCCAGGGCTGGGCAGCTGGGGTGAGCGGCAGGGCAGGAAGCTGGCAGGCAAGGAGCCGATAGCAGATCCTGCAGGATGTGAGGAGCTGGGGTTTTGCTGAAGCTCCCCGTGCTCTCACTTTCCAGCTGGAGCCTCATCCTTCTGTGCAGCCCTCTGCTTCCTCCATCACCACCACGCTCCCCGCGGGCACCGGCAAGGCCTTGCAAGAGGAAGCAACAACCGCTTTCCCTGTTCCCAACTCAATCTGCTGGGAATTACCATTTTTATTAAGACCTAACATGCCCTTGGCTGCTGGGAATGTGATTTGCTCCTGGAATGCGATTACAATGGCTCCTAAGGAGCCCATAGCTGCAGCTGCCCCACCATGATGATGTTCCCATTGCTGGCCAGAGGCACTTCCTTTGCTGGATGCTTCCAGGCATCTCTGCTGCTGGGAGAGGCTGTGCTTGGGCATGGTGTAGGGAGGATCCCTGCGGATGCACCACCCCAACCTCCTTCCCCTCAGCTGGGATGTTTGCTGTTCAAGGATGATGCTGGGCTATTTTTGCACTGACCATCACCTCTCACAGGGCAGGCACAAGGGAGGAGAAGCAGCAATTGAGGGTGAGTAACTTCTACCCTTGCTGCGCATCCCTGTAACCAGCTGGGTGTGGGACGGGGGTGCCTGAGCACGGCTCTGTATCCCAAGCCAGAGCAATCCTCCTCTGACAAGCAGCACAAAAAAATCACCTGCTATGAATGGCAAGCACATCTCTTCACCTCTCCTGCTGCCAGGGAAGTTGTGATATGATTTTTGTCAGTGGTTTTCCAGATGAAAGGACATGAAAATCACCTCCATTAGCTGGAAAGGTGGGAGAGTCTATGGAAAGTGTACTTTCAGGGCTGACTCCGTGTAGGTCCCAGCCCCCTGCCCTGCAAGACCCCTTGGGCAAAGGGTGGCAGTTTGGGGGCATGTGAGATGTTGCTGTGCCATCCCCATGTGGGGACTCAGCCAGGGCCAATGCTGCAGGAGTCTGGGGGTTGCTGGTGCAGAGCAGCTTTATGGCTCTGCACCAGCCACCCCCAAACTCCTGCAGCATCAGTCCCAAAGACGCTCTGCTGTGTGCAGACTCAAACACAAACAAGGCAGAGGAGGCTACAGCTGGGGACACCGCTGGGATGGGTCCCCTGCATTTCTCTGCTTGCTGTCCCACCAGCCGCAGCAGGTCCCAAGGGCAGCAACTGCCTGCAAAATAAAGCCATACTGACCACCCCCCCCCCCCCCCAAGAACGATGCTCCAATAGATCCCCCCCGAACAGCCGATGCCACCATGGCCCCATGAAACAATGACCTCCTGAGGGGAGATGCCACTGCCCAGACCCCCCCAGACCTGGAATCCTTGGGGGTATTTTTCCTGCATGTTTAAGTCTCTATTGTGACTTTCTGGAATGGATGGCGCTGTCCTGGGGGCCATAGGAGGGGGCTGAGCACTCTGCTCCGGCGTCCCGCTGCCCTTTGTGCTTTCAGATTGCCTTCCAAGGAGCTGCTTAGCATTCGGAGCAGGCGCCCGTGCTGTGTCAGGGCAAAAAACTCTCATTTGCCTTCAAAAACACATCGATCTTCTGCAGTCGGCCATGAAGGGCATCATCTGCCCTCCAAAACAGAACAGAGGGCATATGGGGGCCTGGCTTGGCTTTCCCAAACACAGACAGGATGAAAGGACCCAGGTCCACACTCCATCCTGCAGTAGCTCCCCACCATCACATCAGAGTCCCTCACCCATCACCACCCAGCTCCACCAGCCCCTGGGTTCAAAGGGAAAGGCATCAAAGCCCTGATTTCTTTGATTTCCCTTTGCTCCTTTTTTCTCCAGCTCCTCCTCTGGAGGAGTTCAGCTCCAGGTACTGCATGCACAGAAGCAGAAAAAAAAACACCCAGGAATTCCTGCTGTCCCTTGGAAATTCCTGGTGGGGGTCCCTGCTGCTGAGCTGATGCTGGTCACTTGCTGCCCAGGTTTGGTTACTGGCAGGACCATGGGTAGGCTCCATTCTGGCTGTCCCCAGCATCCCCTCCATCACCTTCTCACCAGGAATCAGCACCTTTTCCCAGAAGGTCTGGTGCCATGTGAGGGTTATAATCTTATCTGCCTAACAGGAATGGTTGATTATCTGCCTTCTCTCTTCTGATAAGGGCCTGGCTGCAGGCTCACCATGCGGAGGAGGTAATACTTAAATAGCTTCTTTTCTTATACTTCATGTGGGGATTATTATGCCTGTCTTGAGTCCCCCTCCTCTGCTGCCAGCATGGGAAAAATCCCCGCAGTGGCACCATCTGCAGCACTGCCATTGGGCAGAATGTGACCGTGTCCTCTGGCACCATGGGATTGCTTCCCCTACCCATGCACAGTGGATATGTCCTCCCGGTCACCTGCAGTGGCACAGGTAGAGCTGTGGTGTTGAGCATCTCCTGCATTGCACACACCAACACAGCCACTGCTGACTGCCATGAAGGGTGAAACGTGTCACCACAGGGACAAGTTCCTGCACACCAGGAGCCTGGGGACCTTTGATCTGAAGTGTCTGCTTGCATCTAATCACAGCTACCCCAGCACCACCAGCACCCCCAGCGACTGGTGTCTGCTGCCCCTGCAGCCTCAGCAGAGCTGCTGCCTCCCCGGTTCCTGGTTGGAAAGTTCCAGGCTTCTATATGAAAAGTTCCAGGCTCCAGATGCAAAGGAGAAATGGGTCCTGTTCCAACCTGCCCATGGCCAGCTCCTCCTGGTCACTTCAGGGAAATGACAAAGCCGGTGGCTCCCATTAGCCAAGTGAAGGCTGGGGTGACATACAACTATTGATTGGCCCTCCGAGTTCAGCAGCAAGGCACACACAGCCCACAGCTGCAATCAATAGTGCCAGGGAGGCATTTGCTTTTGCTCTCACTGTTATGTGCCCGTTCATGGCTCCAGGATGAAGCCTGTGCCGTGTCACCATCCAACACAGCTCCTACATGGTCCTCTGTGGTCCATCCTCCCCCAGGCTCTACAAGCCTGTATTTCCACCCACAGGAGTCAGGAGAGCAAGAATGCTCCCTAGTGCAGGGCAGGGGTGAGCACACAAAACAGTTCTCCCATGCCTGGAGCCTCTCCATACCCTTGGCTCCCATGCCAGTGGCATGGGAACACCCACAGGGACCCTCTGCCAAAGGATAGGGTGACAGGCATAGCTTCCTTGGTGTCAGAGGTCTGTGGGTTCCCTTCTCAGCCAGGGATGCTCTGTGCACACAGGCTCCTATCAGAGCCATGCTCCTGACCCGCTCCCCATGCCCAGAGCTGGCTGCTCTGGAACCTCACGGGACACGCAGAGTTGGGGCAGGGAGAGGAATGGGTTGAAAATCCAAGATTTCCATCCCTCCAGCGGAGGATGTCAGCAGGGCAGGCAGAACTACACTTCCCAGCGTGCCCTGCCAGCCGCCGGGGGGAAGGCTGAGACCCAGCCACCAGCTCCTCCCTGCTCCTAAATTATTCTCATTATTTATTTGTGGTTTTTCTGCACTTAACCGTCTGCCTCGTCCACTTAATTGGGGGATTATTGCCACTACCTGCCCGGCCGCCAGAGCCCAACTCATTACTGGGGCTTATTTATTAGCAGTGAGGCAGAAGAAACGCACCCTGCAGCTCTCTCTCCTCCTGCGCAGGCAGCTGGAGGCGATGGAGGAAAGCGAGCAGGGGCCAGGACACAGCCAGTGCTAGTGGGCATGGGCACCGTTTGGTCAGGACCATGTCAAAACCAGCCTCTGCCAGGCACAGAGGCATCACAGCAGCCTTCTCCATCATCTGGCAGCAGCCTGGGTCACCACAGCTCTTGGCAAAGCATGGAAGGAGCCGCGAGAGCCTGGCTGCTCCTTAAAAGTGCTCCTCGAGCTCAGGAAAGGTCATTCGCACAGCACTGTCCTGCTCACAGCGAGGGACCTCGTCTCCTCAGCACAGTGGTGGCTGAGTGACAGCCACACGGCAGGGCGATACCAATGGCTTATGGAAATCCACCACGGGGAGGCAAAGGGGACGGTGCCCCCCAAGCCAGCAGCACCTCACAGCTCCTCTCTGAACCGCTGCTCCCATTTCCAGGCAGGAGAATCCAGGAAGAATGTGGGACAGCAGGAGGGAGCCTGCATATTGAGTGCTTTGATAAATAAAACATGGCGAGAAGGCAATGAGAGCTGCCCACTTGGCTGCAGGCAGCTCTGTCTGCGGCAGCTGCATGGGGGGAATTCACAAGCGGTGCCACCCCGGCCGTCAGGACACCAGCCCCGGCGCTGCTCCTCCGCTCACATCCAAGTTTTGCTGCCTCAGCACTGAGGGGGATTGATTTATTCATCAGCCTCTGCATCCCGCAGCAGCCCTGCAAGGAGTGGTGCAGTGAGCTGCTGTGCGATGTGATGCGTGGCACGGCAGGGAGCAGGGAGGGCTGACCCCAGAGGTGGCTCCCTGCTGACCCACATCCTACCTGCCATGATGCTTGGATGAGGGGGGATTCCCTATGGTGGGGAATGAGAGCAATAACTCCCTGGGGCCACACTGCTGAACCCTCCCCAGGCACTAAGGCACAGCCATTCTGCATCCCCTTTTCAGGGCAGAGAGGCAGGACTCTGTTTTTCAGAGGACAATTGAGATCCCAATGGCCAAACCAACAGCAAAGACAAATTGCAATGCAAGAAACCAATCCAAGAAAGCACCAACCCCACAGCAACTCCAGGGCTTGGCAGGAGCTGTTCTGTGCACCCACAAACCCAAAGGAAACCCAGAGAACTGATTGCCTGCCTGCCAGGGAAGAGAGGGCAGCAGTTTGTGGAGAGGGACTGGGCAGGGAGAGAATGAGTCCCAGCAGGGTCTCAGGAGCCCTCTTGGCCATGCTCTGCACCAAGGACCAGGCCCTGAGCCAGAGTTTTGACCTGTCTGTGAGCCCTGTGGACCCGCAGCAGGCTCCCAGCTCATCATCACTCCTGTCCTCAGGATGTCCTGCAGCAGAGCATGGGCAAAAGCATCTTCAGGTGCAATGGGAGTCTCCCATTTGGGTAACACCACTGGCACACCAAGACCCACAGAGCTGCCCTGTTTAGAGACTCCTCCTCTGGGGGGCTGTCAGTGCCATGGGTGGGGAGCCACTGACTCTGGGGGAGAGAAATGCTGGCTCCCAATGGGGAGGATGAGTCTGGGAGGGCACTGCTGAATGGCAGTGGCCAGTGGCCACACGGGCTGGTACTGCGGTGTGGCTGCTACAGGTACCGAAGATGCAACTGCTGGGGCCCAGGGGCATAGCCAGGTACAAGGAGGATGCCTGTGTAAGGGGGAGCAACTCCCGGGTGCTGGCGGCAGAGCCAGGTAGCGGGAGGAGGATGGTCGGATAGCAGGGGGGCAAAAGCGGGGCTTCGAGAGGGGTGGCGAGGTACCGGGGGAGCGATTATGGGGAACTGAGGGGACCTGCCGGGCAGCGGGGGCAATCTCCGGGACCGGACGGGAATTGCCGGCTGCGGGGCCGGGGGCTGCCAGCGGGGCGGGCCGGAGGCGGGCACGGAGCCGGCCCCGCCCGGGAGGCCGTGCGGCGGAGGGGGAGCCAGCACCGGGCCCCCCCCCCCGTACCGCTCCCGCTCCCGCCTCCCTTCCGGCGGTGGCTCCTTCCCTGCGCCGGGGGCGGACGGGGCGCACCGGAGCCGCGTCGAGCGCAACCAGGTGGGTGAGGGGCCGGGCCCGAGGTGCCGCAGAGCCGGGGAGGGGGGGGGGGGGGCGCGCACCGGGATCGGCCCCGACGATCCTCCCGGGGCCGCCGGCTTATGTAACGGGGCGGCGGCCGCGGGGATGCGGGATGCGGCATGCGGAGCGGGATGCGGGGAAGGATGCAGGTGCGAGATGCGGGGCTGAGCGGCGCGCCAGGACTGCCCCTCTGCAGGGATGGGGAAGTGGGGGACGCCGGTGTGGAGGGGATGGCATTAGAAGGGCTGTCACCCCCGGACTATGCTTTGCAACCCCCTCGTTCCAGCCCGTGCTTGCCTGGCCATCCCCTGCAGAGCAGGGAGAGGAGGGGACCTGGTCCCCCCAAACCTCCTGCCTGAACCCAGGGAGGCTCCACACAGCCTTCTGCTGTCAGGAGCTCCTGGTACCCACTGAGCTCTTCCCACGCCTCCCCATCACCGGCTTCCTCTTCCATCCTGCTCCCAGCGGCTAAGTCCAGCCACCCGTGGAGCATTCCAGCTGCACAGTCCCCAGTCCCCGGGGCTCCAACCCCTCTCCCTGCTGCACCGTCCCTACGAGGTCCCTCCTGTACCCCAGTCTCCAGCCCTTCTCCCCGCCGTGTCCCCAGCACTGTGGCTGCAGCACATGGGGCAGGTGGCTGCTCTGACCCAGGCCTGGCAGCACGCAGTGGCACTGCCACCCACATGGCACGAGCATGACCGGGCAGCCACTGCCCGAGGCAGGCAGAGCGGTGAGTCAGAGCAGTAAAGCAAGGCTGGTACCTTTGCTCAGGACAGGGCTGATGGCTCAGGGCTTCTCCGTGCAACCAGACGGGCTTTGAGCGCGGTGGCAGCTGCTACATGAGGTTGGTGAAGGAGCCAGAGTGATTCAAGCCAAGCTGAGGTGCTGGGTTTGGCAAATGAGGATGAGGAAGGATGGGCCAGGCTCAGGGTGCAGAGAGGTGCCCTCCCTGCCAAACCTGCCCTCATCCCCCCACAAGGCAGGACCTTGAGGGTTGCCAGGACAAGCTCCAGCATGGCCGGGGAAAACAGAGAGCTCAGCCCGTGGCTGGCAGCACCACTCTGGGTGTCTGACCCTGGGGAAACTGGAGACAGCTCTGCTGAGACAAACCAGCACAGAAAAATGTCTAAAGTTTTCCTTGGCCATGGGCTGAGTGTTTGTTTCTTTGGTATCCTGATGTGATAACGTCCGTATTGAAATGACCCCACCAGACAGAGCTGTGAGCACCCACAGCACTGAAGGGTGGCTGCGGTTTGCACCTTGGCTCTTCCCTGCAGCCTGACAGGCCTGGTATTGCTTTCTGGGAGCCGAGGGGATCCCTATTGGTTTGCCCAGCACCGTTTAAGCACTGGAACTGAGAGGTCCCAGCGGAGGTCAGGTACTGCAGGGAAACCCTGCGGGGAGCAGGTGGTGACCACTGGCACAGCTCCATCCCCACCACTGGGCCCCAACACATGCTCCCATGGCCCAGAGCTCGAGAAGTCTGGTCTGGCAGTGGTCATGGTCACTGCATCCCAGGCTGCCGCCTTTCCCACCAGCACAGAGCCGAAGCCCTTGGGCATCATGTGCTGCCCAGACACGCATGGCCGGACCCCCCTGCCTGGAGCAGGACCTTCCCAGTGACCAGAGGATCCTTGCTCTCGCCTGCAGCCTCTGCATGTTCCTGCCCAGACCTCCCCATTTGTTCTTATGCCAGCATCATCCTCGAGTTTAAATGATCCTTCTCCCTCCCCGGTGTTTACTCGCCGGGTGTATTTATAGAGAGCAATCAGGCCTGCTCAGCCAGGGTAAACAAGCTGCGCTCCTGCGGGCTGCTCTCGCGTGAGCACTCTCTGCTCACTCGTCCCAGGAGCTTTCCCTTCCGCTTCCCCTGGCTCCACAGAGCTTTCCTGGCCATGGAGGCCTGGACCATCTGACCCATCCAGCCATGGGCTTCCTGGGCCATGCCTCCAGGCTCCAGTGTCTCACAAGGTCACCCAGTGCCTTGCCAGGAGCCACAGTGATACCAAGATTTATACCTTAAAACTTATAAACACATGTCACCTTTTCGGTGCTGTTCTGCACCACAGGTACCTGCTCCTCCTGCAAGCAGCCAGGCAGCAGGTCCACCCCTCCCTAGCTGGTGCCACCAGCTCCTCCTGTATCACTCACCAGAGGTTCAGCAGCATTTCATATCTCAGCCAAATCCCAGAGCCCAGTGATGCTGTGACCCAGACCTGCCCCGGCCCGTGGCAAGATGAATTCTGCATTAAGGTTTTTGAGGCTGAGGGTCTGCTTTTTGAAGGCAAGGCAGTTTGGGTCAGGTACAGGACCCCAACTGGGAAATGCCTCTGGGGGCTGCCTAGTGCAGCATGGCACCCCGACCCCTTTGCATCCCTGTGTGAGAGCCAGGACAGTGCACTGCTAGTGCTGCATCCAGTTTGCAGATACTTCCCCCAAGCATTGTGGCTCTGAGCCTTTCTTCTCACCCCAGTGCTCAGACACAGAGGTGATGGCAGCCCCAAGACATCTAAGGGAGAGCATCTCCCTTATGCAGAAGCACTTTGAGATGTGGCCCAGAGTCTCCCAGCCCCTGCACCCCACTGCTCCCCTTCCCCAGCCCACCCTCCTCCACAGACATTTGCACCAGCTCAGCTCACAAAGCAGGGTGCCAAGAGCTGGAGGTGCCAAAGCAGAGCTGTGGACACGCTAATGCTCTCATCTCGAACATCAAGTTTTCACTGAATGCTGTGTCTTTTGTCCAGACCTCAGCTGGATAAAAGCATCCCTGCCAGCGCCTGGGGACACCACAGTCCCTGGAGCTGGGGGGGTCCTGGCACTGTCACCCTGCTCTGTTCTTCCCTGTCCTCTGCTCTGGCTGCAGTTGTCTGGTTGCCCGGACAGACAGACTGAGCTGTCCAGGTGGGATGCATATTCATGGTACTGGCAGGCTCTGCCCATTGCAAAGGCAGAGAAAAAAACACTTTGGTCCTGCTAAGATAAAAAATACCCTGCAGGGATCAGAGCAGGAACCCCCGGACCCTCTGCATCCTCTCGGGTCCCTGTGCAGGGGGTCCCTGTTCCACCCTCTGCAAAGGGTGGGAAGGGCAAAGAGTGGCTGATGCACACCCCAGGCTGTGGCCGGCCAGGCGAGGGACTGGTCCTGTCCCAGCCCAGCTGTCTGCTTGGCACGGAGCTGTCTGGAATCCAGCCACCCCCCGGCACACATCCCTGCAGCACTCCGCAGACCGTCTTACCCCGCTCCGCAGCCTCCCCGCAGGCTGAAGGAGGCAGCGGTTGTCCCCAGCAAAGGTCACCTTCACGCTGCTGCTGAGCCCTTCCCAGGCTGAGCTGGTGGCTGCATTTCCCAGGCAAGTCACCGTTTGGGGATCTCCTCGGGGGTCCCTCTGCCCCTTCCCCGCAGCCCCCAGAGCTCGGGGTCCCTGGGGTGAGCCTGAACCCTGCGAAATGCAGCGCTGTGCCCGGGAACTGGGGCCAGGCATCCCTGGTCTGTAATGCCTTTAAAAGGCAGGCTTCATCCATCCGTCCATCCATCCATCCATCCATCCATCCATCCATCCATCCATCCATCCCAGTCCCAGCTCCTCCAGTGTCACTGTTTGCCTGTGTTTTCCCCAGCTCCCCTGCGTCATATATTTATCTCAAATTTGCCAAAGCCTCCCTCCTTCCCTAGGGTGGAGGAAAAGCCTTTGCTCGAAGTCAGGATGAATTTGTAACTTCCCCAGGAACCTGCTCCTAGAGTCAAACAACACAAATCACACTCATGGCACCCCCCGTCGCAGGGGCACCAGCAGCACTGTGGGGATGAATCACCCCAGAAACTCCAGCATGGCACCCAGCACCCTGGTACCTGGGTGTCTGCACAGCCCCTGCTCAGGCCAGCATCCCCCTGGAGCATCCCTGCATCCCCCTAAGCATCACAGAGGGATTCCAGGAAGGGAAAAGATGCCAGGATAGAAGCTTCCTGAGGTCCAGCCGCAGTGGGGAGCCCAGAGCAGGCCCAGCCTTTCTCATACTGCAAAGTCTGAGCAAAGGCTTTTTGTTCGGCAGCTTGTCTTAACTTCCCATTATGTTCTCTGAAGAAGGAATTCATCATCTGCAAGCTGAGGAAGGCAGAGTTAATGTGAAATTTTAAAACCCTCGGATAGTTGAGAGCCCTCTCAATATTTAATGAAAGCACCAAACTCCCGGGTGCCTGCAGAGATGGCCAGGGCCCTCTGCCAGCAGTGGAGATGGTGTCCATGATCCAGGAGAGGACCAAAGACCCTGATGGGCTGCCACCTCCTGCAGCCTGCCCCTCTAGGCTCCCACTTGGGTGACAGTGCCTCTTGGCAGCAAGTTGCTCCCATAGTTGGAGGTGGGATGTGGGAAGTGCACAGACACACCGTGGGAGGTGAGCTCTGCAGACAGTGGTATGCTGTGTCAATCACCCATCAAGTGATTCTGCTTTGTCCACCCCATCCAATCCTTGGCCCCACCATGGAGCTGATCAACACTGTTGACCAACCTGACCACACTGTTGGTGTCTCCTGCAGGCCCTGTCTCCTTGCGATGCTCAGCCACCCCTGCGAGGTCCTCGTCCCCCTGCGTTAGGTGTGGAGCCTGCAGACGCCTGGCACTGCACACACCAAGGTAGGCAGCGCTGCCCCAGCTCCTGGGTGGACTGCACCTGTTCCATGTGGTGTAGTGCAGCCATGGGGGGATACAGAGCCAGTTGGGTCCCCCAGGGATGGGGAGGTCAATCACAGGCATCCTGGTGAGACCCCATTGCAGGGCGAGAGGCATCTGGACCATGAGCTAAGCCCACGGGAGTGTGGAACAGCTCAGGCTCTGGGGTGGATGCTGGGCACATGGGGACCGTGGCAGGTGATGGTGACTGTGGGGCTGACACAGGGCCAGGGTTTTTTTTCTTTCTCCTTTCTTTGCTTTTGAAAGCCCCCAGATGGGAAAGGTACGAGCCAAACCCCACTGCGAGCAGCCAAGAATGAATTTCCTGGCCAGAGCCCCAGCCGCTCTTGGAGCAGCGCCGGGCCCATCCGGCGTCACGCCGCAGCGGAACCCCCGAGTGCAGGCAGGCTGGGGCAGGTCTCAGCTGGGGTGGGCAGTGAGACCCAGACCCCTCCCTGCTGCCCCCCACCGCAGGGGTCTCACTCTCCCAGCGCCCCGAGTTAGGGCAGTGTGGGCTCATCCTGCTCCCACCAAGCTGCAGCTTGGATGGAGCCCAGTCACCCAGATGTCCCCCCTACACTGCCCCAGAGCACCCCACCATGCAGCCATCTGTTGCCATTGAAGGGCAGGGTGTCCCCGGAGCTGTGGCCTTCGGACGGCTCTGTTGCCCATGGCATGGGGCATCTCGGCTCCCAAAACCTCCCCTCTCATGGGATGCAATGGATCCTTCTTACCTGAGAAGGCAGATGCTCTCCCAGGGCTGGATTGGGAGTTTGGGTAGAGCAGGACCATCCATCACAGTGTCCCCCACTCCTCTCGTCCTCCCACTCCCCAGCCTCAGCAGTGCAGGGGGTGTTAAAGCACCTCAGGCTCTCTGCCCTCATCTCAGGAGCCCCAAAAAGCTCACAAGATCTTTGTAAAACCAGCACCTCTATCAGCACAACAGGGAGCTGCACCCAGGGGCTCATTTTTGAGGGTGTCTTGGCTGGAGGGGGGGACAGGCAGGGATTGACACTGCTCTACTATGATCTGGATGCCCAGTCTTGAGCTGATTGTGTCCTTGTCATTCATGCCTTTACCCTGCCAGTGAAATGAGGGTGGGTATAACCCCTCCAAGGCTTTCTGCAGGGAACGGGTGCCAAAATCCCATCCTGACAGAGAGCCAGGAGGGGACCTTTGGGCATCTTCTCCCTTCACAGTCCCAACCACCCCCATCGTCATCACCTGCACAGGCCCTGCAGGGGATCCCAGGGCAGCAGGGATGGAAATCACAGTGTGCACAGGCTGGTTCCTTCCCTGCAGGAGATGGCTGGGGAGATGGGGAGGGACAGGGAGGCAGTGGAGGGGTTGTGGGGGGCTTTTGTGTGCTCCCAAAGGAGTGCCCGGTGTGCTGCACCCAGCTCCGCACCGGTCCCTGCAGAGCTGTGGGGGTGTGTGTGCCTGCCATAAATATTGATGGGGTGGACTCAGCGCAAGGGTGTCTTTATATACAGCGATTGGGATGTAAATGCTGGAAGTACCTGCTGTGTGGGCAGGAGAAAGCGGTGTAGGTAATAGCACTGAGGCTGAATGCACAGTAGCTTTTTTACAGGGAGGTGGGATCCATTCTGTATAGGTTGGGGAGGTGGGAAGAGCACAGGTGAGTAACCCCCGGGGTCATAAACCTGTTTGGGAAGTCAGCCAGGCCCGCAGCAATCCTAAATCTTCCATGCGAGACTGCAGCGAGCCATCGTGGCTCCCACAGCCTGCTCCCCGCACAGCCACACCAGGATAAACAGCGAGGGGCTGCAGTGCCTCTGTTTAATAATGCATGGCACAGAGGCACCGGACGCTTGCTGAGAGTCGGGAGCTGCGGGGACAAGGAGTCACCACTGCAGCACTCACATGGTGGGGTCCATCCCAGCATCCCCTGGATGTGGACACCTCAGGGGTCTGGGTGACCCTGAGACTGAGGCTGGGGGAGCAGAGCTCCTCATTGCAGGGAACAGAGCAGCAGCAGCAAAGCCGAGGCACTTGGTCATGCAGTGGCTGGTATCCCACCACACTGGATGCTTCCTAAGTGGAGCCTGGAGCTGGGTCCCTGTCCCCTTGGGCACTGTCACTGGGAGTCCCTCTGTCACTCTCTCGCACAGATGTAGGTGTAGATGGTCTTTTTGGGGAGCTCTGGGAGCATCTTTCCCTCTCAGGCACCATGCTGGGAACACCTGGAAGCCAAGGGCTCAGTGTCCTCCTTGCCCCATCCCTCCTCAGCCACAGCCACTGCGGCTCACACACTGGCTGTGGTGCCCAGGACGAGCATGCTGGGTCCTGCAGGCACCAGTTCACAACCAGCTCCTGCAAATGGCCCCTCTGGGGGATGAACACATCCCTCACTGTGCACAGTGCCATGATCCAGCCCCACCAACCATCTGCTGCAGCAGCTCCCCGACACCCACTGCCCGGCCCACTCTGCACCCCACAGCACGGAGCTGGGCAGGGATGGGCTGGGGGATCCCCACAGGCAGGAGCAGACAGACGGGTCTATGGCAGCAATGCCGATGGGTCTGCAATAGTGGTGGTAATGGGGCTGTGGTATTAATGCAGATGGACGCACGATAGTGATGCACAAAAAGCCACAGCATCAGCCCTAATCCAGACAGCAAAGCCCAGAGCCAGGGAGATGTGGGCAGCCTCAGGGCATGTGGCCAGCAGAAGTTATCCTGTGAGGGTGGCTCCAGAGGTGAATTTGGCCTGTTTTCTCCATCCCTCTCTGGTGAGCTCAGGATCCCCCACTGCGGTGCTGCTCCCACTGTTGGGCAGAGCATCGCGGCAGAGCCAGGGTCAAGCCATGGCACCAGCCACCTCCCTGCCCACCATCACCCGGGCTCATGGCACACTCCTGTGCCAACCCCAGAGCAAGACCTGCATTCACACCCATGCCTGTCATGGGGGGTAACAAGGAAATGGGTGCTGTGGGGCACCCACGTGTGCTGGGTTGGTGCTGTGACTTGCTGCAGGGCAGAGCAGTGGCTCTGGCAGCCCAAGGGCTGGACATAGGCAGGTCTTGAGCACCTCATGCTCACCCTGACCACAGCATAACAGAGTGACCCCGGGTCCCTCTCACAGCAGCAGGAGGGACAGAGTGCTGTCCCTGCAGCCTGCGCTCAGCCGCTGCGCTGGAGGGACCAGCTCCAGACTGATGCTGTAGCACGGTGGTGCCTGCCCCCATTCCTGTCCCCACCGGGTGCCAGCCCCAAGAGGCCAGGGCTGCTCTTCAGAGGTGCAGCTGCTGCATGTTCTGTGCTGCCTCTTCCCCTTCTCCCCGCTGCTGTTTTTGTTTTGTTTAAGAGGCTGGGTTACGAATTTTAAACAGCCTCCTGAAAAACCCAATTACCTCCAGAAGACAACCTGATAAAAGCTGCCTAAGTGGCACTGTGGAAATCGCCTTGTGCAGCAGTGGAGGGAAAACCAACATAATAAAGCCTTTGGAAATGGAGTTAACCACTTTTAATCCCTCGGTGCAATGAGAAGGACCAATAATTATTTTCTGCAGAGATGGGGGGGGGGGGGGGAGATAACTGAAATAACTGCCCTGTGGTAATGAGTGGCAGCAGGCTGGGCTGGCAGTGCTGCAGGGATGGGTGCAGGTATTCAGGGACCCTCTTCCTTCTGCTATGGAGCTTTGCAAGGGCCCACAGAGACTGTGACCTTGCAGGCTGTGGGGGCTGAGGGTGATGCTTGGGGCAGGCTTGGGGTGGATGCAGTGGGTGATGTGGCAGCTAGCTCTGTGTCTTCTCACCAGGTGGGGAGCAGAGCAAGGTGCTGCTGGGACCCTGGCACCCCTGGTGAGCCGGTCCCCAGGGGCAGCACTGGGAGCTTCCTCCTCCATCTGCCCACAGCTGCCCCCCATCCATCCCATCCCATCCCATCAGTTCCATCCCTTCCTGACTTTCCAGGCAGCCACCCTGCAGGTGATGCTGCCCAGGATGATGACAGGGACCATCTCTGCCCAGTATGTGCCCATGCTGGGCACAAGTGATCTCCCATCACCAGGAGCATCCTCCAAACGCCAGCCAGAGCCAGCTCAGCTCTGGGGCTGCGGTGGTCTCTATGGCCCATCCATGCAGCAGGGGCGTCCGCAGGGGTTGCAGGGCAGGAGGATGGAGGTGATGCCCAGGGCTGGTGATGAGCCTTTGGCTGCCCTTCCCATGGGATCCCAGCCAAGCAGGGCAGACTTGGACACCTGCCAGCCCGTCGGCTGCAGTTGTGTGCCGGCACCAGGGCAGTTTGGCCACAGCTCACGTGAGCTTCGTGCTTCCCACAGCAGGGGATGGGGCCGCTTCACCCACCTTGCACCCTACCTGGGGTCCCATGCTTGGGGACAGCATTCCAGGCCAAGTCCCGTGGAGGGCAAGCCCAGCTCAGCGCTGCACCCCGGCACAAGCAGGGGCCTGCCAGCTTGTCCACAGCTCATACTGGGAGCAGTCCCTGGGCACGCTGGAAGCTACTGGGGGAGGATGTGCTTAATGAGCCGAGGCATCTCCAAAGATTGAAAGACTGCAGGACCCATCCCAGGAACAAAAGGAGGCGTTTGTCAGGCGCTGAGAGACGGACGCGTTAATTCCTGCTGGCTGTCACACTTATCTGTAATGAATTTGTGCTCCGCTGTATTATTTTTAATACAATAGGAGCGGTGCCGCCCGCCCACCGCCCGGCTGCCGGGAGCGCTGACGTCAGCGCCCGGAGCAGGGCTGCGGCAGGACGGATGGACGGACAGACGGACAAAGCCTGTCTCAACACCCACCACCCCACCTCGCTGCCCACACGCAGGGCACGAGGCCTTTATTCCATGGAGGTGGAGAAAGGAGTTTGTGGTCAAGGAAGGAAAGGGAGGAAGGAGGCTGAGGGCTTGGGACTGGTGGAGATGGAGTGTGCCAGGGGGTGTTTTGGGAAGCGGTGAAGGGGTGAGGAAGAGGGCTGTGTCCTGGATGTGTTGTCCCCATGCTGAGACCCGTCCACAGCAGTGGACAGCCGTCAGGGCTGGAGTTGTCAGTGCATGCGCATACAGTCGGTGCCGTGTCCCTATGGAGGTGTTGGGCTGGCTCTTGGGTGCTGATTTTGCCCTCCTCTTCCCCAGCAGCAGGATGGCTCCCCAGTGCTGCCCCACATGCTGCATCACTCCCATCCCCCCTGCAGCAGCCCTGCCAGGTTTTGGGGGGCATCTGCAGCCCGTCCCAGCCCCTGCAGGCTCCCACACATAGAGGTTGGGGGTCCCTGAAATGACCCCACACCCAGACCCTCGCCAGCACTCTCCTGGGCTGTAGTTACATGATTCCCCGCAGGGCTGCTCCTCCAGAGCCTCACCATTAAGCACCAGCAATCCCCAAAGCCCGGCTCTGAGCACCACTAATCTGATTTGCTAAAGGCTCGTCTCGTTTCTAATAACTCAGGGCTGGATTAATTAGGAGGCGCCGGCTGCCCCTGTGCGGGGCATGCGTCTGTCCCCGGGGTCTCTCCATGCATTAGAATGAGGGTGGGAGGCCCAGGAGAGCCCTGTCCCAAAGGCGGGGAGTGGCTGAAAGAGCCCCTCTCTCTTTGGGCAGGCACAGAGGGCCCAGTCAAGGTGATGTTCCCTGTTTGGGAACCCCCCTGCTGAAGGGGGTCCTGAGCTCTGTGGGCATCATGGCTTTGATGCCACTGCACTCCCCAACAGCATCCCCTACCTGAGCACCCCCACCAGCCATGGGACACCCCGGGGGCAGGCAGCACCAAAAATCAGAAGCTGGGGCCTCTGAGCGGTGGCTGTTGGTGGGGGTGAGATGGTTTATGAGGGACTTTCAACTCCTGCAACCACCCTGCACCGCTGCGCAGGGGGACGAGGTGCCGGGTGAGGGAGCAGGGGGGTGCGGGACTGGGAGGGGGGCAGCTCCCCGGTGGCTCCGGCCCATGAGTGGATTAATGCCTCGTTTTGCCCATTAATTGCCGCGGAGGTGAATCATTAGCCCCGCGCAGGACGCGCTCCCCCATCCCTTCGCTGCGGGAGCACCGGGAGGGGGGGACCCTTTGGCATCGAGGGGAGCGGTGCGGGCTCCCCGGGACGGTTTTCTGGGGGTCGTGCGGCGTTAACCGGGGGGGGGGGGGGGGCCGCAACCCCTCCCTCGCGGGGCCGGGCTGCGCGGTGGCGGGGGGTGTCGCCCCGGGCGGGCCCACGCGTGCCGCCGGGGGCGGGCGAGGGCCGGGCCGCTGCGAGGCGGGGCGGGGCCGGGAGGGCGGAGCGGCGGCAGCGGAGAGCGGCGGCGGAGCCGGTGAGTGCCGGTGCTGAAGGGACAGCGCCGCCGCTGCGGCACCGGGCGGCCCCGGGCGGCGGGCGGGGCCCCGCGCCGCATCCAGCGTGGGGAGGGGGGGGTAAGCGGTAGGGTCCCCGCGGCACCGCGTCCCCTGCACGACCCCCCTCCCCTCCGCGGCTTCCGCCCCCCCTCCCCCCCCCCTCCGCCGCGTCCCCGGTTTCCCCTGCGCCCCCGGTACGTGTCCCCCGTCCAGGGTCCCTCCCGCGTCCTCTGTGCGCTTCCGCCCCCCCCCCCCCGCAGTGTACCCCTGGGCTCCGCAACCTTTGCGGTGCTGGTGTCCCCCGCATGCTGGGTGTCCCCTACGTCCCGTGTCCCCGCTGTCCCCCCGCTCTCCCGCCCCCCCCCCCCCGCCGTGTTCCCTGCGTCGCTGCAGCCCGTGCGGCCCCGATATCCCGGCGCTTGTCGGTGTCCCCCGTTTCTGCTGTGTGTCCTCCAGCGTTGCCCGTGTCCCTGCACCCCCCCGGTGTCCCCCACCGTACCCCGGTGTCGCTGTGCCCCCCTCATGCAGCCCCCGCGTTCCGGTGCCCTCGGTGTCCCAATGGCCCCCGGGTTTCCCTTGCACCTTCCCTGCAGCCCCGATGTCCCGGCGCCCCACGGTGTTCTCGCGGCCCCAGTGTCCCCTGAGCCCCCCCTGCAGCCCCAGGGCTAAGCACGGTACTGCCTGGAGGAGCTCCCGTCCCCGGTGCTGGGAACAACAAACTTCCCTGGTTCCCGGTTTGTGGAGCCCCCCCACCCTACCGCGGGGTCCCGGGGTGGGGGGGACCCTCAAGGCTGAGGCACCCATTGGGACGTGCACAGACACACACACACTGCAAACTGCACCCCCAGACTGCGAGCACAGCCCTGCAGCCCCCCCAAGCACAGAGGGCATGCGGGGGACATGAGCAGATACCCCCTTAACACCCCCCCCCCCCCGCTGCCTGCAGCCCCCTACACACACACACACACACACAGAGAGCATGCAAACAGCCTGCAACACCCCCACACGTACACACAGTCTGCAAACTGGTGTGCACCCCCCCCCGTACAGCCTGCAAACCCACGGCCCGGCACACGCAGCCCCCCCGCCCCTACACAGCCCGCAACCCCCCCACGCAATGTGCAAACACACGCAGGCAGCACAAACACGTACACAGAGCACAGCCTGCAACCCCTGTGCTCACGCTCACCCGTGCGAACCCCCACACGCACATCCGCAGAGCTCGCGAACCCCGAAACTCATGAGTGCACACACTCAGAGCTTGCAAACAGGCTGCCAGCCCGCACACCATGCGGGCACACGCAGCTTGCAGCCCCCCAAGCTTACACATGCACACACACATGCATGCACACCCCCCGTGCAAACGCAGCCTGCAAACACACCTCTTGACCAAAGCTCCATCCTGCACACAGTGCCCTGCACGCTGTCACCCATCCCCAGCACCCGCAGGGATCACACACACAGGCACAGGCTGCTGCCTGCAACCCCTACAGCCCCCAAACACCCTCACAACCTGCCAACAGCCTCTTCCCCCTTCCTCTGCAGAGCACATGCACTGCGATAGACACGCGCGCACATGCAGCACCCCGTGTCCTGCTGTGCCGCGCTGGCAGACCCAGGCAGGGTCTGACACCCCATACACCAAAGCTGGGGCTTGCAGTGGGTGATGGTTCCCCATCTCTCCAGCCCCCAGCAGCACCCCAGGGCTCCTGCTGCTCCACTGAGGGCAGTGCTGAGGTGGAAGGTCCCTCCACAGGTCCCCAAAGCTAGTGGGGATGCAGGGAGAGGGCTGAGGGGAGCAGGCACAGCCAGCAGGCAGATCTGCCCGTCCTGGGGCTGGAGACACAGAGGGTTACGTCACGCCTGGGCAGGGTCCCCAACCATGTCCCTCTCTGCCCATGCAGGTGGCCCAGGTCAGCAAGCCCGGACAGCAGTGGATGAGCGCTGGGCACTGGCCTAGCCGCACACACACTCCGGCACCATGGACTTTGTCATGAAGCAAGCACTGGGTGGTGAGTGGCCGCTGCACCCTCTCAGGGTCCCCCCTCCATAAGCGATGCTGGCTCAGCACCCCGGGGAGCATGGTGGGGAGGACATGGTGGGGGGACGGAGCCATGGGGAGAGGCAGCAGCAGTGAGGAGCTGCCGGTGGAACCCTCAGGACTCCCATTCCCAGCGCCGGCAGTGCCAGGCTGGGAAATCCCGGCTCTGCTGCCGCTAAGTAGGATTCCCCGGCGGGTCCCCTGGGTGCCAGCACCAAAGGAGCTGCTGGCGTCTCCCCCAGCTGACGCTGAACTAGGACAGCACAGGCAGCCCATGGCAGTCCCCATCCCCAGAGCCTCCAGAGCCCCTCTGCAGCTGGCTCCAGAGCCGGTGGCCCTGGGGATGTCCTGGGTTGTCCTTGACCAGAGGGGTGCTCCGTGTCCTTCCTGCCTATACAGGGGCTTCTGCAGCCAGCACCAGGCTGCAGCACCCTTGGGAACCAGCCGATGGTCTTGTGCTGTGCAGGGGCCACCAAGGACATGGGGAAGATGCTGGGGGGTGAGGAGGAGAAGGACCCCGATGCGCAGAAGAAGGAGGAGGAGAGGCAGGAGGCCCTGCGCCAGCAGGAGGAGGAGCGGAAAGCCAAGCACGCCCGCATGGAAGCCGAGCGGGAGAAAGTCAGGCAGCAGATCCGTGACAAGGTGGGCACTCACCTCCCCTGCACCCACGCCAGGATGGGGCTGGGGAGGGTGTCCTGAGGCGGTGGTGATGGGCACGGGGCAGAGTGTGGGCAGCACCCACTGCCTGCCCTGCTGAGGGCCTGTGTCCTCACAGTATGGGCTGAAGAAGAAGGAGGAGAAGGAGGCGGAGGAGAAAGCTGCGCTGGAGCAGCCATGCGAGGGCAGCCTGACGCGCCCCAAGAAGGCAATCCCGGCGGGCTGTGGGGACGAGGAGGAGGAGGAGGAGGAGAGCATCCTGGACACCGTCCTCAAGTACCTGCCCGGCCCGCTGCAGGATATGTTCAAGAAGTAACAGCACCACCAACCCTGCCATGGGGTGCTGGGGCACGGGCGCACGATCCCCTCCCACCCCTCCATCAGCTCCCTTGACCGTGGAGGGGGGCTGTCCCACACTCCCTCCTCATCCCCTCCTGCCCTTTTCCCTGGACCAGACCAAACACCCGCCCCGTCCTGTCCAGGCAGTGCCCCCCCACCACGCCAAAGGGGATCGGCCCTGGCTGGACAAGGCGAACCGGGACCAAATGCACTGATGTAACCTCGCGGCAGGCTGGGGGCACTCCAGGCCCTACTGGCCCCCGGGGTGGCTCCCCATGCCCCTAGCCCTGCCCTTCCTGCCCTTCCAGGGGACCCCGGCAGGCCTCTGCTTGCCTGCCCTTGTCCCCAGCACTGCCATCCCCCTGCCCCATCCCGCCTTGGGCCATGCCCAAAGCACAAAGCCAGGCGCCCTGCCCGCAGCTCCCCCCATCCCTGGTCCCCAGGCACGGGGGTCCCCTGGGGCTGCCCGGTGTGTCCCAGCATCGGGGGGTTGGAGGGGACCCCCGCACCCCTCCCTGCATCTCTGGCCCCATAGTTAAAGCCATATCAGTTAGACTGCAATACTTCAGCACCGGCAGGAGCGGGCATCACGCTCTGCCAACCATGTACAAAGGCACGTGTGGGGCAGGGACCCCCCCTGCCTCGTCCCCCCCAGCCCTGTCCCTGCTGTCCCCACCACTCGCTCGTCCGTGTCTCGTCCCCGCTGACCCCTGTTCTCGCGTTGGTGTCTCTGTGCCAGGGTGCGCCCCGTCACTCCATGCGTCCTCGTGTCCGCTGCTCACCCTCCCACCCCCCGAGTCCCCCCTGTACCCAGGGTCACCCGCAGCGCTGAGCCGAGAGCCCCCCACTGCGCTGCCGGGGGCCCCCGCTCTGTCCCCTGCAATAAAGCCAGCACGGGGCTGAGGGCTGCCAGACCAGGAGAGCCCGGCTGCTCCCAACCCAATGCTGGACACACAGGTCCCCTGGGCCTGGGAAGGGATCCCTGGGCAAGCATCCTGGGTACGTCCCAGGATCCGCTGCTTGCACCCCAACAGAGGGATGTGGGGGAACAGCCTCAGCCCAGCCCTTGCAGCACCGTGCTCTGCTCTCCCCATGCTTCCTCTGCCACAGCCCCCAGCTGCTCACCAGAGCCCTCCCCGGGAGGAGGCGGGCAGCTCTGGGCTCCACAGACATGCTGTGACCATCCTGCTCGAACTAGTCTTTGACAAAATAATATAATAAAAGGATTTGTACATTGCTTCTTTTCAGTCCTTGATCACCTGAGGTCCTGCAGCAGCTCCCTCGCCCCTTCATCCCCCTGCGGGCTGAGACCTCTCAGCTCATCACATTAGGAGAGGCCACAGGGCCCCAGCGAGGCCATAGATGAAGGGAGAAGCCACATACAGCCCCCAGAGCCCTGTGCAGTCGAGCTGCCTCTACACACCCCATCCACCTTGCAGGCACCTCTCTGGGGTTGGGGACAAGGCAAAAGGGATGGGTGCTGGTGGGCCACCACCCCACAGACATGGTAGAGGGCTTGTGCCCCTTCTCCCTGATTCTGGGACTCCCCTCACAGAATGACTGGGGATACCCCGGGGGTACATGGGCTGGTTTTGGTGGTTCATAGCCTTCTGCCCCGCCATGAGCAGGGCACAAGGCTACAGGCAGACCCTGGGCAACAGAGCACACTGTGCCCCCCCCCAGGACCCCTGGCAGTGCCAGGAGGCCTCCATCCAGAGCCAGCCTCAGCTTTGACTGATCTGCCATCATTTACTAGCAAAGAGCTCAGCTGTTACGCAGGCGGCATCACCAGAGTAGTCACCTGGAAAAGCTTCTGTCAGAAAAAAATACGAGGGTAGGAAATGATAGAGATCTTGCAGGCAAGGTCTCCATCACAGGCAGGCTGCACCCACTGCTGTGTGGTGACTGCCTGTGACCAGCATGTCAGCACAGGGGGAAGAAAAGCCCCACAGGACAGCCGCTCCCTGGCCTGGGGAGCAGGGACAGGGGACACACCATGTACCACCCGCGGCAGGGGTGCAGGGAAGGGCTCTGCCATGCGTGGGACATGCAGCACCTTCTGCAGGGGCCACAGCCCCGTTCCATCCCATGCTGCCAGACAGGCGCAGGGATACGGAACTGGACAAGTCCCTGTGGCTGTCCCCATCCTGTCCGTGCCGCTGGTGCCACTTGTCACCAGCGCGGGGGCGCAGCGCCCTCTGGTGGGGTGACAGCGCAAGACGGGAGACAGCAAGAGGGGACAAGGACAAAGGGGACAGCCCCTCCACACAGACCCCTGCCATGGCCAAGGGGAAGGAGGCAAGGAAAGGGAGAGCAGCTCAGCACCTGCTTCTGCCCCCCCAGAGCAACCACAGGCACCTTCGTTATGGAAGAGGATTTATCAAAATTAGAAAAACACACCACATACATTAAAAAAAAAAAAACAAACACAAAAGAAACAAACAAAAAAGCCCCAGATGGGGAAACATCCCCCAGTTCACATCCCCCCATCCTCCCCTTGCTGCCCCAATGCAGGCAAGCAACATGGGACATCTGGGAGGTGATAGGACAGGCTGTGCTCCCCAGACTACCCTTGCCACCCAGCCTTTGGGGCCAAGGGGACATCACGTAGCTGAGCGCTGCTGGGGAGCCTGGCCTGTGCAGGTCCCCTCTCACGGGAGGCTCCTCAGCAGTCACCTTCAGTGACACAGTTTCTTTGGCCACCTGCCTTCAAAGCAACGCGCCTCCCCTCATGCCCCAGAGAGGAGGCAGCAGCCCTCGGAGGGCAAGGAGGGCCCTGCCCGTACCCCCCATCCTCCCCAGCACATAAGCTGCTTTTTCACCGATGCTCCTGAGAACAGAATGCGCAGAGCTGAGCCTGAGGTCGCAGCACTGCCAAACAGGCAGAAGAGGGGGGCCATTTCCTTACCCTGACCTACACTAACTAAGCACCCTCCCATCAAGAGAGCAGGCAAGCGCTGCCTCCCCCCGTGCAGATTCATTAGGAATCATTGGGGAGGCCAAAGAGCTTGACAGTTCCTGCCTCCCTGCTGCTGTCGTATTTGCCATCTTTGTCGTCACAGGCGAAGGCCAACAGCGGCCTCTTCGGGTGCCAAGCCACTGTGAAGGTGGGGGACTCGCACTGCACCTCCCAGAGCTTCTCTCCTGCATGGAAAAAGGCCCATGTCAGCTTGGAGAGCCCGAGCCCTCTGCTGCCCCGCAACACACACCAGAGCCAGGCACCCGCTGCTTCCCTGCTGCACAGAGCAGAGGAGGAACAAACGCTGCTACAGAGCCTTTTAATCACCCGGTAACAAGGAGCAGACATGACACGCATGCCTGCCACCGACTAACGAGGTAGAGGCTCCCCCTCACGGCGCTCTGCTCTACACAGCAATACTCTCAGACTAATTCTCCCGGTGCCCTCCCAGCTCCACTAGCCCTTCTCCCTCCTTGCTGCTCCCCAAAAAGAAACCATTACCTGTCTCCACCTCTGCAATGTCGATGAAGTGATCTTCTGATGCCGATGCCAGCATCTTCCCATCATGGCTAAAGCTCAGCGTTCGCACGGGCCAGTCAAGCCTGCAGCCACAGAGCAAAGCAGACAGCAAACCTGTGGCATCATCTCCTGCACGGGCACCAGGGAGGGGAGGCAAACAGCTCTGGGACAGGACTACCTACCGTGAAAAGCACCTCACACACACCAGTTCATCCACGTCCCAGAGGCTGACCAACGCATCAGCACTGCCTGTGGCAAAGTACTTCCCCATGGGATCAAACTTGATACAGATGCAGTTTGAAGGATGGGCATTGATGGACTGAATGGGTTTCAGTTCTGGGTAGCTGTGGAGATAGACAGGGCAGGAAGCAGTGAGAGAAGTGGAGGGCTCGAATACAAGCAGGGCAGGCATGAGGGACACTGGGATGGACTGTGAGCAAACCACCAGTGCAGGGCCATGCTCCTGGAAACGCTGGGAGAATGAGGCAAAGCATCAGGGTTACTCTCAGAGAGCCCAGCCGAGAATTGGAGCAACCTCAGCTTCAGGCAAGTTCATTCCCACCCCAGAGGGCTGGGAATCACTGGAGTGTGGGGCTCAGGTTCCCCAAAAAGCGGCAAAAGGGCTTGCAGACTGGTATCTGCCACAGCCATCCTAGCTAGCCACAGCACCTACCTGAGAATGTTGATGCAACCGTTCCCATTAGTGAGGAAGAACATGTTGTTATCGTTGTTCCAAGAGATCTCATTGACCTCAAACTTGAACTGTTCCTCAGCTTTAGAGCGATGTGTCTTGGCATCAATGAAGGTGACCACGTCATCCTTGTTCCCTACTGCAATGGTCTGTCCATCAGGGCTCCAACAGATGTTGATGTTCTCCCCTGGAGGAACAGAAAGGCAGCAGGTCCCGTTGCCACCCAGTAATTCACAGCAGCCACACATTAAGCAGACAGGCAGCCTTTATTCCTGATCCAAGGCCACAGTCTGCTCCACTAACTCCAAACCACTCCCAGACGGGACTGAGTGCCAGACCTGCAGTGTAACACATAAACCCCATACAGCAGCTGTCCAGCAAATAGTTATTGAAAACTAAACTTAATAGGACTGCAACTTCAAGCTGACATGACCACATCATGACCTTTCCCACTTCATACAAAATGGTTCCACAGCAACCTCCGAATAAGGTCAACTCAAAGAGTCTCAGAATCCAGTGATCTTTGAGATCCAGAAAACACATAAGCCAACAATAAATACCTAGGTATTTGCTGTCAACAAGGGTAAGAACAAGGCAGGTTGCAGTTATGCCATCTTACAATGCCATTTCCAGCCCCCAAACCTCAAAACTGAAGCTTTCCAAGGGAAAAGATGGTATCTGGGTTAACCAGTACATGAATTGAAATAACTGGGTTTTCTGAATCTACAAAAACTTTTACTTCCACCATGGCTCTCTGCAATTTTGCCTTTCCTCAGTCTCCAGTCTGGCAGCCCACAGACTCCAGAGACAAGTACACAGGACATTATAATAGCCAGCAATGAAATTCAGCAGTTTCTCCAGTCCAGACATCAGAGTACATCAGCTCTCACGTTCACTGCTGCTCCTTCCAGATGAGTGCAACACAGAGATAACAGCACTCAGCAAAGACACCCCAACTACCAATACCCACAATAAGGGTGCAAAGCACTGCATCGCTGCCGAGGGGTCCACCACAGAGGAGGTGCTGTGGGGAAGACAGAGCCTCACCTTTGGTATTGACAGTGGCGATGCACTTGGTGGTGCGGACGTCCCAAATGCGGATGGTTTTGTCCCCAGATGCTGTGACAAAGAGGTCAGGGTTGCTGGGGTGCCAGCAGAGCTGGTCCACGCTGTCCCCATGGCCCCGGTAGTTGTTCTCCTTCACCTGGAGAGAGAGGACAGCAAAGACAGGATGAGCCTGGTTCTGCCCCTCTCCTATCCCAGAATGCTGCACCCTATTACCAGAGGGGGGCGGGAGCCCAGCCCAGAGCCCCATCACCGTGTCAGTCACACCCTGCGTCCAAAGCCGGCCGGCACGGAGCAGCCCTCCCTAGCCTGACACCAGCTCCAACCCTGGCACCAGCCTGCGGCGTCCTTGGCGACGCTCCCCTCCCGGTACAGACCCAAGCACCTGCTTCGACGTCTGGTACCGACCACCGGGGCCAACCCACCATGCCAAAGCGGCGGGTGTCCGAGCGGCCGGGACTGGAGGGGTGGGTCCGTGCTACCGGCCCGAATCACCATTCCCAGTCCAACGGCTCCCGGGATGCCTCTGCACCGATCCAAGTGTCTGCTCCACGTGCCCCCCCCCCCCCCCCCCCGGTGCCGAACCGCCGCCCGCCCGGTGCCGGGGACCTCACCAGCCGGTCCTTCTCGAGCAGGAAGACGCTGGCGGTCTTGTCGAAGGAGCCGGAAGCGAGGCGGCGGCCGCAGCAGCTCCAGGCCACCGAATGCACCTTGGCACCGTGCGCCGGGAACTCGCGGCTCCGCGTGTTGGCGCGGAACAGCTCCTGCATGGCCTGTACGTAAGGCGACAGCGCCATGGCGCGACCGCCACCGCCCCGCCCCGCGGCCGCCGCGAATGACGCACTTCCGCCGCCCCCCTATGCCCGGCCGGAGCGCTGCCGCCGCCGCCCGCCGCGAAAATGACGGACAGCGTCGTCCTCATAAGCGACCAGGACTCGGAGGGCAGCCGCTCGCCGCCGCCCCGGCGCCGCCCTCGCCGCCCATCGCGGCCCGCGCTGCCGTCCCCCGCGGTGAGTCCGCGGCTGCCGGGGCGGTGCCTCCCGCTGCTTTCCCTCACAAAGATGGCGGCGCTTCCGCCGCGGCCGGAGGCGCAGGCCGGGTACGGGAGCCGCGCGGGGACATGAAACCCCACGGACCGCAAGCCCGGCCGGGCCCCCTCAGCGCCGTCCGTCGCAGGACAGCCAGGCCGCATCCCTCAGGCATCCTCAACCTCCCCAGGAGAGATCGGGTCCCCTCGGCCGCCTCCCGCCAGCCCAAGCCTGGTCCCCAAGTGTGTCCCCGCGGGGTCCCAGGCCCCTTGGCCGTGTGGCCCCAGAAGGACCCCGGTCCCCCGCCTTGGTCCCCGCAGCTGCACCTCAGGGAGGGCCCCATCCCCTCAGCCAGGCAGCGGGGTCTTTGCCTCTGGTTTCTCTTTCTGGGCTGCTGCCACTGAGACCCTCTCGCCCCTTGAGCTAGGGTGACAGTGCCACAGTGCAGAGGTCCTTGGCAGGGGAGGGCCGAGGCACAATGACAGCGCTGTCTCCTCTATCCCCACAGGAGATCATCGATCTGACCTGCGAGGACATGAGCACAGACCTGGCACCATGGACGAGCCTCACCATCATCGACCTGACAGAGGACACGTGCAGCCCTCCCCCCAGCACCAGCCAGGCTGACCAGGACCCTGGGCAGGCACCTGCTTCCCCGGCAGCACACACGTTCCACCCCTGGCTCTTCTCCACCCTGAAGCAAGAAACAGAGGCAGGGTCGAGCCCTGCAGCGCCCTGTCCCAGCGCTCCCATGGAGCCCAGTGCCACCACAGACACAGCAGAAGCTACAGACTGTAGCTGCATCTCTCCCACCCCCAGCTGCTGCAGCTCCTCCAGCAGCCCAGCGCAGAACTGCAGCACTACCACTTTCAACAGTGACTTGGGCTCTCTGGCCAGCATGCAGCTGGACTCAGATCTGCTGTCCTTGTCCCCCTCCAGCCTGGACAGCAGCAGTAGCTGGAGAGCCAGTGGCCCAGAGGAAGAGACTCCCCATCTCTGCCAGCAAAGGGAGCTTCCCCCAAGGCTGAGCCCTGTCTCAGCCATCCCCACAACCCCAGGGAAGGCCCAAGGGCCTTTGCTGGAAGCAAGTGATTTACAGCCACACAAAGCAATCCCACAAATTACCCCAGCCCCAGCCAGGACCAAGGCTGAAAACAAGGTCTGGCTGAACAAATTGCATTATTTCAGGAGAAGCGGAGTCCAGCACCTCTTCCTCCAAGGCGTAACACCCAACAGGGAAACACAGCAGGTAAATGATGTTCAGAGTAGCTGCTACCAAGCCCAGTTGGAGCCTGCTTAGAGCAGCCCTGGTGATAGAGGATGGAGCAGGGGCAGCCCCAGCTCTGCTTCTCCTCTTGGGAGAAGCTTTGCCAGGCACCTGGGATCTCTGGTTGTTACCGTTCCCTTCGTGGCTGGCCCCAGGTCACAGCTCGGTTCCCCTGTGTGAGGGGGAGCTGGCTTTCACCCATTGCCTTGCCTTGTACACAGCAGAAACCTGAGCTCATGCCCAGCGGAAAGCTGAGCATGGTCCACAACACCATGGAGGAGAACTTCGTGGAGGCCACCTTGCATTTCCTGAACGAGTTCATCTCCTACCAGCACTGTCCCCCAAAAGAAATCATCTCCTACTTGATCAGACAGATCCTGTTGAACAACCACAGAGGAGAGATCCTGAAGGACACCTACATGCTGCTGCTGAAGATCCAAATGTACGTGTTCCCTTTGCCACAGTGCCCTCGGGCTGGCTAGATTATTCTCTATGGTCCTCACACACAGAGCAGGGAGTGATTTTTCTATAACCCAGGATGATCTTGTTACAAGCACAGGCACATCCCTGGCTGTCCGAGGGTGGCTCAGGGACAACCTGTGACACCAGAGGATAGGAGTGTGCTTGCCTTGTTCCTGAAGTGCAGATCTCATTCTTCACTGATGTGACATGGCAGAAATGCCTTCCCTGAGCTGCAGCAGGGGACGTGGCTGGAGCGTTTCCCTCTGCTGTCCTCAGGGATCCCACATAGAAGCATAATGTTTTGTGAGGCCACAGGGCCATGAGTCCTGGGACTCCCCATGGAGTGCAGCCCCAGTCAGGTGCTTCCAGGAAGTGAACGTGGTCCGGGGAAGAGGTAGGGAGAGGACAAAGCTGGAGAGAAGGCAAGGCAGGCCCCTGAGGAAGCAGGGCTGGGAAGGGCCAGGGGCTGCTGTGCCTCCTGGCAGGAGGTTGGGCAGTTCAGCCCAAATGGACACTGCTGTGTTTGCAGGCTCCATCCAGCCAACGCCACCACAGTGGGATGGGACTGGACGCTGCTGAAGTACATCATGGAGGACAAGGTACTTGGCACCACGTGTCACATTGAGCAGGGATCATCCAGCATAGAGTGCCTGAGGGTAAGTATTGCCCCAGGGCTTCACCCGGCAGTGTTCTGCTCCAGAATGGTTTGCAGCTGCTAAGGGCAGCGACTGCCAATTGGGTATCCCACATTTGTCTCATTTAGTGCTCCCCAACCTGCTGCACAGCTCTCATCTGCAGAAGCCACAGCAACAGATAAAGCCTCTGGGTCACAGCCTTAGTGCAATTGTAGAACAGGTCCAGCAAGGCCACTAGGGCATTTCCTGAGGCAGGCAGCCCCTCCTGGAGCTACTCCTCATCCACATGCATCAGCCCATTCCCAAGACAAATTCCCTGGTGCTTCTCACCCCGCAGCTCCACCAGGCTCATACTTTCTCCATCTGTCCTCAGGAGAAGCCCCATGGCCAGCTCCTCTTCCTGCAGTACGTGGTGCAGACCCTGGAGGACGACTTCCAGCAGAACCTGAGGTTGCGCCTGCTGCAGAAGTCGATTGCCAAGAAAGTGCTTTCGTGTGACATGTGCTTCAACAATGTCAAGTAAGGGACACCTCCTCCTCCCCATGCTCTAATCAGATGCTAAGAGGCAGAGCTCAGAGAAAACCTCTTCAGGCTCCAGATCAGACCTTCCAGGAAGCCCAGGGAGTGTAGGGCCCAAACATAAAGAACAGGAGCAGGTTTACAAAAGCAAACCACCAGAGATGCTGCGAGGCATTTCCAGCTGCAATCTCACAGGCTTTTCCCAGGAATGGGCTCAGATTTGCATTGCTCAGGACAGAACTGAGACGGAGGCAGTCCTGTTGACAAGCACAGAAATCCACTGTTCAACAGAGCTACTCCCCAACCTGTCCAAGCATATTCTTCATCCTTGGGGTCTTTCCTCTGGATGAAGGACTCCATCATCCAGAGTCCTGGATGGATCTAGAGGTCCATCCAGGATGGATCTAGAGGTCAGAACACAACCAAACTGGGCCCATCCCCACTAAAGTTCCTGTTTCTGTTCCAGGGAGGTGGTTGAATGGTTGGTCGCAACAGTCACAGGAGTCTATTTGTCAGAGCCCCAGGAACAACCACAAGAAACTACATCTTCAGCAGAAGCAAGGGCCGAACACAGCTCATCTACAGCATGGCTGGCCAGCACTAACCAGGCAGAGGTGGCTCCACAAGCTTTCTTCATGCAGAAGTAAGCCCCAAATTCCTGACTCCCTGCTGGCATTACCATGGGGCCCAAGCCAGGGAGAAAACAGTCTCTCTCTGTCAGGGCAGGGAAGCCAAGCTGTACCTGGGACCAGTTTTGGTGGTTCTCCTTTGGGTAGACATAGACTGGGCAAGCAATAACTTCCTCATGTGGTTAGTAACTAGCTCAATAAGCATCCTCCTCCTGCATGTAGCATAAGGCTGGAGCTAGATGCCATCCCCACTGCTTTACTTTGCAAGCCAAGGGGTAGCATCTCCTAGTGTTAACTGCTTCTTTGATCCAGGGTGACCCTCCTGCTCCAGCGGATGTTGTCCATCGCAGTGGAAGTGGACAAATCTCCCAACTGCAGCTCCTGTAAGATTGCAGATGTGATATTCCCATTTATACTGAATATTCCCCTGAGGAGCCAAAGGTGAGACAAATGTTCACACAGGCAGATGCTGCCTTGCACAATAGGCTTATTCCTAATTTACTTCCAAGTCAGGATGCATAAAGTACCACAGTGTAAAGACAGGCTGATTTATGACTGAGCCAGCTAAAGCATGTATCTCCCATGGAGACACACCGCCACCAGCTGTACACATCTACCCAGCTGGTGTGTTGCTGAGGACAGCTGATTCTCACTTGCTGAAGTTGCAGGACCTTAAAACTGTAAAGAGGGCCTGAAAAGCAGCACTTTGCATCAGCACAGCAAAGTACTGGCAGACACATTGCTGATTCCCAGAGGCAGCTGGGTAGCTCATCAGAAATAAAGAGTTCCTACAGCTTTGCCTTGGCATCCTTTTGATTGCTTCTCTAAGAAATGCAGTATCCGAAGGCAAAGCACAAGGGCCTGACAGGCTCTGTGTAGACATGAGACCACTAAACCCACAGACATTTCAAACCCATGCCTGAAACCCCCAGCAAGCAGAACTCTCTCAGAGTGCACAACAGGTCTAATCAAGCCAATCTGACTAACCAAGCTATCATTCCACCCAGGTCAGATGCCCTGGATCTGGCTGGCCACATCTCACTTGCTTGGCTGTGCTCCCTGCAAGTCAGCAGGAATGGGCAACTGCTGCACAGGCTGCTGGGCAGGGTGAAGTGAAGCAGCTAAGCTGCTTGACAGAGCATGCCAACCTGCAGTGGCCACAGGTCAGACCTAAGGACATAAACATAAGGCATAGCAAAGGTCTCTTATCACATCTGGTGGTTTTCCTTCCACTGCACCGCTGCACAGCCCCTGCAGTCATCCCACATCTGCACTGGATCAGCACCAGTGTGACACCATGCTGGAGCAGTTGTCCCTGGTCAGGCTGTGCTGTCTCCCCTAAAGTGAATCCCTTTTGTTTTCCAGGGAAGCTTTCCTAAATACCATGGGGAGCCAACTCCTGCGTTGCAAACTGCTAGAGCTGTTGTTCCAACATAGCTGTGATGTACCTACAACCTTGCCTTTGTCCCTGGCCAAGATCCTTTATTTCCTTAGACACTCCTCTGTGCTGCTGCAATACCAGGTATTTAGTCTGACCTCTCCTTTCCCTTTTGTCCTAAGAAACCCTTTTCCAATAACCAAATATTGTCATCTGCCATAGGATGAAACAGCAACATGGCAAAAATGGGATGAGATGCTGGAGTACTTGAGTTTGCTGCTGCTGAGTTACCAAAATGTAATACTGGGTAAGCAGCCTGTTTTGGCATTAACAAGCATGATCTTACCAAGAGGCTGCAGTAGAACAACCAAAGTACCCTTTTTCTCCTCATTTCTTACCATTCTTGAACTCATGGTTACCGAGTATTAGAAAGATAATGTGCTTCCATTTCCCAGGACCCTAAACAGGTCAGGCAACCCATTGTGTTACCTCTCCCCACCAGCATTTCCTCTTGCAGAGCACTTGCGGAGCTCACTCACTGAACGCATGGATTTGATCATTCAGAAGGCCAAGCCCAAGCTCCAGGACAGCGATGACATTGGCCACCTGGACATCCATCTGAAGATAGAGGACTTCATCAGCCGAATGCAGCAGGTCCTGGGGGAGCCTTTTCCTCTGCAGATCATGGAGAAACTGAACTTGCTTCGGGAGTTGTTCCTCATTATCACTGCTACCTGATGGAGACATTCACTGCAGCAGGGGGGCACAAAGAACTTCACATTTCCTCTATAAAACCCCATCGAAACCCCCATCTCATGCTGCAGTGTTAAGTGTTGTACATCATGAGTTTGGTTATACATTTCTTTGGGAAAAAAACAAATGTCTGGTTTACATGGTCTCAGTTCCCTTGCAAATTTGCCTCATTCCACAGTTTTACCAAGCACTCTGTACACTTTAAAAAATAAATTATTTTTGTTATATGCTGAGACGTCTCTCTTGGTGCCAGCCCTGCTCAAAGGAAGCACAGACTTCTGTCAACCGTACCTTGGGATAGCATTAGACTAATGCAGGCACAACTGACAATAGTTTGCACAGCAAGCAAAATGCCAAAATACCATTCAATATTTAGGAAAATATGATATTTTAGAAAATACCAAGCATGGGGTGCAGCGAGGGCATTCCCAGGGGAGGGATCCCCAAGCCACAATGGTCAGACATTAGTAGAGGGACATTTCTGCTCCAAATCAACCTACGTGACTTTGCCCAAGGGGATCAGCATGTCAACAGGGAGGACTGGGGACTCTTCCAGAACACCAAAGTGTCTGCAGTGCAGGCAAGCATGCGTGTGATGAAGATGAATATTGAATTCAAATCCATTGCCATAAACTCAAATCACAGCTGAAGTCAGAGAGCAATTAGGCATTTCTATAGGCATTCAAAGGCCATTCAGAGGCAACAGAGGCTGGGAGTGGAACTCTGGTCGAGCTGCTGGACCTCCATTCACAGGGATTTTATTTTTCTTGTAACAAAAAAAATAAATCATACACATTAGAGACATGAATACAGACAACAAATAAATTAATGTCAAATGAGACTGATTGCCAAGGTGCAAATGAGCGGCCACAGTGACAACTGCTTGGCTGAGTGGGAGACTTAGAACACAACGCATCATCAGTAGCACTGCTGAAGCTGGAGAGGAACCAGAGCCACAAAACATGCTTCTTCAGAGCAGACAGCAGCCAAGCGAGCCATCCCTGCCTCACCCTCCAGGAGGAATGTTTGGTTTAAGGAGGCAGAATCCACAGAACTCAACAGTTACCAGCTGTTAAGTAACCTCTGTAAAATGTCCAGAATCTTCCAGTACCAGATGCAAGGCTGCTGCTGCCACCTCACCACTACAGAAAGCCTGCTGCTGGCTGAGGCAGCTCTGCAACATAATCGTGAGATCAAAAGGAGACCCATTTGCCACAGGACAGGTGAAGATTAGACCAACACTACCTCTAATGCTTAAGGAATTAGATGGCTGCCAGGAGTTCCTGCCACTTCTCAGGAAAGCAAGCACTGGCTGTTCCCAGTAACTGGTGCTGACTAGACCAAAATTTACATACAGCAGTACCACAGCAGGGAGGAATGTTTAGCCTTGATCTGCTCCCCCAGCCCTGCAAAATGTATTTAATGCTGATGAAGCAAAAAACCTAACTGAGAAGTGCCCCAGACCTACACAATTCAGATTAAGATGCTAGGGGGTAAAAAAACCACACAGCAAATAAATCAAGCAGCAGTCAGATTGCCAGAACATCTGCAGGTCTGTTGTCTAGGGCAGGACAGTGTTGTTTCACAGAAAGAAAAGAGGAAGATTACTCAGTTCAAGCCAAACCAGCTCTGGTCATTTCCACCTTTTTGGAAGAACATGAAGAGTTGGAAGAGAAGCGATTCTTCCTCGTTATTGCCAAGCCCCATTAGATTCTGCTCCCTATCTTTCCAGTAATTGCATCTCAGAATGGTCACTGTTCCTCTTTTCCTTACAAAAGGAAAAAAATACAATCCAAGGACAAGGAATTACAAGGTGTCAAACTGTAAGGTCACATTGGATAGTAAAGGGAGCACCACATCTAAAACTGACCCTCCACATTCCCAGAGCAACTTCCTCCTGGCAGTTAATGGTCCAGTTTTTAGTCTTTGATTGTTTCCATCGTTTTCTGCTGGTGTTCTGCACATGCCACATAGAACCACAGTCCTCCCAAGGGTACTTCAGCACTGAGCAGGACAAGACAATCAGACTACACGTAGCCAAGCCAGCCTGCTTGCACACTACATGCAGGACTGTCCCACAACACATGATTCCAGGTTCTAATGCAGTGTAGTGTACCAGGAAGCACAGCTAGTGCAGCCTAGCAGACCAAACTGGTGCAGCACAGCAAACAGGATGGTTTACATTGGTTTTGTACTAGTGCAGGGGTTTTTGCAAGACTGGCTTTAGGAGGACATTCACAACTGTGCCCTCTTTTGAGATGAAGAGCTGGAAGGGAGATTTTCCTATTTTACTGCAGCACAATGGGACAAGGAAGCAGAGCCTAAGCCACCCTGTAGGATGCTAAAGACACCAGAAGCATTCTTCCTAGAACCCAGTGGGAGCCAGCACATTCAGATCCCGAGGTTTGATATTATGGGACCGTGGAGATTGTTTCCTCCCTTCTGTGACTGAAGTGTCCATTTTGGGTGGCTTGAAGGTGACTGGATCCTCTGACATCCTAGTAGCCTGAGCACGCATCAGCTCCATTGGGGATGGCTTCTGGGCACCCTTATAGGACTGGATGGTAAATCCTCCTGATAAAGAAAATAAACCACAGCAAATAAGAGCTAGGAAAACCATCCAAGTCCTTTTTTCCAATGCTGCCAGGAGTGAACAGTGTCACTGGTGCTCAACACTGCAGAAACCCTATGCAAGACCCAGCAGCTTCAGGTCATCTAAAGCTTATCCCACATCAGTGGCTGACACTTCCAGTTCTGGTTCCACCAGAGAGAATAAAAAGCTGCCACCTTTACACCCTGCCCTTCCACTGCAGCTCAGTGCAAGTTATTTCTGCTTTCAGGTAAAACCTATACCAGGGACCTAGCTGCCTTATATGTAAGCACAGAAATGACATGAACAGCATATTCACAAAGTGGTCCTAGAAAGTAGCAAGACAAGCAGGATAAGGCTCCAGAAACGGACAGCAAGTTTGTTGTGTGACAGTCCTACCCCAGCTCTTGCAACACGGGAGATTTTAGAGGACATACCTGGATCATTGGTGGATTTCTGGATGGTTTTGGGTCCAAAAAAGCTCCATCTTTCAGATGGTAATTTGTCCCCACCAGTTTCCATGGTAAAGTCTAGACCAGTTAGAGAAGTAGAGGATCCCTGACTAAACCAACTCCTAGGGAAAAATCATTGATACATATAAAACACAAGAATACTTCAAGTGGCCCCACTGTAGCAGGAACTGTACATGCAGTTATCAAGTTGCAATTTAAACAATCTTAATAGCATTGCTACCACCCCAGAACGAAGATACACATGTGCAAGTTCAGCAAGCTTTCAGGAGGCTCTGAATTTCACCCTTTAGTCCCTCACTGGACAAGGTTACCTGTAGCAGCTCCCACCTCAGCAGCCTGCAGGAAACCAAAGGAGGCAGTGGTCTGCCAGGAAGAGAGTACCTGTTTTTATGCCTGGGAGAAGACTGGGGAGTGCTGCTTGGAGTAGACTGAGCAGAAGAACTCTGCTTGTCATCTTTTGTCATCTCTCCATTCTGCATTTTCAGCTTCTGTTCAGAGAAATGCAGAAGGAACAGAGCTTAAATACAACACATAAGGAACAGCCAATTTTATTGTCAAACTGAGCAGCTGTTTGTATCACATGCTATTAAGGATTTGTCACTTCACCCAAAGCCACACGCAGTACTTGCAAACACACCTTAAGCTTCTTTTCACACAAGATCTAAGCATTTTGGAAGTCCACTATGCTCAAAACACATTCTCCAGGCTAGAGGAAGTAAAACACCACCTACAGCTCACTCCACTTCACAGGCAACAACAGTAATGTGCTGCTTCAATACCAGCACTAACAGGGAAGCTGCAGACATAGTAGACCTGGCTTTATCCCATCAGCTCAGCTCCCTGGTAGCAAGTCAAAATACCACAGCAATCATCTATCTCCTGGATTTTTCAGAGCAACAAAGCTTTCAGTCCCACAAGTTCTCTAATGGAGGCGAGACCAGACCTTGTACAGAACATAGGAGGTGTAGGAGCACCCCAAGAAGTAAACCCCATACAAGAGGATGGAAACACGGCTCTAGAGCACTGCAATTATTTTGACTGTGCTCTTCAAATGCAGTTAAACAGGAGCTAGGTGTATGCAAACCAGGATATTGCAAGTCCTACAGTACAAACTGAACTTTGAAGAAGTCACTTGAAGGGCATTTATAGTTCACCAACCACACGGGCACCTTCTCAGGATGTTTCCCATGCGTATCCAAGCCACACTAATGCAGTTCAACACTGTTACTGAAACTTTGACCTTGTGGGAGTACACTAGAACAGTTCACTATTAAACTCCAACTGCAAGATTATTGTGGGTAACTGAGCTCATCAGAAACATGTTCATTCAGGCCCTTTGTCTTTATTTGCAGTCGGAGACAAGCCACATTTCATTTGCTGACTTCCACCTCAGAAACACGGGGTTTACAGGTTCTCTTGGGACAAACAGTTCAACAGTCAACTGCGGGGCACCAAAGGCACAGCAAGAAACTAGATTCTGTGTAAGCATGTCCTCACTTGAAAGAGGACTGTGAAGCTATAAAGTCTAATGCTAACTTTAAAATAAAAGTGGGTAACCTTTTCTACACAATCAGGTAAAAGCCTTCAGAGGAAGCAGTTTAAGGAGAGCAACATACTCCAACAGTTCCACCACCAAGCATGTGTTAAGGTAGTACACAACCCACAGAAAAAGCCAATGCAAAACAAGCCTTACGTGGACTGCCTCAGCCACTCGATGATACTTGGTCTCCTCAGTAGTGAGGCCTTTGTGAGGGGTGTAGCCAGCTTCCCTCAGCCCTGCCTGCTGCTCAAAGCGCTGGATGCTCTCCTGAGTCTGCTCTGGAACAGACAAAAGCACATATTCAAACACAAAGGCCACAACAAACAGTTCTAACAAACAAAGGCAACTGCAGCAACCAAACGCAAGACTTTTTTTCACCATTTGTACCTACACATTGTGATGAGTTGATAGAGGCAGCAAGATGAAACTTGTGAGATTCTGACTTGAAAACTATCCTGAGTCATAAGGCTAAGTCAGATGAACAGTGATTTGTCCCAGATCACCAGCTGTATTACAAATGCAACACCCGCAATCATATCTATCTTGCCTATCAGCGGCATCACTCCCAATCACAACTTCCTAAATCTAGGAGACCCCAATACACTGGTCATTTTAAGTGGCCCTTTAGATTCAAGGGAGTTTTTTGGACAAAAAAGATTAAGTCTTCTGAAAGTCTGCCCACATGATCTAACTGATAATCACAGCCCTGCAGAACAGCTGGGAAGGATTCCCAGGGGTTCTAGATCAGGTAAAATAAACTATTTCAGCCAAATACAGAGCCAGCATCCAATACAGTGACATCAACTAAGAAAAAAGTCAAAAGGAATTCAAGCACAAAGATTATTGGAGAAGCCCAGTATCTCCTTTAAAACAGGCAACACTTCACATGTTATTGCTAGTTATTTACAAGAACAGTGCACTGCATATGAGGAATGCAGAGGACTTTACTTCCAATTTGTGATTGAAGTTAGCACCTAGAAGGTGTAGGCTGGGCCTTCTGACTTATCACTACAAAAGAACATTTTTAGGCCATTATTGTTTTAGCCAGATTAGCATTTTAGCAGTAGACTAGAACAGAAGCTGCTTTCCAGGAGGAAGTCTATATTCCTGGGTGTTATTTTCTGATCCATGGGTTATTTTTGAGCCAAGACTTAAAGAAGTGCAGATGTACAGCTATTCCAAAATGCTGATCTGAAAAACCTAGAAGTCCTTGGAAGCACTGCTTGGAAGAAAAGATGAAGCTGAGATCCCAGCTGCTAGAAGAAGAGGCATTAGTGACAGATTAACTCTTGAATAATTCCTCTTGTTGCAAACTGACCCAATTTCATTTTAAAGCATCTTTATTTATGAGTTTGGGGGCTTTTTAAAGCAAGACAGCAGCTGCTGCTATTAACTACCAGAAATGCCAGCAAGTGCCTCATTAGCACAGCATGTCAGCTCTCCACACCACTGTGGTTAATTTTAAAGCTCTACCTGTCATCCAAAAATAGCAAGTTAACAAGCAAACAGCAAGTAGCAGCAGCAGCCACCTCAGCAACAAGATGGCATAGACTGCAGTGTCCTATCAGCAAATAGCATACCCTGCACCCCTCCCTTATCATCCACCTCCACCACCTGGAAACAGAGGCAGTAAAAGTGTGGCTTATTCCCTAGTTCCTTCTAGAAGCACCCTCCAAAAACCCTCATACAGCTCAAGCACAGAGTCAGTCTGAACCCACCAGCTGTCCAGGAACTCTGGTAGTTACCTTGAGGCACTACCAAGACAAAGCATGCTCAAGTGCCCATTAGCCACCACATTAGAGGTGAGAGTTCTTACTTGTAATGAGAGAGTTCATGATGATGTGAGTGGCCTTGGCCTTCACCACAGGTACCTTGTTCACACTTTCTGTAGACAATGATGGAGTTATGATGGATGCATTCATGTTAGCATCCCCCTCCTCGATCTGTGGGGAAGCAGCAGGGCACAGTTTAAGATGAGAAAGTATCTCAGCACCTTGCCAGGACACATTTCTAACTACTGAAATGAAACACAAGGCCAAGCTGCTCTAGCAGCTAGCCTTCATCCCTTGGAATAAACCCATACACTGTTCTCACTACAGCTAGGAAATGTTTAGAGCTTGAACCTTACAATTCTTAGCAAAGAACAAGAACTTGCATCCAGTATTTGGAAACATGCAGGGCTCAGAGCCAAAAAGTTGTTAGTCTAAGCACAAAAGGTCAACAGGAAAAGAAACCAGAACATATCTACTTCCATTCCCATAACTGAAAACTGGACTTCAAGGTCCACTGGGCAAGAGCACCCTTCCAGAGACAGCTCAGAAACAAGCTATTTACAGAACAGCAGGCACACAGATTAGAGGCTGGTGTTTAGACCTCGCTTCCCACCTCACTCCTTGTATCAGTTCCCTGTTCAGTGTATCCAGCAGTCATAGCTCTACCACTGACCACAAGACCCAGGCAACAATGACCAGACAATGAATGCTACAAGAAATCCTGTGAAACACAGAAATCCTCCTCTTAGCACAGAAGTCACCACTCCCAAACTTGACAATTTGCTTTCTGCGCCAAACCACAACTTCAGGTTTCCCTCCATTAGATATTTTTTGGGTTTTTTTTTCAAAGGAGGTGAAAATCCGAGGTTAAGCTCTAAGGGATACAGTTACTTGCTTCCATTCAACCACAGTCAGTGCCACTTCAAACTGGGAAAGCGGCCTCTAAATTTAAAAGAGCTGGTCCTGTACTCAAAGCCCTCCCACAGTCATTTCATGCAACAGTTTGGGCTGGAAGGCACCTTCAACAACTGTCTGGTTTAGCCCCCACTGCAGGCTGGGACATCTCCCACTAGAGCAGGTTGCTCAAAGCAAAGCCCCACCTCACTTTTAACACTTCCAGGGATGGGGCATCCACAACTTCTCTGTACAGTCTGTCCAGTGCCTCGCCACCCTCTGCATAAAGAATTTACAGCCAGCCCAGATCTACCCCTTCGCCCTGGTTTCAGCTCACAGCTTTAAACCTATAAACACCTCCCATAGCGAGGGGACTCCCCAGACAGGCCCATCCCAACCATACCGCAATGCTACCACAAGAGAGACAGGCCGCAAAGCCGGGCTCTTGTCCCCAGCGCCTCCGGGGCTCTGCTGCGAATGGCGGGGGCAGCTCCCCCAGGGCGGTGCCGCGCCACCGGCAGCGGGACGGCTGCCAAGGCCACCGCAGCAACCTCCCGTCCTGTACCTTCGAGAGCTCCTGGTACTTGCGCTCGGGGATGACCGGCTGCTTCCAGAGGACGCTGGCGCACAGGTCGGCGGGCGGCGGAGTCATGGGCGCCGTGTCCTCCAAGCCCTCGTCGTAGCTGAAGGCCCGCCGCGGCACGCCGACAGGCAGCGATATCTTGCCCGGGCGGGGGCCGCCGCCCTGCTCCAGCGCTGCGGACAGAGAGGGCAGCGCTCAGAGCCGCAGCGGCCTGCCCGGGCCGGCGGGGAGCGCTGAGGGCTCGGCTTACCGGGAGCGTCCGGCTGCCGCGCACTCATGACGGCGGCTCGGCTTAGGCTAGCGAGGCTCGGAGGGGTGTGGTGGGGCTGAGCCCGGCGGCGCCATGGCGGGGAAAGCACCGGTAGAACACCAGCGCTACAGCGGTACCACAGCGGCCCCGGAGCGCAGGGACCGCCCCCGCGGGAGGGAGCTTAGAGGGGCACAGATGTCGCGAGTCCTGAGCGCGGAGCACGCTGGGAGATGTAGTTCGGGATGAGCGGGGCGGGGCGGGGCTGCGCTGACGGGGCGGGGCCAAGGATTCCGCGCAGCCGGACCCTGCCCGGTTCCTGCCCGGTTCCTGCCCGTCACCGGCAGCCCTCGGCCCCCCCCTCCGGCGGGGTGCTCAGCCCGCCCCGGCCGCGGCAGCGCGGCTAAGGGCCACGGGAGCCGCTTAAGGAGGCTCCAGGGAAGGGCCAGCAGCCGTGGGACCTGGCCCGGCGCGGGAGTGCCTTGCGCCACCGGGGTGTATTGAGGACCTGCGAGTCCCGTGGGCAGTGGGTGCATGGCACCGGGCAGGTGTGAGGCCTGGGGGCAGCTCATATCAGAGGCCTGCCCCCCCCCGCCCATTATCCCTTCTCCCTGACATCCCTCCCACTATCCCCACCACACTTCCACCCATCCACCCACCCACCCATCCATCCATCCATCCCCCTGCCATCGGAGCGGCCCCTTTAAGCGCGGCGGTGACGTAAGAGGCGGGCACATCTGGCGGGGGTCACACCGCCGCGGCCGCGCGCTGCAGGTGCCTCATGACTCTCTCCGGCGCCCTCCGGGCCCTGTCGCTGACCGTCGGGACCGCCGTGTTCGCCCTCGGTTCCCTCCTCTACATCGCCTGGAAGATCTACTTCTGCGACACCAACAGCGGCACCGACTGGGACGGATGGTGGGAGCAGGACCTGTGGGAGCAAGCCCCCTCCAAGGACGCCGTAAGGAGAGGACGGACCCCCCCGGCCCACCGCGGGCGGGAAGGGCTCAGGGTCGGGATCTCCCGGGCATCCCCTACACCGGGATCACCTCACCGAGATCTCTCCGATGGGGCAGGGCACTGGGATCTCTCCTGGTTCCTCACTTCTCCCCCGGGACTGTGAAGCTGGGGAAGGGGCAGGGTCGGGGCTACCCCTGTGCTCCCCAGGCTGGGGAAGGTTCTGGATCGCCAGTAGAATCCACACAGGGCTTGGGAAGGGGGCGCAGGGACTGGATCCCTGCTGGGATATCACACTGGTATCCCCTGGAGCAGGTCAGACTGGATTCCCCAGGGTATTCTTGGGATACAGCCCATGGGATACGCTCCTGCAGCCCATCCTGCAAGGGGACGGTCCCCAGCTTGTACAGCCAGTGGAGCCCACCAGGATGGAGGGGACGGTGAGGACCCCTTGCTCTGGGCTCATCACTCAATCATCACATAACCATGCGGCTGTGGGTACTGGGACCTGCTCCCACCCACCCAACACGCTCCTGTACCCCCCTCAGCTGGACTGGCAGAAAGTGCTGGTGCTGGGGCTGGATGGAGCAGGGAAGAGCAGCGTCCTGCACTACATCTGCAACCAGACGGCCAGGAAGCACTTCACACCCACCCAGGGCTTCAACTGCACTCAGCTTTCTATTGAGGGGCTGGAGATGGAGCTGCTGGAGGGTAAGGCTGGCCTGGCCCTGCATGGCCTGGAGCATTCCCCCCACCTGGAGCATCCCCCCCTGCCGACACCAGGCTGGGGGTAAAGAGCATCTGGGGTGATGGGAGGTCTGATTGATCCCCACACTGGTGCCTGATCCTCTCCATCTCCCGCAGTGGGTGGCAGCCAGAACCTGCGAGCCTACTGGCCCCACTACGTGAGCCATGCCCACGTGCTGGTGTTCGTGGTGGACTCGGTGGACAGGTTGCGCCTGGTGACGGCACGCCAGGAGCTGCACACACTGCTGGCCATAGAGCCCCAGCTGCCCCTGGTGGTGCTGGCAAATAAACAGGTTGGTATCTGTCTATCTCCACAGGTGCCTTTGGGCATGTTTCCAGTGAAATCCTTCCCCAGGGCCCTGAAGGGAAATCCTGATGCCCCAAATCCACCAACTCTTGCAAAATCCAATCTTGGGACAGTCTCCTCCAGTTTTCATTGGGAGGCATGGCTGCTGTTGCCAGCGCCTGGCTAATGAGTTTCAGGAGAACACCTAGGCAGCACATGCCAAATCCTGGATGGGAAATACATTTCAAGGCAGTTGACCAAGCGCATGCCTCATGCTGCTCCCCATTAGCTTGTGCCAAAGCAACTCCAGTGCAAGAAACAGCCCTGCCTGCACGCTATTCCTGCCAGGACCAGGCTGCTGCCAGCTCCAGGCACTGCTCCCCTCCTGAGCAGCCTCTTCTTTCCTCACAGGACAAGAGCGATGCCTTGAGCACGGCAGAGCTGTGGTCGGAGCTGGCCCTGCACACGCTCAGTGAGCATCGGGAGGTCTTCCTGCTGCCCACCAGTGCGACGTGGGACAGCCTGAACACTGCCAACAGCATCCTCCATGTGAAGAGCCTGCTGGTGACATTGCTCTCCCAGACCTTGAGCACTCTGCCACAGGGGGAGGGCAGCCAACCCCTCCCAGTTCAAGGATGAAATCACCCTTGGGATGCTCCTGGTGAGCAGGAACATGCAGCACAGGGCAGCACCCCACACCTTCACAGTAGCCCTGCAGGATATTAAATGAACGGGGCTGGAGAGGGAGTCCTGCCAGTGCTGAGCACAGCTTTCAATTCCCCCAACTATGTACTTAAAGCCCTGTTGAGGAGAGATGAGGGCAAAGATGTGCTGTTTGGTAGTTGCTGCGCCCAGCAGGCATTTGCCCAGCTGCCTGATCTCCCTCCAGTTCAGCTTCACCAGGTCACAGGGGATGAAGGAAGCCCTGCCTGCAGGCAGGAAGCTGCTGGGTCAGGCCACAGGGTGCTGGGTCCTGAAAACCCAATCATGAAAGCTGGGGAGCACCTTGGGAGAAGGGAGTACACTCAGCTGATCTCTGCTGTTAAAACTGTCACTCCTTCCTTTTGTCAATAAAAGAGGTTGACCACTCTGCACTGCCCTCCAGCTCCTTGGCAGAGAAGGGCTCTCCCAGCCTGCAGGCAGGAAGGTCACTCAGAGGGGAAGGAAGCAGCACATGAGCCTGCTTCAACTTCTGCTGCCTATAGGGAAATCAGCAGAGGTTCTAGTGCTGCCTGCATCCGTTACTGCAGAAGGTGCCATGTGCCCAATATCCATGTCCCACCATGGCACTGGGAGCTCTCAAAGCAGGACTGTGCCAAGCAGGAGCCCATGAGTAAGACACACCACCTTGGAAAAGCAATTTATTTTAACAAGGCAACAGGAGCACTGGCTGCCACGCACAGGGAGTGGCACAGCACACTCAGTCCCAATGCTACAAGCCCCAGACAAGAACCTTTCACGCCTGGTTATAACTATCTCTGTCTAATGAAGGTCCTTCCTCCATCACCAGAGGCTTTGCATAGCTCAGCTTGCAGGCACTGGGGCTGTGACTGTCACCTGTCAGTCTGTGCTAAGCACAGAAAACAGTTGTGTCAAGCCTGCACTTGCAGGCAAACCTGAGGGAAAAGGGCAGTCACTACACCTCCATCTTCTCCTGCTTGAGGGATGCAACAAATTCCTTGTACTCCTCGGGATAGAAATTCTTGTACACGTTGATCTTTCTCTTGATCTGCTTGGGAGTATCCTGGTAGTAGTTCTTCTCGTCTCGAGCCATTTCCTGAGACAAAGGAAAGCATAAATCAGAGGGATGTCCCCAGGAGCAAACACCAAACCAGCCCAAGCCACACTCCAAAGACCCACCCAGGCTGGCTGTGATCACTGCCTGACTCAGACAGGGATCTGGCCAAAGTTCCCCTTAACACAGCTCACTGCAACACAGGAACCAGGACAGAGAGGATTATTGGTTCCCCTTCTGTAGAAAATCCAGGATCAAGCTGCTCTGGTTGCTGTTCGCTCTGGGACAGCCAGTACTGACCTTGTAATTCTCCCCGTGGTTCTGTATCATGTACCGCACGTAGTCAATGAGATCTCGTGAGAGTGTGTTCGACTTCTTCTCGGGCAGACTGGCCTCATATTCCATCTCTAGGCAGAGAACAGAGACACCATGAAGCAGGGGAGGCAAGCAAGCAACATCTCCGAAGTCCCCAGCCTCTTCCCAAGATCAAGCCCTGCTGCAGAAAGGAGGCGGCTTCCCAGCACCATCTTGGAGGAAAACAAACAACAGTCCTCAGCACAATGTGCAGGCATACTGCTCGCAGCACAAGTGGAACATTTCTGCCCAGGCTGCAGAGTGTGACTGTTCAGAGCTGCCCAGTCCACCACCAAAACATGCAGGATACTGCAGCCTCAGTTTGTCACCCTGCTGTCACAAACCAGCCCGTTTCAGAGTCACAAGAGCCCTCTTGGCGCTGCAGGTAGAAATACTGTAAAGAAGGCAGCACAGGAGGGAAAAGGAAATTCCTGAGCCAGAGGACACATGGGAATGGCAGAGCTGCTGTGCTGGCTCCCACTCAGCTCCAGCCTGGCTGGGAATCTCCAGCCAGCTGTTGCCAGGGGCTTGCTCCTCTACAAGCCTGGAGGAGAAGTAACACTCTTAGGGCACAGCACAGAGATGAGAGATAAAATAACCCAGAGGGCCTTGGGAGAACCCAGCAGGAAACCGCCAGGGCTGGAGGTGCTCCCTGGGGTGAGCAGCAGCAGCACTGACCGTTCAGCACGTAGGGCTTCCGCACTAGTTCCTTTCCTTGGTCTTGTCCATTGCTTTCCAGTTCCATCCCCTGTTTTGAATGAGAGAAAAAGCAACTCAAGAAAAACCCATTTGGGAGAGAGCCGTGTCCTGATACATTGCTCCCAAAACTCCAAACTGCTTACCCAATGGCTGCAAGGACAGAGAAATCTCAGCTGACTTAAGAAAAGCTGTTATTTGCACCATTAAGCTAGCTCGAGGACAACCTTGTCACAGTGTGGACACAGACAAATGGCAAACAAGGTCACTCCTGTTTATTTTTCATGAGTGTGACGTTTTGTGGGGCCACCTTTTGCCTGGAAGTGTTGCTCACTGGTGCAGACAGGCCAGCCTGGTGCTACTGTACATACCAAAGCCTTCTTTGCTATCAGGAGCAATTCAGCTGCTGTGTTCCCAACCCTACCTCTTCCTGGCAAGTCTCAGGAGATTGACTGGCATCATTTCTAGTGAAGCCCATGATTCATTCTTAAGTCCATTATTTCTCTGTGACACTGGAGCTTGTTCCCATGCCAGGATCTTGGCAAGAAAACAATATCCATGGATAAGAAACCCATCCACCTACAGAGACCGGCCCAGAGCCACCTGACCCATGCCCAGGGTAGGCTTCTGCGCTTCCCCAGCCCGGCTGCGTGTCCTGGGGAGGCATCACCTTCCATCCCCCACAAAGGAGCAGCCGCAGCCGATCCCCCCAGCCCATACACTCACCAGCAGCTTCTTCTTGGGGATGGGGACGGCCTTGTTGGGATCGCCGGCCAGGCCCATCTCGGCCAGGTTCTGCGCCACCGACTTGGTGGGGTCCCATGCTTGGCGGATGTGCGAGCTGCGCGGGGACAGGCACCGGCATCACGGCTGCGCTCCGCCCCACACACACAAGCGTCCCTCAGGCACCCACCGAGACCTGCAGCAGCCCCCCAGGGGCACCCGGCCGCCCTGCCCATAGCCCGCACCCGGGTCCGCGCTCCCCGTGCGCGCCCATGCCGCGGCCCTCACCATGCGATGCGCGGGGCGGCGCGGCGGCGGGCGCTGCGGTACAGCCGCTTGCGGTTGAGGTTGTAGGAGTACTTGTGCCGCCGGCTCTTCCCCTTCGCCTTCGGCATGGCTGCTCCCCGCTGCTGCCGGCGCCGCGCCGGAATAGGCCGCGGGGCACCACGGGAAGTGTGGTCCCGTCCCGCAGCTCCGCTTGTCGGGCCAACCTAGTTGCGGACTACAACCCCCGTCATGCCCCGCGGCCGGAGTGCTCGCTCGAACGGCTCCTGGCTACGGCGGCCGGGGAGGGTCGCGGTGGTCACCTTCCTGCGGCCGCAGCTATGGCGGCCGAGCCACCTCCGCCGCCGCCGCTGGAGCCCATCGTGCTGCCGGTGTTCAGGGAGGAGGGCTTCGGCGACAAGTTCCTGCGCAAGACCCGAGAGAACCCCCTGGTGCCCCTCGGTGAGGGGAGGGAGGGGGGTGGCGGTGTGGGGCTGAGGGAAGGGGAAGGGTCGGCTGGCAGTGGGGCTGCTCTGGGGGTACTTCACAAGCCGGCAGCGCTCAGGTGCGGGGTGGGGGGGGTATGAACTGCTCCTCAGAGCCCCTGCCCGCCAAGCATCCCTCCATCCTTCCCCTCGGCAGGCTGCCTCTGCACCGTCGGCGTCCTGACCTACGGGCTGATCAACTTCAAGAGGGGCGACACCCGCAAGTCTCAGCTGATGATGCGGGCGCGTATCCTGGCCCAGGGCTTAACCTTCGCGGCCCTCCTCGGGGGCATGGCAGTCACAGCCATGAAGTCTAGAAAGTGAAGTCAGGCGAGAGGGGAGCTGCGGGTGTGCCCCCGCCAGCCTGTGTCCAGCTGGATTCGGGCTGCGGATGGAGTTTCTGAGAGACAGTTGTGATGTCCCGGTGGAGCTGGCACTGGAGAAGCTCTGGGTTCCAGAGCTCTGGGAACTGGCTAATACAACTCTGTGAATAACCTGATCTTTGGGCCGTGGCGGTTTTTTGATTCTTTGAGGGCTTGTCCTCCTGCTGCACTGAAGGCTGTGTCTCACTGAGCCTCTCCAGCCCTGTCAGAGCTCTCATCCCTGCTTGGTGCTGTCACCCTGTTGAAATTGTGTCCTGGGGTCAAGTTGTGTCTTTATTCAGGCGGTGCACCAGCATTTGAGAAATGAGCTGCCCAAGTAGAAGCTGTTTGTGGCCTCGTCCTGCAGGACAGAGTTCATAAGCAGCAGGTGAGTTGTCTGGGGAGAATATGTAATCTGTTGGGTTGCAGCCCGTGAGTAATAAAGTGAATTGCAGTGAGATTCTGACTGATACTGGGTGGCAGAGCATTGAGAGACCAGAGAGTAAACAGGAAGGGAGCAGGCAGAGCTGCCTCACAACTGCGGTGATGCAAACAGGACACAAGATGCAACTCCTGATGAAAAAAAAGTTGGGAACTCACATTTCCAAAATGGGGACTTGCTGCATTCCCTGGGTCCTGCTGCTGCTTTTGCTAGGGAGTCAGTTCCTGCACGGCTCACTGTTTCACATGAGCTGAAAGCTGAGCTAGAGGGAACTGCACTCCCTGCATCGTGATAGACATCGTTTGGATCATACCAGGGGGGTTTGGTGAGCAACAAGACTTTGCTCTCCCATGTCAGAGCTGCAGGGCTGGGAGGACATGGAGCTGTTGGCTCTGTTTGCTCCATGGCTGCAGCAGCTCATATCTGCAGGGGAAAGGGGCACGAACACCACTAATGTGCTGTGGTGTCTCCCGCATTGAGCTGGCTGGGGTGTTTCCAGGCACCGAGTGTCTGCATGTTGGTGCCTGTGCCCTGGCCCTCCCTGTCCTGTGGTGCCTTTGCAGCTTGTGGAGCCCACTAGTGCCTTCATGAGCTTCTCTGGAAGAGAACCCCACCTCTGGGTGAGGGGGAACCCGCTTCTGCTTGCAAACAAGCAGGGATAGAGGGGAAGGCTCTTGCCCACCAGAGCCGACTTATGAGGTGTGAGGGTGGGCAAATGAGCTATTGCCAGCACTGAGCAGGGCGAGCCCCACCAGGGAGCCCTGCACGTTGCCTGCTTAGCATGTCTTCCCCAGAAGCTGTGTCTGGCTGGCTCACTTGCACTTCAGCCCAGCCAACTTGGGGCAGGGCTGTGGGAGGCAGTGGGTGGGCAAATCTGCGAGCACAATCCCTTGGCAACCTGGATAAGGTTGGCTGCCACTGCTTCTGCCCCAGCCCAGCACAAACCATCTGGTCCTTCCCCTTGCTCCTGTTTCTTCCTGTAGGATGTGGTTTTCCTCCCACCCTGTCCTTTCCACAGGAGGCTTCTGTGGGGCTGTGTGTTCTCCTAAGCACACGTTGCTGAAGCGGAAAGATGACAGTGCCCTGTAGGACTGGAGATGTGGGTTTATTGTAACAGGTAATTCGAACAGTCACAGATACCAAGCCAGGGGGATGTAGAAGAGCTGTGGGCATGGCTCCCCGGGAGCTGGCTGCCCTGCTTGACATGGGGGTACAGCTGTTGGGGGGGCTGGTGGGACAGAGCACAGCAGGGAGACTGCTTCATTTCCCTCTGCTCTGCAGTGAGAAGCAGACAGACAGCCCCCAAGATACCCTGTACCAGTGTCCATCCTGCACCACAGCAGAGCTGCCTATGCATGCTGGAGGACAGTGGGACAGAGTAGGAGCAACAGCCCTATAGACAAGGGGCACAATCCCAGCACATAGTGACACCCAAGTGACTCCCCACACACCCATTCCCCTTCCCAGCTCACTGCTGAGCCTGTGCCCCTGAGCCAGGGGTGCCCTTCCTGACTCCATAGCTGCAGGGCAGGAGAGCTTTGTGTACTTGCTGTTTGGCTGACAGGGCTCTGCAGTGATGCTCAAGCAAATGTTTTGTGGGCTCTGCTCCATGTCACAGGTCTGTCCCTCTCCTGCTAGCCGGGAGTTGTGCAGGTTTCCAGAACTGGGCCTCCAAGCTGGAGGGGCTGGTGCTGGCCCTGCCAATCAGAGGAGAGAAACTGGGTGTTCGGGCTGGAAAGTGTCTTGTGGGGTGGGGAGTGGGACTGAGGCATCTCCCCACGCTGCCTTAGGTGTATAAATCCAGCAGGGGCCAAAGAGAAGCCACAGAGTAGCTGCAGGCAGATGTGCAGGTTGTTCTCCAGGGACAGTACAAGCAAAAGCACCAGAACTCTGCCCAGTCCTGCTCTGGGTCACTAGATTAGGGAAGTGGGGGTTCAACCTTCCTACCTCCTTCCCTGCAACCGCACAGCCTCCATCTCCCATCCCAGTACCAGGGGAAGGAGCAGAGCCAAGGGTCCCAAAGCCTGGCACCCATATTCCCAACTGCTGGTTGCTTTGCTGGAGAGACAGAAAACATCCCATACACTCACCCCATGGCCTCAGCCCAGTGCCCTGCACCACCTCAAACTGGCACCAGCAACCCCACAGGATGGATGGGACACGGACACTGCAACTGCTGCTTGGAGCCCCACCAGCTTTTTGTGACACAGAGCCAGGCTGGGGAGGGTTCTGCTGGGCTTGGGGCCTTCCCGGCCCAGCCTGGGTGTCTGCACTCAGATTCCTCAGCCCAGCAGCATCACGGTGCAGCCACGCTCCTGCAGGACTTAGCAGTGCAGAGCTGAGTAAGGGCTGTTCCTCCACCTTCCCACACCAGCTCTGCTCTAAACCCCTGGGAAAGGCAGGTGACAACCCCCGAGTCCCACTGGGATCACTGCCTGGGTCCCAGGGTCAGACACAGGGCTGCCATGCCGCGAGCTGCTCCAGGAGAGCCGCAGGTGGGTTTATTCCCAGTGCAGGGGTGAGGCGGGGAACACCAGGGGGATGTTCCCCCTCTCACTCAGCCAGGCCTCTGGGCACAACCTCAGCCCAGGCTGCGGGCTCCCCCGCTGTAACTCAGCTCTGCCACCCAGTGTCGCTTCCCGGGGAAATGCCACAGTGTAATAAATAGGTGTAAAAAGAGACCGATGCACCTTTTAAGCAAAGGAAAACCATGGGGAGAGTTACAACCAGTGACTCGAGCACAGCAGAGGTGCACAGACGGGAGCAGGCAGGATGAGGCCCCTCTTTGGGCTCTGTGAGCCCAGCCCTGCCTGGCTGTGCTCCAGCTGTGCCAGGCAGCAGCTAACGGGACAGGGGTGTCTGTTTGAGGGAGATGAGCACCGAGCGCATCCGCGAGACATCCTTGCTCTGCTTGCTGCTCTTGGGATTGAAATCACAGAGCTGGGCCACCTTCTCCCATTCGGAGCCAGGGGTTTCCTCCTTAGACTCCTTCAGGAATGCTTCTTCTGAGGCCCTGCAGAGACATGGAGGGTTGTTACTGGCAGAACCCCTTCAAAGGAGACCCTCCCCTCTGTCTGGGAACCCCTCATGTCCCTGCTTCCTGTCCCTTTTCTCCAGCTGAGGAGCTCTGCATCCTTTGGGATCCAGAGACACATGATGCTCAAGGCTGCTGTTGGCTGCACTCACCCAAGATATCATTTATCCAGGGGCACTGGAGTGTCTGCCTGCTCCCAAGACTTCTCCACTCCCAGAGCCATCCCCCAAAAGGCACAAGACCCCAAGCTTTGCCTCTTCAACAGCCCCCACACAGGCATTTCCAAGAACTCCACTTGTCTCCTAAGACTCCACCATCTGGAGACAAGGAGACACTCAGCTGCACTGTCCTCCCTCTGGGACCTCACCATGGCCCAATACCTCCCAGCATCCCCCCTTCCCTTGGCTGGGCAGCCCCAGGACCCCCAGACCCTGCGGGGCAGGATACGGTCCGTAAGAGGCACATACACATAACCGATCACATCGGCGTCCGGCTGCTGGTAAAAGGCTTTGTCAGCGATCCTATAGCCCCCGAGGCAGAGACAGAGAGAGAACGCAGAGCGGACAGGCAGGCAGAGGGTTAGAGAGAGAGAAACACACAGGGGGTTAATGTCCTCCCAGAGAGCATGACCCACTCACCATAGCTCATACAGCACCAGGACAACCTGCACACACAGTGCCCCAACCCTGCCCCAGGGTGAGGCCCATGCAGGGGGCAGGAGGCACCAAGATCCCAGTGTGGTCCCAGCCAGAGCAGCTCTGCACAGCCACCGGAGCCACTCACAGCCCCTTGCCTGGCAAAGCTCCATCCCTGCAAAGCTGGGCTCCACTGTGGGGAAGGAGGCCCCCAGACATCCCAGATCTGGCTGCACAGCCAGCTCCCACTGCAGCCCTCGTGGCCATGCTGACCCCAGCATACCTGTTGTTTGCTCGGTTCTTCTCCATCTGCTCATTCTGACGCAGGTTCCACTCCTCCAGGTCCTTCTTGGCCTTCTCACGCCATTCCTGCTCAGTTACCTTTGATGCTGCATCTAAGGCCAGAGCAAGACAGACCCCATTAACCAGACTATCATGCACTTATTCTGCTGGGCAGCTCCCCAGCAGGCAAGACAGCTGCAGCTCCCCAGCCTTATCCCCAGTCTCTAGTACTGTCTGAAAGGCATCACTGCCCCAAGGATAGCAGGGGCGCCCACACAGTGTGGGCCACAGGACACCTCTCTGGGATGCAGCTGAGTCGCCTCCAGGTGAGGGATACCATGGGACCCAACTGCCATGAGCATGGCCACATATGGCCTCAGGTCTCACCTAGCTCCTCCAGGCGCTTCTTCTGCTCCTCCCTCCACTTACGGATGCTCTCAGGTTCCTGGGTCAGCCGGTCAGCCTTGGCTATGGCTGCGTAGGCATCGGTGGGGCCATTGGACTCCTGGAGGACATGAGCACCTCAGCATCAGCACTAGCTCTTTCCACGGCCACCTCAAAGGGCCACTCAGACAAAACAAGATAGGAGGGAAGGAGGGTGAGAGCCTCAGACATGTGGGACAGAGTTCCCGAAGTGCTCAAGCTGCTGTCCCAGCTCCCAGGCCCTGTTACACAGAAACACTTCCCAGCCTTTACCTCCCTGACTTGCTCCTCTCACAACCCCTGGGCAGCCACCAGCTTTGTGACATGTTCCTATCAGCACCAGCCTCCCCTGACCCTGACTTGGGCTGAGGCAGCCCCAGAACTCAGCACTGTTACAGCTTGGCCCTATCAGACAGGGAGAGGCCGACGCCTGGACACTATCCCACAGGGAAGAGCTTCTCTAGCTCCTCTGAGCCCAGCTCCCACCTGGCTCAGCACCATGCTGGCTCAGGACCTCTCCTAACACCTTGTGCTGGCCAGGATTCCCAGCCTGACAGCGAGCTCAGCCATGGGATTACAGCTTTACTCCAAGATCCCAAATCTAATTAAGCCTGCCCAGTGTCTGATGTGATTATCACCCCTAATCTAGGCACGGGCAAGGCACATGCCACGCTGCTGGGCACTGAGTGGGGTGAAGGGCTTATCAAGTGCTGGCACAGCTCCTCCTGCAGCCACCAGAGCTGGGCCTGGGGCTCCCCAAGGGAGCTGAGACCTCGGTGGGTGGCCTCCACTAAAAATCCTTGGCCACAGGGCAAGTGGGTTTAACAGGAGATGCTGCTGAGTCAACAAAACAAGTGTCCCATGGCAGCCCTGCCCTGGCTCTGGCCTCGCTAAGAGAGGCTTCTGGCTGCCTCCAGGAGCTATCAAGGCTACAGAGATGGGGCACTCCTTAACAGCACAGGCCACCTGCAAACAGATTTGGGGCAGGTCATGGCAGATAGCACCAATCTTCTCTTCAAAGAGGGAAGAGAATGGAGCAGCCAGGACACCTGATGAGACACACACCTTTCCAGAGTGATTCTGCATCTGGATAGCAAACTGGGAGCAGAGCAGCAGAGCATGTGCCACATACCCACCCAATCCCCCTTAGCACCACTGGGCAAGAGCCTGAGCTCTCACCTGGAAGACATCTCCATTGACGGTGGTTCCTCCATTCTGGAAACCAGCTAGGAAAAACGGAAGAAAGAAAGGCAATTACAACTACGGCAGCTGTAGGTGATCCCAGGTGACCCCAGCTGAAGCAAATGTTTCTAGGAGTTTGTTTGTACCATTCCCAGCCCCACATACCCATCCACAACAGCCCCACGGTTTTCTGTCCTTGGAGGGATTCAGCCAACAAGCACCTCTCTATCTTCCAGACAAACCGTTCTGGGTATTTATGTCTTTACAGTGTTTTCACTAGTGTTTTATCTTATCTGAAGATTAGAGAAGCTGTTCCAGGCACAAGGCAGGACACAGGCAGGTGCTTTGACAGTAGAAAGACAAGCTCACCAACCCCCAGCAGCAAGCAGCTAGGCAGAGGCTGCCAATGGACTGCTCCAGAAGCTCTTAGCTGAGTGCCCAGCAGTGAAGGGCTGTGAAGGGATAGCAGCTCTGCCAGGGACAGAGCCCACAGGGACACTGCAGCATTGGCCCCCCAGCAGAGGAGGGCATGCATGCATGCATGCTGAGGCCCTTGAGAGCCCACTTCAGGTGATGCCCTTGGGATGAGCTGCAAGGTTAGAGCTGGGAATGAGGCACCTCCGACACTCACAGTTGGGGTACACACCCATGTGCCCCCCAGCCCCAGATAACACTGAGAGCTGCACATCAGGGTCACAACACCAGCCCCATGCAGGGGTCTCACTGCTGGGAGAGAAGAGGCTTTAAGGAGGCTCCAGACCCTGAGCTTTCTCTAGTGACAACCACAGGCTTCAACCAGCAGGCACAGGCAGCCACATGCAGCTCAGACAAGCACCATCCCGACAGTCTTCGACCCATCGTGCAGCTCTGGCTACACCCAGCTCCAGCCTGTCTGACTGCATTTATCACTGCAGCTGTCAACAGCTCTGGAGGCCGGGATCTGCCCCCACAGCCCTGTCTGCAGGGAGGTGAAACAGCACAAGGAGGCCCTGTGGGCCTTGTTAAGGGGAAGAAGCCAGAGTACTGTGGCAGCAGTGTCCATGCAGACAGCAGACAGCCAAGCCCCTGTGGACTAGAGGTAAGAGATCAGGATTAGCACCTTCTACCTGCAGGGCCTAGGACCACAATGTTGCCAGTGAAAATGCCTTCCATTCTGCACCCCAAAGGGCTCTCCTCTCTGTGAGGACAGTGACAGGGCTGTCATTGCTCCTCAGCTTCACCTAAATGCCTCTCACATTGCCCTAGCTGGGGCCACCGAGACAAGGAGACAGGTCCAGTCAAGGATAGTCCATTAAATGCAAGCAACCCAGCCTGAGCATATGGGGGAGAAATCACCCCATAGCCTTCAAGTCCCAGCTCAGAACTCACCCCTCATCCTCAATTTTGAGAAGGAACCACAACATCAAGAACAGGCCCCAGACAGCCCTTGCTGGGATGCAGGCCTGGCCACTGGGGAGCCCATTCACCTGCCGGGGACGCTGTGCATCCTGCGGGGAACACAGTCCCAAGGGGGGAGGTGCAGAAAGAGGGATCCCCCCCTGCCCTACACAGTCCTCCTTTACCCCCTCCGTGCCCACACCCAGGCGGCCCCTGGTCCGCGGCGCTCACCCGGTTCCGGCTGGGCCGCCTGCCCGGTCGGGGCGGTGGCCGACTCGCCGTCGGTCGGCCCGAAGCCCTCGTCGTTCTCGATGCCCGCGATCTCGCTCTCCTGTTGGGCCAGGAAAGCGGCGGCCGGGTCCTCCTCGGCGCCGGCCGCCTCAGAAGAGGAAAAGAAGCCGAAGTCGTCGGCCATGGCCGGTCCGCCCCGCTCCCGCTGCGCGGCTCGGCTGGGCAGGGCCTGACGGGCACCGGGCGGAGCTGTCACTGCGGCGGCGGGCGGCCCGGCCCTCTGACATCACGGGGGGCCGGGCCAGCCTCCCGGTGGACAGCTTCCTGCATCGCAGCCGGCCGGAGCCGGTGCGGTCCCACTGCGGGCATGGGTGGGCGGAGCAGCTCGGTCCCCTCTCCCCACGCTCGCAGGACCGTTGTCCCGGGGCGCCGTCACCACCCAGGCGCGCACCCGTAGCTCTGCGGGGCGGGAGCGGGCGGCCCCTCACAACCACCATCTTGACTGGCGGCCGCCATCTTGGGTGGAGCCGCCGCCGTTAGAACCGGCGGCGGGGCGGGAGGTGCCCGGGTAGGACCCACAGGATGGCTGGCAAGCTGCCGCGGTGACAGTCAGCCCAGGCAGCGTTCGGGGGGCTCCAGTCCGCATCCCCCCCCCAACACCCTCGGGCTCCAGGCTCTAGCGGGACTCGCCCCCAAGGCTAAAGGCAGCCATCCCCATCCCAGCCGGCTCCGGAAACGCCTGAGCGGCTTTCGGCACGTTTCGGAACTCTTCGTGCGGCCATCGGGAACACCCGAGCGCGGCCGAGCCCCGTTGATGAGATTCGGGCATTTCCGGATAGGTCTGCGAGCACTTCGGCTTTCTCCGGAACGCGCGCGAGCATTTCCGGTTACGGCAGATAAAAGGCCATTGGCTTCGTAACGGCGCTGGGTGCTCGCGCGCTCCCGAGAGCCGGGGCGGAAGTGCGGGTGGCGGAGACGTCAGTTCCGGAGAGTGACGGAGCGGCGGGTCAGAGGCAGCAGCAAAATGGCGGCGCCTGAGGAGCGGGAGCTGACGGCGGAGCAGACTGAGAAGCTGTTGCAGTTCCAGGTGCCGCGGCGCTTGGGGGGCTCGTGCCGGCTGGTGGGAGCGGAGGAGGCGGTGCCGGACCCGTCTCACCGGCGCTGGGGGCCTGCCGGCCTCCGCCGGGCTGGGGGAACGGCGTTCACCGAGAGCTGGGGCAGGCCCAGCATGGAGCTGAGCGCGGGGCTGTCGGGCCGGGACTGGGTGAGGGGCGAGAGGAGAGCGTCCGGCGGTCCCTGTCCTAGCGGAAACTCCCCGTGAGGGCGAGCGGAGCTCTTGTGTCGGGCCCGGGCTCTGCCGGGTTGGGGCTTCGCTGAGGGGCGGCTGGTGCTATGCATGCTCTGGGTGCTTCGTTTGGAATGGTTCTGTCATCGCTAATTGGGGAGGCAGGAAATGACTACTGAATAATAAACTTCATTAACTCCATACAGGAAAAACTCCTTGGTAAATCCCGGCCATTTTATTTAGGTAGTCTGAAAAATTCCTTTCCTCAGTGCTGAATGGAGGAGTTTTTCCTGGAGCCTTGAGAGGGTCAGCCAGAGGGTTTCTGTGCACTGTGGTTTCTCAGAAAATTGTTTCTAACCCTCACGGTTTGGTAATGTCCCTGCTGGGGGGAGGCCAGTGAGGATTGTAATGATCTAATCTTGCTGTCTGCTACATTAACATGGGCTGGGTTGCTTAACCTTTGGCTTGCCAAGGATTCAGGGCTGCTCAGCAGCTGAATAACTAAATCAATCTGTAGATGTGGTTTATTGTGGAGAAAACAGTGCTGTGGAGTTGGAAAACTTCAGGCTGCTCAGTGAGAAGTGATTGAACATGTGAGTAATGAGAATGGTCTTCAGGTGTCTGGGGTTGGTTCTGAATTGTAGGGCATCATGTGGTGTTCCTTGGGTTGCAAAGTTCTTTTACAAACACCGTGCTGACTTTCAGGAGTGTTTTGTCTCATTTTGTACCTTCATCTTAATTTTTTTTAAGACTCTAGTTTGCAATATTTTGGTGGGATGTGACTGTAGAACTACAGGGTTTAAAGGGATTTGAGAGGCATCCAGCCCTGCTGCCCTCAGCTGAGGTAGGTGCAGGCTTCTCATTATTCCAGACAGATCTTGCCAAGCCTTTACCTCCAAGCCAGGGGAATTCAGCAACCTCCGGAAGCAGTCAGTGTGCTGCAGTGTTCTTTTGTGACTGTAGCTATGAGGAAAATTTTCTTATGGATACCCTCTCTGAATCTGTACTGCAAATTAAGCTGTTTGGGCAATCTTAACTTGCAGACTAAGGAAGCAGAGCAATGTTAACATTGCTTTCAGAGTGCTACCTTTTCTGTGGTAGGTACAGGAGGTTTGAGCCGCTGCCTTATGCTGCATATCTCTGGGCAAAAGCTGTCCTCCAGCTCCCATTCTCTTGCTGTAAGGTATCAGTGCTCATTAATCTCCTGAATGTGGACAGATGGGACCAGCTGCACTCATCAAGGTCCCTGTTGCTATTTTCAAAACCCTGTGGGCAGCTGTGAAACTGAAGAATCCTGTTTCCGGGTGTTACCTGGTGTTGCCATGGGCAGCAGGCTGGAGGAGAAGCAGGACTCAGGAGGAGAGATTCATGTTTTAGTCTAGCTCCTGTTGAACCCTGGTTTGAAGTGGAGGGAAATGCTCCTTAGACCACAAAGGGAAGAAAATCTTCACTTAAAAGACAGGTGTTGTCCACAGCCTGATCTGAAAGATCAGGTCCAGAAGGCTTTTGATCCTTGGATCCTCATTCCTCTGTCTTGTGGCATATATGGGATTAGCTTTTCACCAGGTCTGTGCTAATGATAGGCTGCACTGGTGATTCCTTCTTCTTTGGTACTTCCTTTCAGTCAGGTGTGGGCTCAGCCCTGCTTGTTTCTTTGAGATGAGATAGAATAAATCAGCCCACCTGCAAAAGATTTATTTCCTTTAGGTGCACTCTGCTAAATAATATTTGCTGTTTGGAGGGGCTGGCTAACTCACTAAAATCCTTTATATGTTGCCATTGCTGTAAAACACTGCTTCAGGTGGCTTTTGGGGTTCTTGTTGCCTTTATAGTGAGCACTTAAAGTATTTTCAAAGACAACTCTACCCATGTTGTGCTGCACCATCATAAGTGATTTGTACAATACCCTGTGGTGGCAGAGCCTGATATTTCCACAGGAGGTGGCATGTCACTGCTATTTGAATAAAGCAGGAGAGGACTAAGAAAGAAGGGAGTGGGGATAACAAAGATGAGGCGAGACATAGCAGAGGGCCCTCAGCAGTGCTACACTTAAATGGGAAGCCTTGAGCAAGAGCTGTAGACTGCCATCCACCCAGCAAACAGCTGTTCTGGGTGAAAATCCTGTTGCCTTATGCTGTTTATCCTAGTTCTGCTGGAATTACTCCTCCCAAGGCAGAGAGGTGGATGCCTGCTGGCTTGTCTGTTGCCTGAGGAGCTGTTGGGGTTACAGTTTGAATACCTGCTTTTCATGAATCCCACTGATGTTTGCTCAATATGTTTTGGTAGTGCTCATATAAGCAGCTTTGCTGGCAGAAGGGTGAAAACAGCAGTTCTCTTCCTATGCATGGGGCTGGATTAGGGCAATTGTCTGCCACCCTGTGATGGCAGGTTAATGGAGGGGGGGAAAAAGTACCACTATGGAGAGATAATTGGACTAAACGTGAAATAAAAGCCGCAGAGCACTCACTCTTGCCCGCTTTCAACCTCCCATTTGCTGCCAAAGCTTTGACTAATGTAAAGGAATAAAAGCATCTAAACTTTTCATCTGCCAAGATTTGGCTGCGTTGACATCTGTAGAGAGAAATTTGATGTGAACAGCTCAAGAAAGCTGTGGAGAATCCGGCTCCATTTGTGAGATGGAGGAAAGGGCAGAGCAGCTTTTGTAGGATCTCGTTATTGATCTGTGCCCATTATGCTTGGGCTGATGTCTGATGTTCTAATATGCTAATGTAAAGTAATGGAGTGTTATTCACAAAGGCAAGGTTAGCACTCATGATACCATCTCTGACTTCAGCTGGGGAAAGCAAAAAGCTCAGGGCTGAAAACATCTCTAAACTGAAGAGGAAGGAGGGAACAAACTGCATCTTTCCTATTCAGTGTATTGTGTATCGATCAAAACCCTCACAAAGGCATTGGCGGTAATACACAAGGAGAAGCTCCCTCAGTAAAGGCTTGCTCCTGCTTGAAGTCAGATGTTCTTTATCCCTGGAAACACAATTCTCTGGAATTTGGCAGTGAGTTGGGAATTAAGAGTGGTGCCAGTTACTGTCCTGTGGATTTGCATCTCAGCGTTTCAACATAGGAGTGTATCCGGAGAGGGAAGTTTCCCAAGTCCAGTTTACAACCTTTGTCCACTTTGTGTGCTTTTGAAGCACATGGAGTTTCATTTTCCACTACATTGAGAAGATTGCAGCATTCTCGGCAGTCTCAAAGGTGAGAGATGCATTTATTATATTCAGCAGCAGCTTCAGTATGTTTTAAGGTAGCACTCTGCTTTCAGAGGTGTTTGAGATGGCAGTGTTGAACTTTCCTGGCATTTGTGGTGCTTAATATCTTGTTTTCAGAATATTATCCACTTTCTTGAGCTTGCATCTTCATTTATTTGAAGGCATGAGGCTGCTAGCTTAATGGGGTTAAATTGACCCAAGGGGGGCTTATCTTTTTCTTGCTTACTATGACTAAGAGATACAGTCTTTAAGATACAGCCTTTAATGAGACATTACAATCGGTAGGAAACTAGTATCTACTGATTTGAAGATACTGTTTATTCTCCTAGCCTTAGTGACACTAAGGAGATGCTCCTTTGTCTAATGTGAATAATGCAGTTTGCAGCTACTACCAGAAATGCTGTAACTGGTGCAGTGGAAGTGATGTGGTGTTTCAAGTCTCTGATCCCTGTCTGTGGCTAAGGTGAAGCAGTGGCTGTAGAAGGTGCTGAGATAACAGTATAAAAGGTCGTTAGGGATGATAAGGAGCAGTATCAGTGCTTCCCAGCAAGTGTTGTTCAACTGACAGTTGAACTGTCTTCCTGCAGTTCCTTACGTTGAGTGCAAGTCATTCTGAACCCATGTGTCTTCCAGAGCAGGCTGGAACTGTAGTGTGTCTTATGATGCATGTCAAAGTACCATTCAAAACGGTGTTCAGTTTAAGGTGCCTTTACACAGGCAAGTTTTTCCCAGTAATGTTTGATTGTGCAGCTTCATTGATCAGGAGAGGCAGGAGCATGCGGCATGATGCTGCTGGGCTGGTTCTGTCTCTTCTGTTCCTTGTTGAGAGCAACTGTACTGAGATGCTAAGGGGAAAAAGGAGTAGATTCCCCTCCATAGAGAACTGCCATTGTCAGACTCACCAACAGTGTTCCTGTTGCTGTAATGATGGTGGGGAAGGGGTGAAGTTTGCTGCCTTGTGCTCTGTTTTAGACCTACTGAGCAAATGCTGCAGTGCTTCAGTCCTCAATAGGTGCATGTTGATAGTTCTGCCTGGCTGTTGCTTTGGTGCTGCTTTCTGACCTAAAAGTGCTAAAACATTTGCATAATCTGAAAAGGAGAATGTTCAGCCCTGAAGCTCTGTTGTTAGTTTAGAAACAAAGGTGTGAATGAGTTTCTGGAGCTTGTTGTGTTTTAGACCCAGCTGGCAACTACACACCACCAGCTGCTCACTCCTTCATTCCTCCCCTGGTGGGATGGGGAGGAGAGTCAGAAAAAGGTAAAACCTAGGGTTTGAGGTAAGAGTAGTTTAATAATTGGAATAAACTAAAAATGTAATAATAATTGTAATGAAAAGGGAGACAACAGAAAGTGAGGAATAAAACCTAAGAAAGATGAGTGATGCACAACACAGTTGCCCACCCCCTGCTGACTGATGCCCAGCCTGTCCCCAGGCAGCAACTGGTGGCTCCCAGGCAACTCCCCCCAAGTTTCTGTACTGGGCATGGTGGTCTATGGTATGGAATATCCCTTGTGATAGCTCGGGTCAGCTGTCCTGGCTGTGCCTCCTGCTTCTTGTGCCTCTGCTCACTGGCAGAGCATGGGAACCTGAAAAGTCCTTGATCAGGGTAAGCACTGCATAACAACATCTAAAACATCCGTGTGTTACCAGTGTTATTCTCACACTAAAGCCACAGCACTGCACCAGCTACTAAGAGGAAAATTAACTCTACTCCAGCTGAAACCAGGACACTTGGAAATCCTGCAAACACCTGCAGAATTTCCAGGCTGTTCAGGAATGTTGATCAGAAACTTTCAAGGCTTTGAAAAACAAAAGATTGTGACTGTTGTAAAATCAAATGATTGAGTAAATTGCAGGTGCCTTTTAAGATGTCCTTCTACCAGAACAATGAAGTGCTTCTGTAAGAGTTTGGGATAAAAAAGGAAGTCAGAATGCAAAGTCTAGGTTTTACTCAGTGAAGCACATCTTTAAAGAAAGGCAGTCAAACTAAAGCGCTAAATCGTGAAGCTGAGCAATAAGTGAAGGTGTTCTGGCAGCAGCAGCTGAGTTCCTGAGCTTTACTACTTCTGTGGAATTTACTTGCAAGGTGCTCCGTTGCAAGTACTTATGTTTTAATACATTTTTATACACCACCGGGCAATGACTTGAAGTGCCTTTTTCTGCGCAGCTCCAATAGCATAGTGAATGTCAGCAATGCTTTGAACAGTCCAGTTCTGTACAGCAGAATGAAACAATGGTGTTTGCCCAGTAGGTTGGGCGGAAGGTAGAAATCTGTGGAGACTTCATGAAAAAGAAGCCAAGAAATGCTCAAAAGTTTGAGCTGAGCCCAGAGATTGAATAGGCCATTTGTCCACTGCATTACTTGGGTGGAAATAGCATGTGGAATGTATGAATGGGGGCAGGGAAAGGAATAGATGCACCATCCTTCTCCAGTAGAAAAAAACAATTCAGTGCATTCTGAAATGGTCAGTTTGTCCAGACTGCCCCAGGGGCTTTTAAATGGAGCAAGGAATGAGGCAGATAAAGAGCAGAATTTAATAGGCTTGCTATTGCTATCTCTTCTTGAGCCATCCAGGTTGCTGCAGCCTCTGTAGGGTTACACCAGCTGCCTGGGATGGTGTCTGGAGAGAAATCTGCCAGGTGAGAACATGGAGCATTGAGAATCTGTGGAGTTCTCCTGTCAAAAATGACCTTGCTGGAGAAATTGTCACATTTCAGCACTCTTCTTCCATCACCAGCACGTTTTTGTGTTGAATGTTATGTTGCTTGTGACAATTATTGTCATTGGTTGTGTCATTTGAATAGCTGTTTCTAAAGGGAGTGCTGTTTCCTTGGCTTTCTGTAGTCCAGTTTAAAAAAGAAACCCAAGCTTGGTTTAATTTAAAATAAAAGCAGTTTTCTTCAGAATTGCAGCACTCTTAATGGTGTCATCTGTAATGAGCTTTCACTGATGGGTTCAGAGGATTATTAAAAGGGTGGCATCGCATTTGTGGCTTTCCTATGGAAGTGCTTTGGCTCTGTGGCAAGAGGTGAGGTTTACAGATCTGAAATGTCTGTTCAAACACCTCACAGCGAGTGGTGTGGGGAGAGATGTGTTGCTGTGGCACAGTGACAGAGATGTTCACTGCAGCAGAGATTTGTCTCCATTCAGGGGGTGCTGACATGGCTTCCTGTAATAACAAACAGTCATTTGATCTTTTGCACAGAAGTTCTGATTGGCATGGGGTTAAAATGCACCTTCCCAAACACTGGTGTGAGAGCCCAGTGCCTCTGAGGTCTGTCAGTGATTTGGACTGTGTATTCTGCTTTGGGTCCTGTCTCTGCTGGCCTGGATTTAAATGTTTTTACTACAGCAAGCCCTGGGATGTGGGAAAACTCCTTCATTGGTGCCTCATTTTGGGTTTAGTCTCTGTGCTTGTAGTGAGTGAAGTAATGGTCATCTTGGGTTTTCAGAAATGCTCTGCCTGTCTTTTATGTTGATGCTTTGTGGTGGTGGTTGAGGGCATATCCTTCCAGAATGAAACTTGTGGGCAGTGTTATGTTAGACTGGGCTGAGTGCATTTGTAGTAACAGACCTTGGGCATTGCTAACAATTGACTAATGCTGGAAGAGTGCAAAGGCCTGTTTGAGGTCTCTTGTGTGCTTATGGATTTAGGTTGGCTCAGGTTGCTCTGCTCATAAACTGAGATCAGAGCACTTTTGAGTATTGTGGCAATGTGTTGCAGTAACTCCTGTCTGTGCTCATGTGTTGGAAAGAACAGTAAAAATACAGCACTTCCCTGGCACTCACCTTAGAAACAGGGAATTGTTTAGGTTGGAAAAGACCTTTAAGATCATTGAGTCCAGCTGTAAACACTACCATGGCCTCCACTAAACCTGCTTTTGTTTTCCTCCTTTAGGACCTAACTGGCATAGAGTCCATGGACCAGTGTCGTCACACATTGGAGCAGCATAACTGGAACATAGAGGTACCTCCACAGAGAGGATTTGTAGCAGTTTCCAAGTCCTTGGGATAAGTAGAGAATTCTGTGGGGAGGGGGAGCCCTACTGGTGAGCTTTAATCTGTCAGCCCCTGAATTTACACTAGTAGCTCTTTATAACAGTATCTTGATGCTGGTTTCAGGAACACACACCACAGAGTTATGGCTGTGAACAGTCACTTGACTGGCATATGTCCTGTAGCACTGTACAGGCTGCCATGGAGAGGGCTTTCCATCCAGGGGAGAGTATTGGGGGTTATAGTTTGTAATGAGTTGTGCTTATCCAGTATTTTGGGGCTATGGACAAATCATACTTGCTGGTGGTGTCCAAAGTGTAAAAAACCATATTTTCTGCCATCCTTAAATGTCTAAAACCTCCCTTTGCTCTTTCTTGTGTCACAGGCAGCTGTACAGGACCGACTAAATGAACAAGAGGGTGTCCCAAGTGTCTTTAATCCTCCTCCATCCCGGCCATTGCAGGTCAATACAGCTGACCACAGGATCTACAGCTACGTTGTCTCAAGGCCACAACCAAGGGCAAGTTATCTTATAGTGGATTTTGTCCAGATTCTTGGGTGACTCTCTGAACAACAGAACTTGCAAGCAGGGAAAGGAGTTGTTTTCGTTCTATGCTGTTATCTCCTTTCTAAATATGTTACCTTCTGAAAACAAAATGTAGAGCTTCAGCCTCTATTACTGCTGCGGGCACTTTCTCTGTGGTGTGATTCACACTATGAAACAACATTCTTTGTGTCATAGAATGACTTACTGTGCTGTAGTCAAGCTTTTTGATCAGTTCAGTTGGAACAAAGGACTGTCTGCTTTATATGGTAGAGTGATAATGAGGTTTTTATCTTTTAGAGCCCCCTAGAAAGTATATTAACTTCAATACAGTATCAGTGACTTGTATTAGTGTTTCTCAAACAGATTTGCATGAGCGCCTCTTAGACTCAGTGCTGTTAATCCCTTTGTACAGTTAAGAAAATTAGCACAGAGCAAAAGCATTGCTGCTTGAATAGTGCTGCTGGTTTTTAGACATGTCACGTTAAATTCTGTATGAACCATGTCTGTCACTTACATGTGATTTAGTGTGTCTGAAGCCATAAATATTGCTGAGCTTCTTTGCAGTGGTTGGAGCACTGGTGTTCCCATGTGTGCTTTATGCTGGGGGACAGCTTTAACAGGTCTCTTCCTGGGGTGGAGACTGTTCTGATCCTTTGTTTGTAATTGCAGGGCCTGTTAGGATGGGGTTACTACTTCATAATGCTTCCATTCCGATTCACCTATTACACATTACTTGATATATTTAGGTAAGTAATTTTTGTGCTGACTCATGTACTGACTGCATCAAGACACAAGCTTGGATCTGACTGTACCTCTGTGACTTGGATGTTTAATGGCAGATTTTTCCATTTATTTGCTCAGCTGGCTTTATCTGTAGCCTTGTAAGGTTCCTGCACTGTTTTGTGAGAACTAATCTTTATTGTAGAGAAAAAGAGCATCTTGCAGCTCTGTAAATTAAATATTGAATTGGAGTGGTAACTCCATATGGCTTTACAGTTGGAGTGCCATGCAAAGGAAATGCAAAACAGGATCAAACTGTCCAGTGTTCTTGGACAAACAGCTTCATCAGAATCAAGTCTCATTGGGCTGATCTGCAGGTTAGCCTGCCCTAATCCCTGTATTTGGTAAAACCCAGACTGTAAACACCTCTGGGCTCCCCTTCAGTGTCTGTTGCCTTCCCTGTTTACTGCCCTGAAGGGCAAGTTCATCCTCACAGTGCTGATGGAGAGAAAAGGGAATGCTGACATGCAGTAAATCTCCAGCGGTCCCAGTCCTGCCATCTGCATTAGTTTGGCAGTTTCCTCTGGTGTATTACTTTTTTTCACCTTAAAGACTTTTCCAAAGTTCAGTGTAATTTCTGCACATCAGTAGAACCAGGTAGCATTGATACTTACCTTGTAATGAAGCTTTTTCCAGCCTTGGAGGAATGGCTGTTGCTTCTGTGTGCATTGGACTCCTGGTGTAATGTTCTCTGTCTACAGCTCTTTGTATTCTGGAACTGTTAGTCTTGGAATAGAAGAAATGTAGTTTTCAAAGTTACCTGGATAAAACTGTGTGGCTTTTAGCAGCCCAGCTTTGGCTAAATTCTTCAAACCTCATAGTGTCGGTGTGGCTTATGCCTGATGCTTCAGAGGAAGTCAGAATTGTCAATCACACAGAATTCACACACATGCTGATGGCATGAGATATTTGCCTGTGGGATGGTTTTTGTAGCAGTGGTATCAGTTTGCAGCAGGTGGCAGTTTAAGTTGTGATTATAAATGTTCAAGGGTCTCAGCTGTGACTTTTTTCCTCCCTTATGAATACCAGTGGCTCTGTGGAAAAGAAAACCTGTTCTTCAGAAAGTCAGTAAGCTGAATTCAGTGTCCTTTGCTTCCTTCCTAGGTTTGCTCTGCGTTTTATACGCCCTGATCCTCGTAGTCGGGTCACTGACCCAGTGGGGGACATTATTTCGTTTATTCATATGTTTGAGGAAAAATATGGGAGGATACACCCTGTCTTCTACCAGGGAACTTACAGCCAGGTCAGTGTCACACGTTGGTGCATAGATCCTGGGGAGATGGAGAGGGGGGATTTTGCCAGACAGTATCAGGGCCTACCTGGCAAAATCACTTTTTATCTAAAAGCTTAGTGTTTGTCCCCAGACTCTAACAGGGTAATGGAGAGCTAGGGAACAAGTGTATTGGAAAACCACTGTCTGCCAGGCTTGATGGTATGCCGAGTCTGCAAAGTTGGAAAGCAAAGCTGCTCTGAGTGTTCCTCAACCGTCTGTACAGCCCTGTAGCTGACAGCTATTCTTTGTAATGCTGCCTTTGTTTTTATAAACTGATGTGGTATGCCAGAGCCTGTCCTTCTGTTCACCAAATTGGAATTGACTGCCTGGGCTTGTATTACAAAGCAACTCCAGAATCTGGGGTGGAACCTCAAAACTGTGAGAGGAAGCCCTGGAAGAAATTACAGGCAGTGAGAGTTCTGCATGTTAGACCTGGACTCATGGTGCCCTCTGTAAAAGAGGGATGCTCAGTGGATGCTGCCTCTTCTGCAGCTTCTCTCAGCCTGGCTGAGGGAAGGGCCTCCTGCAGCAGTGCATCCCAGCAGGCAGTTGGATCAGAACTACTTTCTGCATGTTAGGGAGGAATGTGGAGTCTGTATCTGCTCCACACTGCACAGTGATGGAGCACGATCCCTCTGCAGCTCTTCTGGCTCCGTCTTGCCTGGAATCCAAACTTCAATAGCCATGGAATGGTTAGGCTACCAAAACTCAGTGCCAGTAAAACAGGGAGCTTATTATGCACTTACCCTGTGGTCTCATTAAGAAACAGTCTAGTTAAGAAGTGGGTTTGTGGAATCCAGAGACTGGAGATGCAAAAAGGGGTTTTCTTTTGTTTGCCTTTGCTCTGTTGGGGACTGCAGCATTATTAGATTATCTTTTTTTAGTAGCATATTCATTTGATGTTGCCTGAAGATTGTGTTCTGTATTGGCTCAAGTGGAAAGCTCATCCTTGGCTGCTGGGAGACTGAGAGATGGAGGGTTCCTTCTCTGCAGCTGGTCTGGCACGGCAGTGGGGGGTGGTTTTGCTCTGAGTTCAGTGTTCTCCAAAGGCACCTCCTGAAAGGGGTGTGAGGGAACACTACTGTAGCCCTCCTAAATGAGGGTTTAGTCAGAAGGGCTGACAGGTTCATCCTCCACTGTTGCTTCACTAAAACTGTGCTAATTGCCCAGGTAAATGTGGAGCTGTGTCCCACATTGTGGGTGCAGCTTTCCCCTTGTCTAGAGCCCCTGTAATGTTACTGTCTCTGCTCTTCTGCCAAGGCACTGAATGATGCCAAGCGGGAGCTGCGTTTCCTGTTGGTTTATCTTCATGGAGATGACCACCAAGACACGGATGAATTCTGCCGGTAGGTAGGAGAATGTTAGAACCAAAAGGTTATCTTGGCACTTTAAATGCAGCTTCACTCACACAGTCTCTTCTCATCCCTTAGCAATACACTGTGCGTACCTGAGGTGATCACCCTCATAAACACCAGAATGCTCTTCTGGGCTTGTTCAACCAACAAACCAGAGGGATACAGAGGTGAGTGTGTCTCTCTTGGGCTTTACCTGTCCCCTCCTGACAAGTCAAATGCTCTTTGACCACAAAATGTGTGTGAAATGCACGATTGGTTTTTGTGCAAGCAGACAGATTTCAGGGTTGCATGGGGAAATACATGCTTGGATGCCAGGGAAATACCTTCTGCTCTTTGCCTCCGCTGCCTGTATGTTTCTGGGCAGTCCTGGTGCTGTGCTGTCTGTTGTGGGCCTGCAGGCTGCTTTCAGTGCCTTGTTAATGGGAGTTAGTGGGTGTGTGCTGAGGATTAAACTGATGCAGAAACAAGTATCTGACTAGCTGTGCCCTTAACACTGGCTGCTGTTATGCCTGAAGCCAGGAGTGACTTGTTAGGTGCATTCTTCCCTTTCTGAGACAGACATGTTTACTCCACACCCAGTCTCTCTGTCTCCTTGAAAGTCCTCAGTGAGGTCCTTTTAAGTACTGTCTTTCAGAGCTGTTGATGCCTGGCCTGCCAGTGTTCTGGTAGGGTTTTGCTGCAAATGGAGCCTTTCCCAAGCTCTGTTCATGTCTCCTGTGTTGCTTCTCTCCTGCTGTGAAACAGGAAGGGTCAGGCCAGGAGTACTGGAGTACTAAATCTGGGTCATTCTCGGCTTCATAATTCAGCTACCAGCTAAGGACTCCTTGAAAGAGTGGCTTTCTAAGGAGACATTCTTTTACTTACTGCTGTTTCATTGCTGCAATGCTTTGGAGTCATAGCCTAGAAAGCAGAGCTGGAAGGGATTGTGGCCTTTCATTTAATCCATGGGGTGCTCTGGTTTCATTTGAAGGACTCCACTGGTAATCACTGCTCCAAGCTGCGTGTTGTGCCATGTGTGTTTTGAGGAGGAGGTGATCAGCAGCCATAGGTGAACAGTACCTTAAAAGCCCCTGAACTGCTTCATTCCCTGCCCCAAAAGAGAGCCCACTTCTGGCAAAACCAACTTGGATTTGTTCAGAAATGTCCAGGATGGCACTGTCATCTGCCCATGATGGTGTTTTCCAGAGTCTGGCTACCCTTAATCACCTCAGCAAGTGTTTCTCTGTGCTTGACCAGTGTTTCTTTTCCTGCAGTTTAAGCCCAGGGCTTTTTGTTCTGTTCTGAATGGACATTCAGAGCAGTTTACTTCCTTCCTGCTTGAATTCAAGAACCTTTTTGGTCACTTGAAAGCTTATTTTTTTTCCCTTCAGTCTCTATGCTCCAAGCCACTTCCTCCCTTTGCTGGTTTATAGGGTTTAGTCTGACAAAATGGAGGCTAAGGCCTCCTGGGCCTTAATAGAGATAGTGGCTGTAGGAGCTGCTTTGGTGATGGGCAGGCCCTTGGTGATGGGAAGTGTTTGTGCTGTACCCCTCGCTGGCCCTTCTGGATGGGGCAGTGATGGTCGTGCCTCTTTCCCAGTCTCCCAGGCTCTGCGAGAGAACACGTACCCATTCCTGGCTGTGATCATGCTGAAGGATCGCAGGATGACAGTAGTTGGGCGGCTGGAAGGCCTTATCCAGGCTGATGACCTCATTAATCAATTGATGTTCATCATGGATGCCAACCAGACATACCTGGTGTCCGAACGCCTGGAAAGGTATGATGGGACCTGAGCTCCAGTTACGCATGCCTTGAGGAGGCAGGATCTGCTCTGCTCTGTTCTGCTCTCCCTCCAGACACCATTTGTAGGCAAACAGCTTGTTATCTCCTGTCCTGTAACATATCCCATGGGCTCCCCTCGTCCCAGTGAGATCACTGGTCCGTAAATTTAGATTGCCCTATAACCAGGGAGCTGGATGTGTTGCCCACAGCTGAAAGGTGGGTGTGAGTGCTCTGCTGTTCTCTGCAGCTGAAGCAGACCCTTAGCATGCTGGAGCTTTGCAGGTAAAGCTCGGATGATGGTAGAAGCCAAGCGGGAGCAAAGGCACTGCAGCCAGTTGGTGAGCAAGAGCTGCTGCCTGGAATGGCTTTCCTGGATTTTCACTGTGTTTCTGGTAGTGTCTCGCGAGCAGGAGCTCCAGCCCCTGATAACTCTGTAGGGATCTGCAGACTGTGTCCAAAGTAGGGTGCTGCTCTATTGTCTTCTGTCTGCCCCTCCTCTGCCCCATGCTTTCTGTGGGGACCCAGTAGCGTTTTGATGCCTGTGGTTTCTGATTTGTGCAAAGAATTAGCTTGAGGAGGTAAAACCGTGAAGAGCCTCAAGTATGAGGCAGAAATCCTGGGCACTGTTCTGTGCTGTCCACTCTGCCATGCTGCAGTGGGTGAGGAACTGTCTGTGTTCAGTTCACGTCCACTCAACTGAGGGGACACAGTTTGTGTGCTGGGGATGTGGAAACCCTGCTTCCCTTTCCAGAGCTTGTGGAGCTCCTGAGGCATTACCTGATGTGTGTGCTTCTATGAGCTTGAGGCTGTACTTGCACCCTCAGGTCTGCCCTGAGCCTGCTAGCCCTGACTGCTTCCTGCTCATGTTTGTAGGGAAGAGAGGAACCAAACCCAAGTCCTGAGGCAGCAGCAGGATGAGGCATATCTTGCATCCTTACGTGCGGACCAGGAAAAGGAGCGCAAGAAGAAGGAGGAAAGGGAGATGAAGAAGAGGAAGGAGGAGGAAGTGCAGCAGCAAAAACTAGCAGAGGAGAGGCGGCGGCAGGTGAGAGCAGAAGGAGTGCTGGAGAGGCTGCTGTGCCCTGTGGGATGCTCACGCTCTGTAGGAGCAGTGCCTGCAGTAGGGCTTGTCTTGGAGTTGCTTGTCTTGCTCAGGGCTTGCGTGTCCTCAAAGCCTCCTGGAGTGGCTGTGCTGCAAGGGGCAAGCACAGAGGCCAGTTGAGTGCTGCCCACTGCCCCTGCTCTCTCCTTTGCAGACGCTGCAGGAGGAGAAGGAGCGCAAGTCGGAATGCCTTCCCCCCGAGCCACATCCCGATGACCCAGACAGCGTCAAGATCATTTTCAAGCTGCCTAATGATTCCAGAGTGGAGCGGCGATTCCACTTCACACAGTCCTTGACGGTGAGCTTGGGGCAGAGCTGTTGGGGCTTCCCAGGGTATGAGAGGGTCAAGTGGTTCTCCAGGTGACTCAGCAAAGCTTTGGTTCCATTGGACTTTGCCAAATGATGACTTTTGCCAAGAGCCTCATCAGGCAGAGTTGTTCCTGGGTATGGAGGGTGTTGTGGGGCCTGGACCCACCAGCTTAGAAGAGATTAGAGGGGAAATGAAAGAAACTTTTTCTTCTCCTGGGACTCTGGTTGGTTCTTTATTAAATAATGGTGTAGGAAGAGCCAGAAACAGTGTCTGGACTCCCCAGGTGCTCTGACAAGTCCCGTTTCACCCATGCTAAGAAAATAGCTGTCTCATGTCTGCAGTGCAGTGATGGTGCAAATTCTGTACCGTTCCCCCCATGAGATGCCATGGCTGCAGCGTGGCTGTGTCATTGCTCCCCCCGCTGGCAGTTATTCCTGTGCTTCTTTCCCAGGTGATCCACGACTTCCTGTTCTCCTTGAAAGAAAGCCCTGAAAAGTTCCAGATTGAGGCCAACTTCCCTCGCCGGGTCCTGCCCTGCCTCCCCACAGAGGAGTGGCCCAACCCACCCACATTGCAGGAGGCCGGACTCAGCCACACGGAAGTCCTCTTTGTGCAGGACCTCACGGACGATTGATGCTTCTTTCCAGCAGCCACAGCATGGAAAGAGAAATTCATATTATTATTATAATACAATATTTTTTTTAAATGACTGCGTACAAAAGAGGGATCAGAGACCACGTGGCCTGTGCTGAGTGTGTGTGCACTGGCAAGAGGAAGTGTGTGTGTGCGTGGCCTCACACACCCCTGTGCACAGCCATCCCCTACACTTGGAGGGCAGAGAGGGAGGGGAGCTGGTGTTGCCCCTCCATCCTCCCTGGGGAGGACCAGGAAGGCAGCTCTTGGGAATTCTTGCTTTTATTGACGACAATAATAATAAAACCCCGACAACCTGAACGTCTTGTGAAGATTTTGATACTGCTGCTCCTGCCAGCTGGAACACCGGGCACCTGAATGTGCTGGGAGTGGGGTGGGAAGGGCGGGACAAAATCTCTTCAGCTTCCCTCTGTGTATAAATATCTTTCCTTTTAATATTTCTCTTGCTTTGTAATGACCAAAGGAGAAGGGGGTTGACTGTAGTATTAACTTTTTTGATAAAGAGCTGGTTCAATTCTTACCCGTGTGGGGTCTTGCCCAGGGTTCTTAGCCTGCGTAGTGTAATAAACTCTGCCTCTAGCATGTCTGTGCCAATGCTGTCTGCCTATGCCCCCTGCCCCAGCTGGGCACCAGGGAGGGGGTTCCAGCTGCTGCACCTCAGCTGTTGGCCTTGAACTGGTCCTTTCGTGCTGTGCGAGACAGGAGCATGCACAGCACAGGGGAGCCAGTGCTGGGGTTGCTGCTGGCCTGTGGCAATGAGCTCCGAGCTGAGGCTGGGGAGGAGGGAAATGGCCCTTTCTCTGCTTAAGAGGGCTGGGTAGACCCTTCTCCCTCAAGTTTGAGGTGAAAAGATGACATGCAAAGTAGGTGTAAGCTTGATTGCCCCGGGACTTGGTCATGGCTGAGCTGTGGTGCTGTCAGCTCCTGCCCAAAGGGAGAGGGCTGGCAGCATGTCCCTTTCCTATGTGCTGGTCACCTTTCTGAACAGATAGCCATGTGCTCATGCCTGCATGAAGCACAGAAGGGAGTGGGGAGCTCTCTCCCTTCCACCATTTCTGCAAGCTGTAGTAAATCAACCCTGCTTCCCTGGCTTTTTTAACAGAGAGAAGGAGCCTTTCATTTTCCTCCCAAAGAGCTCTTCACCCTTTCTGGCCTGGAGCAGCTCTGGTTGGGGAGTAGCAGCCTTGCTCTCATCCTTGGGGAGCTGGAGCTCCTGCCTTCCTGTTGCAGGGCTGGTGGATGTGTCTGTTTCCTCTGCTTGAAGTGCCAGCCTGGGGCTGCTGATGTTGCTGGGGCCAGCCTGGCTGGACTGGTTTCATACCCAGCCAGGGTGTGCACAGACCACCTGGCTGCTGCTGGAGCCACCCAGGAGGATGCCCTGTCCCAGGGTGGCAGCTGTGAAGGATCTCCATGTGAGAATGAGGGGATCCTTTGTGCTGCTGCATCAAGACCTCTCTTTTGATCCAGCAGCAGAGGGGGCACAGCACAAAAGGGGTGTGGAGCTGCTGGAGTCAGGTAAGATAATCCAAGGGTCGGAGCACCTCTGCTCTGGAGCCAGGCTAAGAGAGATGGGTTTGTTCAGCCTGGAGAAGAGAAGGCTTTGGGGAGACCTTAGAGCAGCTCCCAGTGCACAAAGGGACTACAGGAAACCTGGAGAGGGGCTTTGGACAAGGGCCTGTAGGGACAGGGCAAGGGAATGGCTTTAACCTGCCAGAGGGGAGACTGAGATGAGCTCTTAGGCAGAAGCTCTTCCCTGTGAGGGTGCTGAGGCGCTGGCACAGGGTGCCCAGAGAAGCTGTGGCTGCCCCATCCCTGGCAGTGTTCAAGGCCAGACTGGACAGGGCTTGGAGCAACCTGGTCTAATGGAAGGTGTCCCTGCCCTTGGAGCTGAATGAGCTTTAAGGTCCCTTTCAACACAAACTTTTCCACAATTCTATGACCCAGCCACCTCATGCTTCCCCCCCTGGCTCTCCAGGTCTCTCCTCCAAACCCACCCTGGGGCTCTTCCCCCCTAAGCAGAGCATGAGCCCGGCCTCAGCCCTGCAGCCCACAGAGAGACAAGAGCCAGGGCGCAGCGTGTTGGTATACATCATACATTTATTAGTGAATATCCCTCTCAAAATCAGCCACAACATTAAAAAAAATAATGATTGCACTACTTGGTCAAGCAGAACTAGCAACTTTCATTTTAAAAAAAGTACAAATCTGTTAAAAATTTCAATCAGTATAATACACATATATATAATACAACATACTAGTTATGTTAAATGCTACAAAACCAATATGATTCCAATGGAATGGAAAAAAAACAAACACTTTTAGAGCTTTTAAGAACCTTTTTTTTCTATATATTAGCCTTTTTTCAAATACATACATGGGAAAAATGAGGTAACTGTAAAATGTGCAAGTAACAGAGCAAAAAAAATTATATATATATATTTATATATATATATATATATATAAAAACTTTCTAACACAGAACACACGTCCTAGCACCTTCCGGGGAGCCGCGGGGGCCGCGGAGGTCCCACCGGAGGGCCCGGGGACTGGTATAATAGAACAGTAAACAGTCCACTATCCCACCACAGGAAATCATTGGTAAACAGTGGTATCTACAGCGCAGTCAGCAATCACAAACACCCTAAATAATTGTTTTTTTTAGTATTTTTTTTGTCATTTTTTCTTTTTGTTATTTTTTTTTTCTTAAATGATACTTTTAGCTGCTCATTGGAATAAATTCTGCAGCACACGAGCTGTGAGCTTTCGAGTCGCCGTCAAAGGACCGTAAGGCTTTCCTGGCTCCCTGGGCACCACGAGGGCGGGAGGGGAGGAATAGGGGTGGGGGACACGGGGCGTCTCCGGGGGGCACGGGGACTCCTTTGGTTATCAGTCACTGAGTGAGGGATGGGGAGGGGGCCAGGGTCCTGCCCAAGGGGCACCGAGCCCAGCGGTGCCAGTGCCCGCGGCGGAGCTGGTGGCGCCAGGACAGGGCCATCGGCCTCGACGCTCCGCACATGGGGACCGCCAAGGCTGGGGAAGGGAGGCAAGGGGGAGCTGGCCAATAGCGACACACCACCTGCCGCCCCCCCGCACCCGATTGGCTGGGTGGAGACCTGCTGATTGGCGAGAGGCCCCTCTGGACCAATGGCGTGGCAGCGCAGGCAGCACGGTCCCGCTCCCCTCCATGTGCCCCCGGCCTCGCACCCGGCTGCTGCCCGGGGCCAGCCCCGCCGCCGGCCCCCCGCCCCGCGGGGAGCGTCCCCCCGCCACCCTCCCACCCCGTCCCCTTGCACACGCCGCCGCCTCCCGCTCGGAGGGGCGCAGACCCCGCGGGGACGGCCCTGAAAAGTCTCACGGTCCTGCTGTGGCGTTGCGGACATGTGCAGTACAGTGCATGGCAGTATCAGCTGAGCACAAAAACCCCTCTCCCCACCCCCCTCACCCCACAGCCGGCTACACGTAGCCAAGACCACGTTCCAAGCTGGTCAGACATGCATGCATATTTGTGAACATTTACATAGGGCTGGCGTCCGCTCGGAGGCTCCCAGGCGTCAGCAACGCGCGCCGCGAGGGGAGGGCGGCCCTCACGCCACCCCCCCACCTATCACCCTCCTCACTAAGGAATCATGCAAAACCACGGCAACGCGGGATGGCTGGAGCCTGGCGGCGCCATCTCCCCTGGCCCCACACCGCCCGGCCCCAAACGGTTATGGGGAAGATATGGCAGCGGGGGGGATGCTCACAGCTCCCCCCCACACCGGCTGGGGCAGAGCCAGGGGTAGCACTGAAAATACACCACGAGGTTCTGGATAAACCCCGTCCCGTGGCCCCCGGCCGGGCTCCCCCGCCCCAGCCGCCCAGCCAGCAGGACGGGGCATGGGGCTATTCCAATCTATGGCAGCGGGATAGAGAAACGGCAGCAGGAGCCGCGGGCCAGGCGGACACCTCATGCCCATGGCTGCAAGGATGGGGCTGGGTCTCCCCCCTTCAGGCATCATAGGATGCCACGGCCCAGCCCCAGGAGCTGTGCTGGGAATAGAATGAACAGGGAGAGGGGCCAGGGCTGTGCCAGCACCATCCTCCCACTGGCTAAGACCCCAAACGGCCACAACACTCCGGGGCTCCGCTGGGAAGCCGAGGCGGGAGAGGGGCTGCGTGCGGAGCGGGGATGGAGGCGATCCTGCCCCGGCCACACAGCAAGGCTGCTGGTGTCCGACCTCGGCCACCTCCTCTGGCTGCCCCCAGCCCGGCGCTGTGGCTCGGGATGCATCAACCCGCGGCGCTCCCTTCTCTCTCCTCCATGAGCAACGTCGAGGGGAGGAGCCGCTGGGGCAAACGGCCATGGAACCAAAAGCGCGACAGGAAAAGGAAACAGGGAAGGGGGGAAACAACCTACCATTAAAAAAAAAAAGGTGACAAAAGGGAAAAAACGCTAATTCCCTAACGGAGTACAAAGACCTGGAAAGTGATGGAGCAACAATAGCGTCTTTGGAGCGCGGAGGGCACGGCCACGCGCCTCCTGCCTCCAGCACAACACGATTCGGGGCCCCGGGAGCGCAGCCGAGTCCGTGCCCGGCGGGGAGGAGGAGGGCTGGCCGGGAGCCCGGGCTGCTCAATGCTCACCACATCGAGGAGAGGCTTTGGGGAGGGGGGGTAAGCACAGGGTCAGGCCCTAGCAGCGGGCAGCGGCCCCCACCCCTGGCCCGGCGTCCTCGTCCTCTAGCGAATTGTGCGGCTCAGCACCCGCCTGCCTCAGTCCGCATCCCGCTGCACCTCCGACGCATCCGCCCGGCAGATCGGGCACGTGCGGTTTGCCTGTGGGCAGGGAGAGAACAGGGGTGAGTGAATGGATGCCCCACAGTACCAGCAGCACCCAGGCCCCCCCCCTGCACCACCACCACAGGCTGGAAACAGCCCCCCACGTTGCCACCTCCCAGGACTGCCTGATCCACCCTGGCACTGCTCCCAGTGCATCCTGTGGGAAATGGCAGAGGCCATGTAAAAGGCACCCCCAGCACCCCAAAAAGGCACGGGCAGTACCTTTAACCATTTGTCGACACACTTGGCGTGGAACTCGTGGTTGCAGGGCAGGACGCGGAGAAGCTGCCGGGCCTCGAAGTCACTGAAGCACACGACGCACCTGGGGGAGGCAGCCATCAGTGCGACCCCACCGTGGTAACACAGCCCCCAACCAACACCAGGCACCCCCGTACCCCCACACCAGGCACCCCGCCTGTGCCCTGGGCTCACTCACAGGGTCTGCTCAGACTGATGGCTCTCGGGGTTGAAGCGGTAGGACGGGAGGTGCTCGATGTCTGCTTTGGTGAGTCCCCGCGGCTTGGCCTCCCCCAGCCGCTCGGCCAGGTTCAGGAGCGCCTGGAGGGACACGCAGAGACTGGCTCAGCTGGGCTCATGCCCCGGCACAGCACCCCTCCAGGCTCTCCCCACCCTGGCAAAGCAATCCCCAAACACCCCCCAGCGCCCCCATCCCACTGCCCCACAGAAAGCTGGAGACAATAGTGGGAACGTCTGGTAGGAGACAGGGAGCTGCTGCATGGCACACGCCTGCCAACGCACCTCGTAATTCTCCATCTCCACATCATCCACGTCCAGGTCCAGGCTGATCGTGGGTCCCACGGCTGTCGGCGACACAGGAAGCATAGAGCTGGGGTGGGCAGGACAGTGTGATCAGTGTGGAGCCACAAACCCCAACCTCCTCTCTGGCATGCCCAGAGCCACCTGTGCCAATGCCATGCCACTGTGTCCCCCATCCTGACCCCCATGCCCACTTGTATCCCCCCAGTACTCACAGGAAATAGGGCAGGAAGCTCGGGTAGTACGGGGGGGGCGGCGGAGGGGGCGGCGGAGGGGGCAGCGCCTGCTGCAGCCGGTACCGCTGGGTGTTCAGCCGCCGGGGCATCATGTGGGGGTATGGCTGCAGAGAGATAGGGTGCTCAGCGCCGTGCCAGCCCCACGGCGTCCCCCCACCCCTCCACAGGACAGGCACTCACCACGCCGAATGGCAGTTCTTGGTGCAGCGGGTCGTGGGGGAGGTAATGCAGCGGCACGGAGGGGGACAGCGTGGGAGCATGGTGGGACGGGGGGTATGTGAAGCCCGCGATGGGGTGCTGCTCCCCTCGCAGGTCCACGTCATTGTCTATCCTCTGCAGAGGCTGTGGGGAAAACAGTCAGGATGGGGAAAGTGTCCCAAATACACTGCCCCAGCATTAGCAGGACAGAGGCACGATGGGCATCCCACCCGTCACCCCAACTCAGACCCATGGCGGCTGCAGAAGGACAAAGCCCCCCAAGGTGGTCTTTGCTGGGCCACAGGGTGGATTGTGTCCCCAGCCCATACCCGCACCCCAACTCACCATACGCGGATGCTGGGCTTGGAGAGGTACAAACTGCCCCAGGGGGGCCATGTGGGGCGGCTGGTGGGGGGGCACTGGCGGTGGTGGGGGGTGCAGTATGTAATGGTCGCTGGAGATGATGGGGGGGAATGTCTGGTAGGAGACGGGAAGCTGTTGCATGGCACATGCCTGGATCAGCTGATGGAGGGAAGAGAAAAACAGAGGTCAGACACCACTGTGAGCACGGCTGCCCCCTCCCCAGAGCCTCCCGTGCCCCCAGAGCCTTGCACTCTGCTGGGGTTGGGTCCCCATGCGACCTCTGGGCACCCACAGCCCAGGCTGTCCCCTGCGGGTGTCCGCACTGTCACTCACCGGGGGTGGGAGGCAGCAGAGCGGGTAGTGCTGTCCACTGAACATCACTGAGCATGCTGGGAGCTGCTGGGTGCTGCACCCAGGGATGTGCTGGCCGGCGTGGATGGGGAAGCCTTGCGTCGTGACGGTGGTAACCGTGTAGGAGAGAGGGACAGGTCCCTGGTGCACCTGAGGACAAAGCGCCGAGGGCATAGTCAGGGTACAGCCACAGATGAGCTGTCTTCATCCTGGCAGCAGGATGCTGAGCACCTGGCACTAGGGCACAACCACCCAGCACCACTGTCCCAAGGTGTGCCCAGAGGAGGGCAACTCAATGCAGGCTGTGTTCGAGGTGGGTTTTGTACCCCTCTTAGCTCCCCATGGCTTCCAACCCAGCACTGCCACCGTGGATGAGGGTGACAGTTGTGGCATGAACACTATGAGAGGACAGTCTCCAGCCCCTGGGAGCAGGGACCAACCTGGGTACACCCAAACTGGCAGAGGGAGCCCAGGGTTTAACCGCTTGCCGGACACTTGGCAGCTTCAGAGCTGGGTGCTCCCAGCAGCAACCGACCATCCTGATGGGACCTTCTGTTGGGACCACTGCCCCGGGGCCACCAGAAGGCCACATTTGGGACTGGGGGCTGCTGCACGTACCTGGTCATGCAGATCCACCATGAATGGGTTCTGGTGGGGCGGGTGAGCGGCCGGGTGAAGCATTCGTGGCGGCGTGCTGGGGAGAGCGTATGCGCGGAGCTCATCTACAGGGCCGTGCGGCTGCTGGGGGAAGGCAGGGTGCAGCTGGGGCTCATCCTGGCCCAGCAGGGCTGCCAGAGGTCGTTCGCGTCGTCCCCACTGACGCCTGGCAGGGGGCTGCGGGGCCACCGCGGGAGAGAAACAGAGCAGGAGTGACCCCCCGGGCCAGGGGCACCACAGCCCCGGGCAGGGTGGCCGCAGGTGGGTCAGTGACAGCTCGGCTCCTGGGGTGAGGTGCTGAGGGCATCGAGCTCCAGAACCGGCTCATCTGATCATCCTGCACATGTCCGCAGCACAAAAGGGATCTCTGCTCCCCAGGGACCCATCGGCCGGGCCAGGAGAATGTGCTTCCCTGTCACAGAGTCCCCCCAAGACCCCCAGGAACCAGTGCCTTGCCCCAGCAGATACACGGAACCATCCCCGTGCCCCCACACCCATGGGTGACAGCGCCCCGCACCCCGTACCTTCGCCGGAGGTGGTCGGGGCTGCTGCAGGGTCCCCCCGAGAAACGACGCTGGTTAAAAGGGGCAGAGGGTGGCCGCCTATTCACTGCCAGTTCCCATGGTCGCATTGGTGACGTCGGGAAGCGGATGGGCACTCGGGACCTCAGGCTCCAGGCAGGGCGAGACACCAGCACCTTGGATCCTGCAAGAAGGACACTGGGTCATGCCAACCCTAGGGCTGCAGGAGCCCCATATCCTTCCCAGGCCTGGGTACTGCAGCCCACTCCCCACTGCTTTCTTTGGGAAAGGGAAGTGAGGCCGGGGCAGTGCGATGGTGCCATGGATGTGCTGGAGCTGCAGCACACCTGGCTCCTGCCTGTGCCACCTCCACACTGGGAGCCAGGAGCCCTTCCCGTGCCCAGTACTGCCACCCGCACAAGTGACTCTGGGGCACTCCAGTGTCACTGCCCCTGCATGGCTCAGCCTGATGTTTCCTCCAATGGGGATAGCAATGCCAATGAAAGCTTCTGCTGCTTGGGCACCTAAACCTTCGCCCACCCTATCTCCTGGGGGTGGATGCCGCCCTTAAGGGCGTTAGGAAGAGCCTGTCTACCCCCGCATTTACTATCCCCCCCACTGCAAGGCCAAAGCCACCCCCCATGCAAGACACAGACACTGAATGAGAGAGAAGCACTGTTTCCTGCAAGCAACGAAGGGCCCTGTAGCTGCAGCAGTATTCCAGGCTGCTCGCCGGCACACAGGGAACCTGAACCACGGCAGGAGCTGGAGTCCAGCATATGCTTGGCCAAGCCAGGCTCCAGTGCTGCTCTAGGGGCTGCTCTCCCTTGCTGGGCTTTGGAGCTTGCTGCTCCAGACTGATGCTGCTACCCCAGTGACAGGCACAGGCGGACAGCGGGGCTCACGGCTCTGCTCTGGCTCAGTCTGCCCATGTCAACTCTGCTGCATCCAGGACAGAACCACACATCCCCATGGAGGGGGCACAGGGACAGGCTGCACCTAGAGGTGGGCAGGCAGCCCTGCTCCCCTGCCAGCCCCACCGGCAGGGGTCAGTGGGCACACAGCCCCAGGCCCTGCCTCACAGCCCCTCCTGCCCCCAGCCTGGCCTGTGTCCCCAGGCCACACAGGTCCACCCCCAGCCCCAGGGAAGCCTGGCACTGCACATGGGACACATCTGCATGGGGAGGCTGCGCTGCCCCATGTGTCCAACCCCCCCCCAGGCATCCTCCTGCTGCTCCCCTGCCAGCACCCCTTGACCTCCACAGCCACGGCCTTGGCACTGCAGTCCACACACCCCTAAATCCTGCTCGCCTGCAGGCTGCTGGTGCCCTCCCAAAGCAGCTCCTTCAGATCCACATCCTGTTCCTCAGTGCACATGACAGAGTCACACCAGGGCCAGGAAGGGCACTCTGAGCCCAGGGAGTGCTGCTCAGCCCCATGAGGAAGCTGGGGGGTCTCAGCCCAGCAGGGAGAAGCCACATCTGGGGGACATGCATCACACCAAGCATGGCAGAAAGTCACCGGAGTGAGTCCTGTGCCACACAGAGGGGTCTCAACCTCACACCCACCTACCAAACCATGCTTAAAGCTGAAAGCAGATTCTTCTCTGTTATTTTGGAGGGGGACCCCAAAACCCACAAGCTGAGCCCCCCAGAAACCTGCCTGGGATGCTGCTGGGGAAGGGGCCACACTCACGGATCGGGTTTGCCCCACAGGTGCTTTATTTTGCCCCCAAACTCCTGTCCATGTGCCCTGTGCCAGCAGCTGGGGCCGAGTTGTTGCAGCGGTGCTCCAGGGTTTACCCCGCTCCCCGGGAGCCTCCGAGGTGCTGCTGCTTCAGTTCCACATCCTCACAGAGCACACGTGGTACCAGGGCACCTTCCAGACCAGACATCACAATGATGGGCTCGGGTACGGGAAGTGCCTCTCTCCACACAGGACACATTAAAGCCATGCAGGGGGTCCCAACACGGCACCCCGAGCACACGGTCCCCGCCGGTGGGACACCCCCGACTCGCGGGACGGGGGTGGCTCGGCACCGTCCTGCCCCAACCCGCACCCACATGGCGCACACCCGGCTCCCGCCTTGCACCCGCAGCCACCCCAGGCAGCGGCACTGCGGCCCCGGAGCGAAGGGGACCGCTCGGTGCGGCGGGGGGCGAGGCGGCTCCCGGGCCCTGCCGAGAACAAAGTTAGCAGCGCGCCAGCGCTCACGCCCGGTGCCATCTGCTCGGGCAGCACCGGGCTCCGGGGGAGCCGCCCGCCCCGCCGCCGCCTCTCCAAGGGTCCTGCCGCCCGGTACACCACGTCGCCGGCTCCGTCCGTGCACCCCGGGCTCCCCCGCACCTCCTTTCCCCGCCAACACCCCCGGGAGCGGGGTCTCCGCTGGCCTCGCCGCACCGGCAGCCCCCCTGAGGGCCGGGACTCTCCGCTGCCCCGACCACAGCCCCGCCAGTCTCCGGGACGGCGGCACATCCCGGAGCCACCCGACGGGCGCAGCAGCCCGCGGGGGCACCGCAGCCAGCAGCACCCCAGCGCTCAGCCCCGCCGCGGGTGCAGTGCCCGGCCGGCAGCCCGCGCCCCCCGCCGCAGCAGCGGAGCCCCGCCGGTGCCGGGCCGGGAGCTGTGGCTTTAAGAGCGGCCGCTCCGGGGCCATGTGCTCGGCGCCAAACAAAAGCAATAACAAAGGCGGCCGCCGGGCCCCGCTGCCGCCGCCCGGGGCAGGTGCCGCCGCGGTTCCCAAGGTAGGTCCCCGCCGCCGCCCGCACCTACCTGCACCGATGGCCTGGGCCGCAGCTCCGGTGCCGCTGCGGCGCCCCCGCCCCCTCTTGCCGCTCTTTGTTCACCGACGCCGGGCCCGGGCCTGCCCCCCCCCCCCCCCCCCCTCCCCGCCGCCGGCCCTCCCCTCCCCTCCCACCCTCCCTCCCGCCCGCCTCCCGCCGGGCCGGCCCCCTCCCCGCCGCCGCTGTTTCCGGTGCCTCTTTGTTTTCCGCGGCGGGGCCACCGTGGCGGGGCCGGGGCAGGCGCGGCGGGGCCGGGGGGTGCCTGTCCCTTTAAGAACCGGCGGCGGTAGCGGAACGCACCGGACCGAAGTCACAACACTCGGAGGCCCCGGGGGCGCGCGCGCGGCTGGCGGGGGGGGGGGGGGGGGGGGGGGGGTGTGAGGATGCGGGGGGGGGGGAAAGGCGGTGCGCGCGCTCCCCACGTGACCAGGCGTGTCACGCTCCGCAGCCATCTTGGAAGCGCGGGGCCGGGCCGCCACGCGGGGCAGCGCTGGGCTCCCCCCCCCCCCCCCCCCCGGGGGGGGCGGTGTCTTAGCAACGGTCTCCATGGAGAGGGGGCCCGTAGCAACGGGGCCGGCCCCGCAGGACTGACCCGCACCGCGCACCGGCCCCGGTACCGGGCGCGCCGCCTCACCCCGCTGGGACGGGCACCGCGGGGGCCCCTTACCTGCGGTCCGTCCCGCCGCTGCCATCGCTCCCGGCCCACTAGGTCTCAGCAGCTCCGTGAGCCCGGTGCGCCATGGGGACAGCAGCACCGTGTGCCCGGGCAGCCCATGCCATGCTCCTGCTGCCAGGTGGGTGGGAAAGCCGGGGCAAGGGGGAAGGTGAAGGCAGGATCTCGGCTCCCCATCACCCTCCTCACCGGCATGGGAGCATGGAGAAGCTGTCCCCATCCCACCCAGCACACTGAGACCTCGCCTGCACCCACCGCCTGCCAGGCACACGCAGCTCTCCCACGGTATCTCCACACAGTTCAAGCTTCCAGGCACCAAAAAAGCCCCTTTTGCTTCAGAAAAGCCTCCCGCTCTCTCCCCTCGACTAAACAAAGAGCAGGAACCCCTCAGAGCATCCCCTCCAAGCGAGCAGAGCAACGCCGGGAGCTGCACACCGAGGCTGTGCCCCCGGCAAGACCGCTCATCCCCAGTCCAACCCCTGCGCTGAGGAGAGCACATCGCAGCGGCTCTGCCGAGAACCAGATGCTGCATCCAAGGCAAACTTCCCCGTGTTAAAACGCACACTTAGAAATTCCCAGGTAGGCGAGCGAGCCAGCCGGCAACCCTGATGTAATGCCTATAAACCAGCCCTCCCCTGACAGCTGGGCTTTAAAGTGCTAACAACCGAAAGGGAGCTAATTAATTTGTAACATCACCCCTTTCAAAGAAAACCTCAGATCCCTGGCAACAATTTAATGATTCAGCAGGCTCATCATTGCCATGAACAGTAGGAGTCTGGTTTGCCCCATCCCAACCCCGTGCCCAGCTCTATATGCCACGATTGCCAACAGCACCACAGCCAACTGCTTCTATCCCCCGGGTAGGGTCACACAAGACAGGAAAGCAGCATACCAGGGTATCATGCAGACCTATGATGGGGTCCAGAGCCATGTGCACCATAGGCGAAAACAGCCAAAGGACTCAATCAGCCCACACCTGAACAATCACCCTGAATGTCTGCACCACTACAGCCTCTTCGCTTCAAGAGCCTGGAATTGGAGGGAAACAGCACTCTGCACTTTGACCTTGTCACTATTTGCAGGCAGAGGCAAGCACTGCACCTTTGCAAGCCTACAGGACATGGTCTGATCCTGGGCAAAGCACCATCAGCAGGCAGAGGCCATAGATGGTGGATGTCCGAGCAGACACTCCTTCCAGACCCACTCCAGCATCACCAGCTCCCCCATGGCCAGCAGCTATTGATGGCTTCGGGATGGCGGCAGGAGAAAGCCATCAGTGGCGCACGGCTCACCTCCCTGTGCTCCCTGCCCAGCCAGGCTGCACAGTCCCAGTGGCAAAGCCAGGTCCAGCCACACCATGTGCAGCCATGCCGAGCCTGCCTTGCCAGCTCCAGTGAGGACGGGGCACCGCACATCCAGCCACAGGGCTACAGCATGTGGGAAGGGTCAGCTCACATGCTCTCAAGAACAGCCACCAGCATCACACGGCCCTAGGTCTGGGATCTCTGGCTGGAAGAGCCGTGTTAGGAGCCCACGTGATGCCCCTCTGATGCTACACCAATACAGCAGCACTGGCCAGTGCTTCTAAGCCAGCACAAGGGGTCCCCAGTCCAGCTACCAAAACCTGTGACACCCCAAGTGAGCAGAACCTCCCATGCCAGACGGCCTTAGAAAGCTCTCGACTTGCAAGGGCTGCTCAAGCTGAATCTGCCTGCTCTGCAGCCAACG